CTTGTGGATAGCGCAACTTTTCCTGAACGTTTCTCTAATAAGATATTTTAATGACAAAATAACTACATTTAGTCTGGAATAAATTGTCACAAAATATAATGACCCCAGGGGTCAAGAGAACCCTATAAAATCAAAAGTGCTGAGAGGATTTGAGCAAAAATGTACATATCACTTCATAAAACCCCGAACTTTAAAATTCATATTGAACAAAATGCATATTCAGTCAACCATGACACTAATGGTCAATACAACTCACGTGGGATTTGTTTTGCTCATCGTATAGGAAAAGTAGTACTTAATACACTAGTTCGCTACTTTGTAGATGTATGGCACGTATATGTGTACATGTATTGGCAATTAATGTTTGGTGATAGCTAGTAGGAGTGTCAGGGACCGCTGACAGATTATTATTTTGAACCAAAAAATTGAATTATATTTTTGGCGGTCTCAGTAAATCAATGGGGTAATCAGGTCCTACGTGCTTTTTACAGGCCCAGAAATCAATGCTCGCTTATAAATGTAGCAAAATCTTTTTTCGTTCGTGGGATATTTTTTCCACCATATAACCGAACGGGAAGTTTTTGAATAGGACTACATGATCTGAATGGATGAGAGGATTCGATGGGCTGGGATTTGAGAAATTATGATTTGAACTTTGCCAATTTTACATGTATTCCAATGGGTGAAAAAGTAAGTTGCTTTCTACCTAATATGAACCACATTTATTAGTGAATTTCGAGAAATATGTCGAATTTAGCCATATTTCGCATATCTTTTTATGGAACCATTTAAAGTTTTGCAAATTAACCCCTTAAATTCTGGAGACGACGATCTAAATTTTGCTGAGTCAGCAATTTTCGTTTTTTTCATTGAAAACAGTACTTTTCAGCCTAAATTGCTACATTTCTGCTCTCTTATCAAGTAATTTGATGCAGTTCTTGCCAAATTAAAGGAAACATACCCCAAAGGTTCCACAGTGTGCGAAGTTCCAACATTTTGACCCTTTAAACCCACGAAAGACCCAATTTTAAAGGGACGTATTCAGTAAACCTGCACAAAAGACAATGCTACTTGAACTAGCCATCAGAAGTTCATGAAAAACGAAAAATCAATGATGTTCAGTTTAGTAAAGTAGCAAATAGTCCTACTTATGAGAGAATATAAATCACTTAAGCAATTTGTACAACTTTAAACAGCTGTTTTAAGTAGATTAGTATCGTTATGGGCAAAAATCCCCCAAAATAGCCCAAAATTTGTCCAAAAATTCAAATTTTTCATGCTCAAGGCTGAATTATTTTGCCTTTTTTGCTACATTTATCAGTGCAGTGACAAGAAGTCTTGTGGATAGCGCAACTTTTCCTGAACGTTTCTCTAATAAGATATTTTAATGACAAAATAACTACATTTAGTCTGGAATAAATTGTCACAAAATATAATGACCCCAGGGGTCAAGAGAACCCTATAAAATCAAAAGTGCTGAGAGGATTTGAGCAAAAATGTACATATCACTTCATAAAACCCCGAACTTTAAAATTCATATTGAACAAAATGCATATTCAGTCAACCATGACACTAATGGTCAATACAACTCACGTGGGATTTGTTTTGCTCATCGTATAGGAAAAGTAGTACTTAATACACTAGTTCGCTACTTTGTAGATGTATGGCACGTATATGTGTACATGTATTGGCAATTAATGTTTGGTGATAGCTAGTAGGAGTGTCAGGGACCGCTGACAGATTATTATTTTGAACCAAAAAATTGAATTATATTTTTGGCGGTCTCAGTAAATCAATGGGGTAATCAGGTCCTACGTGCTTTTTACAGGCCCAGAAATCAATGCTCGCTTATAAATGTAGCAAAATCTTTTTTCGTTCGTGGGATATTTTTTCCACCATATAACCGAACGGGAAGTTTTTGAATAGGACTACATGATCTGAATGGATGAGAGGATTCGATGGGCTGGGATTTGAGAAATTATGATTTGAACTTTGCCAATTTTACATGTATTCCAATGGGTGAAAAAGTAAGTTGCTTTCTACCTAATATGAACCACATTTATTAGTGAATTTCGAGAAATATGTCGAATTTAGCCATATTTCGCATATCTTTTTATGGAACCATTTAAAGTTTTGCAAATTAACCCCTTAAATTCTGGAGACGACGATCTAAATTTTGCTGAGTCAGCAATTTTCGTTTTTTTCATTGAAAACAGTACTTTTCAGCCTAAATTGCTACATTTCTGCTCTCTTATCAAGTAATTTGATGCAGTTCTTGCCAAATTAAAGGAAACATACCCCAAAGGTTCCACAGTGTGCGAAGTTCCAACATTTTGACCCTTTAAACCCACGAAAGACCCAATTTTAAAGGGACGTATTCAGTAAACCTGCACAAAAGACAATGCTACTTGAACTAGCCATCAGAAGTTCATGAAAAACGAAAAATCAATGATGTTCAGTTTAGTAAAGTAGCAAATAGTCCTACTTATGAGAGAATATAAATCACTTAAGCAATTTGTACAACTTTAAACAGCTGTTTTAAGTAGATTAGTATCGTTATGGGCAAAAATCCCCCAAAATAGCCCAAAATTTGTCCAAAAATTCAAATTTTTCATGCTCAAGGCTGAATTATTTTGCCTTTTTTGCTACATTTATCAGTGCAGTGACAAGAAGTCTTGTGGATAGCGCAACTTTTCCTGAACGTTTCTCTAATAAGATATTTTAATGACAAAATAACTACATTTAGTCTGGAATAAATTGTCACAAAATATAATGACCCCAGGGGTCAAGAGAACCCTATAAAATCAAAAGTGCTGAGAGGATTTGAGCAAAAATGTACATATCACTTCATAAAACCCCGAACTTTAAAATTCATATTGAACAAAATGCATATTCAGTCAACCATGACACTAATGGTCAATACAACTCACGTGGGATTTGTTTTGCTCATCGTATAGGAAAAGTAGTACTTAATACACTAGTTCGCTACTTTGTAGATGTATGGCACGTATATGTGTACATGTATTGGCAATTAATGTTTGGTGATAGCTAGTAGGAGTGTCAGGGACCGCTGACAGATTATTATTTTGAACCAAAAAATTGAATTATATTTTTGGCGGTCTCAGTAAATCAATGGGGTAATCAGGTCCTACGTGCTTTTTACAGGCCCAGAAATCAATGCTCGCTTATAAATGTAGCAAAATCTTTTTTCGTTCGTGGGATATTTTTTCCACCATATAACCGAACGGGAAGTTTTTGAATAGGACTACATGATCTGAATGGATGAGAGGATTCGATGGGCTGGGATTTGAGAAATTATGATTTGAACTTTGCCAATTTTACATGTATTCCAATGGGTGAAAAAGTAAGTTGCTTTCTACCTAATATGAACCACATTTATTAGTGAATTTCGAGAAATATGTCGAATTTAGCCATATTTCGCATATCTTTTTATGGAACCATTTAAAGTTTTGCAAATTAACCCCTTAAATTCTGGAGACGACGATCTAAATTTTGCTGAGTCAGCAATTTTCGTTTTTTCATTGAAAACAGTACTTTTCAGCCTAAATTGCTACATTTCTGCTCTCTTATCAAGTAATTTGATGCAGTTCTTGCCAAATTAAAGGAAACATACCCCAAAGGTTCCACAGTGTGCGAAGTTCCAACATTTTGACCCTTTAAACCCACGAAAGACCCAATTTTAAAGGGACGTATTCAGTAAACCTGCACAAAAGACAATGCTACTTGAACTAGCCATCAGAAGTTCATGAAAAACGAAAAATCAATGATGTTCAGTTTAGTAAAGTAGCAAATAGTCCTACTTATGAGAGAATATAAATCACTTAAGCAATTTGTACAACTTTAAACAGCTGTTTTAAGTAGATTAGTATCGTTATGGGCAAAAATCCCCCAAAATAGCCCAAAATTTGTCCAAAAATTCAAATTTTTCATGCTCAAGGCTGAATTATTTTGCCTTTTTTGCTACATTTATCAGTGCAGTGACAAGAAGTCTTGTGGATAGCGCAACTTTTCCTGAACGTTTCTCTAATAAGATATTTTAATGACAAAATAACTACATTTAGTCTGGAATAAATTGTCACAAAATATAATGACCCCAGGGGTCAAGAGAACCCTATAAAATCAAAAGTGCTGAGAGGATTTGAGCAAAAATGTACATATCACTTCATAAAACCCCGAACTTTAAAATTCATATTGAACAAAATGCATATTCAGTCAACCATGACACTAATGGTCAATACAACTCACGTGGGATTTGTTTTGCTCATCGTATAGGAAAAGTAGTACTTAATACACTAGTTCGCTACTTTGTAGATGTATGGCACGTATATGTGTACATGTATTGGCAATTAATGTTTGGTGATAGCTAGTAGGAGTGTCAGGGACCGCTGACAGATTATTATTTTGAACCAAAAAATTGAATTATATTTTTGGCGGTCTCAGTAAATCAATGGGGTAATCAGGTCCTACGTGCTTTTTACAGGCCCAGAAATCAATGCTCGCTTATAAATGTAGCAAAATCTTTTTTCGTTCGTGGGATATTTTTTCCACCATATAACCGAACGGGAAGTTTTTGAATAGGACTACATGATCTGAATGGATGAGAGGATTCGATGGGCTGGGATTTGAGAAATTATGATTTGAACTTTGCCAATTTTACATGTATTCCAATGGGTGAAAAAGTAAGTTGCTTTCTACCTGTATCCTCTGTCATGTCAACAAAGTTCAATGCACTGTATCCTGTCATGTGGACTAAGTATACCTATCTAGTCATGTAGACTAATTAAACTGTATTCTGTCATACAGACAAAGTGCATTGTATCATGTCATGTCGACTAATTATACTGTATTCTGTCATACAGACAAAGTGCATTGTATCCTGTCATGTAGACGAATTAAACTGTATTCTGTCATACAGACAAAGTACATTGTATCCTGTCATGTAGACTAATTAAACTGTATTCTGCCATACAGACAAAGTGCATTGTATCCTGTCATGTAGACTAATTAAACTATATACTGTCATACAGACAAAGTCCATTGTATCCTGTCACATAATTTACGTACACTGTATAGTGCCATGTAGACAAAGTACATTGTATCCTGTCATGTGAATGTCTTTAGTAGTTGAGCAAGTGTTGGGTCAAGGTCATTGTCTTCTCACGCAGAACTGAATGCTGTTGCGCTGCCATCTACTGGAATATAGTTGTACTATTAAAACAGCTGCTGTATAATCATGTACATGTGTAAAGCATGTACATAACAGGGCATTAACATTCAAATGTCACCACCTGCCAAACACCAACCACCGGACACTTTCCACAAAAAACTGGAGACTATAACAATATATCACCCCTTGTGTTGGTACATAACTAGTATCAGACGCAATGAGAATGTTGAAACAAGGTAAAATTGATAACAAAATGTTTGTCATAATACATGAAAAGATGAAATACATACAAGACTTGTAAATCTTGATTTCTGAATTGATCAAATATACATGTCTATCAGATTCACACTTTGATATGCGAAATTTATTTGACCAATTCTTCGCAGATCATTTTACTCAATGTTCACCAGTAGTCTGCCATTTTTAATAACAATAACTTGTGTTTAGACATATGTGGAGCCCTAAGTGTTCTGGACTCTTGAAGAAGTATTCTGACTATATAATGAGTAAAATATATTCCGAGTTAAATTATTTTATCAAATACAATCAATTGAATTAAGTCAGCCAAGAACACTTGGGGCTACACCTGTCCAAAGACATGTCAAAACTCTGTTCGAGAGCTCAAATTTAATCATCAGACTTCTTAGAATTAATCAACTATGGTATTTAAATATCCTTACCTGTCTCATGTTAAGGGTACAGATGTGAAAGCGAGGCAGTGTGCAAATAGAAAGTTCCACCAAAGGTAAGCTAGTCTTAACTATATACCATTATATATCTACAGAGAAACATTGTAAAAAAATGCATACATGTTAAAATGTGTATCTCTACATTAGATAATCATGTGATTTTTAACCCCAAACAACAATAGGTACATGTATACCATAAGGTGATACCTCCAATACAATGGCAATTTGCATTTTGATTTATTCAAAGCATATCTAAAAAAGGGTGCTTCTCAAAGGAAAATGGTTTTGGTTCATGTTAAATACAGGGGACATTACGTGAATTAGTCAAAGAATTAAGCCAAGGCCCTGGGACTTTAACCTCTTGAATCCCAGGCTCCCAGGATGAAAATTGTTCAAACAAGAGCAATTTTACATTTCACTCTGTGTTTCAAGGTCATTTCTGAGGTGACGAGAAAACTTGTCACTCCAGGTAGTCAAGAGGTTAAGGTGATACGCACTATATAAAACAACAAAAATGCATGTATATATGTACTTCTTTTTGTTAGCAATCTAACATTTGATACATTTCCTAAACAATTAATGTTCCATTATGTGATTCTAATTCTATGTAAACAATACAGGGTGGTCCAAAAAAGTGAAATTATAGCCTGTTGCAGGGGTTCACTTTTTTGGACCACCCTGTATAGGCATTCTAGACTATCAAAGTGCATGGTTAAAAGCTGGTGTATGTGGAAGTCATATAAATACACAGGCACAGTTCTATGAAAGGGGCCAATTACCTCACAAGGTTCCTAATTTAATAATTTTTTCCAAGTCCAATCAACCTAGAAGAAAACCCATTATTTGAAGAAATACAATTGAATTGAGAATAAGGAAGAAACAGAATAACACCGCTGCATCTATACATAAAAGCAAAGTTCTGTAATTTTGTAAGATTTCAAATATAATTTCAATATAGATACTAATAGACTAATGCACATATTTCTGATCACAATCCCAAAATACAGTGGAAGGAATTAAAGCACACCAATCACTTGTCCCGTCAAAAAGTTTCTAACTACTTTTTCTTACTTATTTCAATTTGACTGTTTCTTTATCAAATTGTATCTCGCTGAACTGTTAAATAAGATCACAATTAAATTCAGCATTTAATGCAGTTGTTTTGAAGTAATCTTGAGAAATGGACATATGCTGTTAACTTGTCCAAAGCAAGAGTTAACTGAAGTTAGCATCATCCAATATGATGGACAAACTTTTTTCAATATCAATAAAGCTTTGATTTCAGCTTAACCAAGCAAAATGTGAATTCCATCTTCTAGATAAATATATGTTTCAAAGTGAAAAGTGGCTACACAATAATGTATCAAAGGTAAAATATTAAATATTGATTTAATAGTATTAAAATGATAAGTGACTACATAACAATCTATCAAAGGGCAAAGGGACTACAAATCCATGTATCAAAGTGAAAAAGACATATTGGTGACTTTTCATCAATATATCAACGTTCATGTAAAAAGTGACAATACAACAATGTATCAAAGTGTAAAAGATTAAATATTGATTTAGTATTAAAATGATAAGTGACTACAAAACAATATAATTATCAAAGTGCAACTAAACTAAAAATCAACGTACTAGTATCAAAGTAAAAAATACTACATATTAATGTAGTATTAAAGTGAAAAGTGGCTACAATATATGAAAGTGTAAAGGGACTATAAATCAATATATCAAAGTAAAGTAAAAAGTGACTACACAACAATGTATCAAGATGAAAAAGACTACATATTGATGTAGTATCAAGATGATATGTGACTACATAACAATCCCTCAAAGTGCAAAGGGACATATTGGTGACTACAAATTAATATATCAAAGTTTTTGTAAAAAGAGACCACACAACAATGTGTCAAGATGAAAAGGACTAAATATCGATGTAGTATCAAAATGATTAATGACTATTAATGACTACGTTACAATATATATAAGTGTAACTGAACAAAAGTGAAAAAGACTACGTATTGATGTTCAAAATGAAAAGTGACTTCTTAACAATATGTGAAGTGTAGTGTAAAGGGACTATAAATCAATGTATCAAAGTAAAGTGACTACACAACAAAGTATCAAGATGAAAAGGACTACACATTAATGTAATATCAAAATGATAATGACTATGTTACAGTATATCAAAGTAAAGTGAAAAGTGACTACAACTGTATCAAGATGAAAAAGACTACACATTAATGTAATATCAAAATGATAATGACTATGTTACAGTATATCAAAGTAAAGTGAAAAGTGACTACAACTGTATCAAGATGAAAAAGACTACATATTGATGTAGTATCAAGATGATAATGACTACGTAACAATATATCAAAGTAAAGTGAAAAGTGACTACAACTGTATCAAGATGAAAAAGACTACATGTTGATGTAGTATCAAAGTGAAAAGTGACTACATTGCAATACATCAAAGTGTTAAGTCACATATAACATTGTGTCACTAGTGTGTAAAGTGACTACATGTATATATTAATGTATTAAAGTGACAACGAAACAAAGGGTGGACAAAATATTAAGAAAACACTGAGCAATCAGAGCAGCTTAAATAACTTATATAACAAAGAGTGATAGTATTTTGTTAGAAAATCAGAGGTTCAATATCTAAATACTGAAACAAAGTTAGTCCAAAAGTAAAAAGGAATTAAATCGAGTTTAATTTAATGTGTGTCTTCCACTCCCAATTTTGAGTGTATGTGTATATTAGCCTTATAATTAGGTACAATTAATCAAATCCATGATTTTGCGTATCATCATTATTACAGCGAAATATCTGAAACAGAATAGGTCAATCTGCTCTGGGTGTGACATAAATGAATAAATTCCATGAGTTGAGTCATTTGGTCTTATTTTGAACCTCTGATATTTAGAACTTAAATAGTGAGGTGGGGTGGGGGTGGGGGGTCACAAACCTGGGTTACTAAAAGATGTAGGCACTTCTAGTGAGTCTTCTTCATCACCAAACATCAAACTTTCAGCCTAATTAATTCCATTGGAATATTAGTCAGAATAAATTTTTACAATAAAACCTGCACTGTGCAAAAAAGGCTATATAGTAATAGAATATCCTGTTAACTATGCTCTAATATCAACTGTCATAGTGTGAAATATCTCCCGTATCTCCCGTGTTGAATAGACACATGCTATATCCAGATATTTGGCGGACAACTAGTATAGTTAGTACTATTTGCCACTCTACTAAAAAATATGAACTAATATAAGCTGTGTTATATATCAAGGCTAACATATAGTTTGTCTACCACTCTATCAGATCTACAGAAAGGATATACTAGCCGATTCTATGAACAACAGCTTCTTCTAGCATATATCAGGATATACTATTAAATCAGAGCTCCAAAAACAAGAGATACGACAACTATACGAAATGACGTCATCACATCTTATTTCTGTAACTTATCTGGCTTATTAATGATTGATGACTTGTTTACATTGATAATTAATCCGTTTGTTAGAGTGAATGGATTAATTTTCTACAACCACGGGTTCTTATTTCCTTAAAAATAATTTTTGAGTTAATTTTTTATATGCATTTAATTGTATAATGTCCTTAATGCTATAATAAACATTGTGTTAAATTTTGAATTTAATTGATCAACTCCACGGAAAGTTATTTTTTTAATTATTGAGTTTTCCTCTCAATCGGTTTTTCCCTGCAGATTGTTTACACCTGACAAAAAAGCTATTTAATGTTAAAAACAGTTAAGTAATCTCAAACAATTTGATTAAAATATCAGAGATAAACACTAGAATAGTATTTGCGATTAAGCTGATTCTATTTAGAATTTCACCATGACAAATTTACATTGATAATTAATCCGTTTGTTAGAGTTTATAACACATTTCATTGGCGCATTTAGAGATGCAAGTAAATTGCATGGAACTTAATGATTCATAATTCATGTTCTATGTTATCTAGATTATCTGAGATAAACATCAAGATTGGTCTCAGTAATACATTTGTTTCTATTTAACACTGTAATATTGATCAGTAATTGGGATATTCCATCAATGCATCCAATTGTAGAATAATACATACCATTGTAAATGTCATTTTATTCTGTAATATTGAGCAGTATTTGGGAAATCTAATTGAAGCAAACTATTGTAGAATGATGCATACCATTAGAATGTCATTTTATACAGTAATATTGAGCAGTAATTGGGATATTCAGTCGATGCAAACTATTGTAGAATGATAAATACCATTAAAATGTCATTTTACACAATAATATTGAGCAATAATTGGGATATTCAATCAATGCAAACTATTGTTGAAATGATCCATACCATTGTAAATGTTTTACACTGTAATATTGAGCAGCAATCTGGATTCGGGATATCGAATCAATGATATGATAAACATTGTGTTAAATTTTGAAATAAATCCATCGACTCAGTGGAAAGTTACTGTTTTAATGTTAATTAGTTTTCCTCTCGGCTTTACATGTACTACATTGTTTCTCTTTCACATTGAGTTTCAACCAGAAAAAAGCTCTATTTTAAACAGGCACAACCAACATATACCATAGTTATGCACTTTGTTACCTAACTTGTATAATTCCCTTATATTTCACAATTCATGTTTTTGTTATCTATAATTAATATCTGCAGTGTTATGTGTGATGTTATGTTGATAAGCGTTAAAAGCAATTTACAGTGTTTATAATATCTGAAACACACCAGATTAGTAAAGTTGTCTCTATTAACAATTCCACCATGTTTACCAAGTTTATATTAATCCATTTGTTAGAGTTTATGGATTAATTTAATGGCACATTTAGAGATGCAAGAACAAGTGCATGGAACTTAATAATTCACAATTCATGTTCTATGTTATCTAGATTATCTGAGATAAACATCAGATTGGTCTCAGTAATACATTTGTTTCTATTGTACACTGTAATTTTGATCAGTAATTGGGATATTCCATCAATGCATATTATTGTAGAATGATGCATACCATTGTTAATGTCATTTTATACTGTAATATTGAGCAGTAATTGGGAAAATCAATAAATGCAAACTATTGTAGAATGATGAATTCCATTGAAATGTCATTTTATACAATAATACTGAGTAATAATTGGGATATTGAATCAATGCATACTATTGTTGAAATGATGCACACCATTGTAAATGTCAAGTTATACTGAATATTGAACAGTAATCGGGATTCGGGATATTGAATCAATGCATAATATTGTAGAATGATGCACACCATTGTAAATGTCATATATTCTGTAATATTGAGCAGTAATCGGGAAATGATGTAAATAACATCTTGAGACATGTCAGAGCAAAATGCTAAAATAAATGTTTAATCCCTAATTATTCAATTTCAGTGGAATGAGTTTTGAAAACTAATCCGTTTACTAAAGTTAATAGATTAATTTCTACAACTGACGGTTCTAAGTTCCAATAAAAATAATTTGCAAATGAATTCTTTAAAATAAATTTGATGGCATAATGTCCCCAACGCTATGATAAACATTGTGTCAAATTTTGAAATAAATCCATCAACTCTGTGGAAAGTTACTGTTTTAATTTTAATAAGTTTCCTCTCGGTTTTACATGTACTACAATGTTTCTCTTTCACATGAGTTTTATATTAATCCATTTGTTAGAGTTTATGCATTAATTTAATGTCACCTTTAGAGATACAAGAACAAGCGCATGAAACATAATACTTCATAATTCATGTTCTATGTTATCAAGATTATCTGAGATAAACATCAGATTGGTCTCAGTAATACATTTGTTTCTATTTTACACTGTAATATTAATCAGTAATCGGGGTATTCCATTAATGCATACTATTGTAGTAATGTATACCATCCTAAATGTAATTTTATACTGTAATATTGAGCAGTAAATACAATTGATGTAAACTATCGTAGAGTGATGCATACCATTAAAATTCATTTTATACCCGGGTCTTATACAATAATATTGAGTAATAATTGGGATATTCAGTCAATGCATACTATTGTTGAAATGATGCATACCATTGTAAATGTCAAGTTACACTGAATATTGAGCAGTAATTGGGATTCGGGATAGTGAATCAATGCATATTATTGTAGAATGATGCATACCGTTGTAAATGTCATATATTCTGTAATATTGAGTAGTATTGGGAAATGATGTAAAGAACATCTTGAGACATGTCAGAGCAAAATGCTAACATAAATGTTTAATCCCTAATTATTAAATTTCAGTGTAATGAGTTTTGAAAACGAATCCGTTTATTAAAGTTAGTGGATTAATATCTACAACTGACGGTTCTAAGTTCCAATAAATATAATTTGCAAATGAATTCTTTTAAATAAATTTGATGACATAATGTCCCCAACACTCTGATAAACATTGTGTCAAATTTTGAATTAAATCCATCAATTCTTTGGAAAGATACTATTTTAATGAATGAGTTTTCCTCTCGGTTTTACTACATTGTTTCACCTTCAGATTGAGTTTACATTGGAGAACAGAGGCTTCATTTTACACAGATAAAACCTACAATCTGTATGCCCTTTGTTAAACAACGTGTATTCCCTTATATTTCATAATTCATGTTTTCTGTTAATATCTATTATATCTGCTGTATTATAAGTGTTAAAAAACAATTTAGTTATCTCAAACAATGTGTTTATAAAATCTGAAAAACCACCAGATTATAGTCCCTTTGATAAAGCAGTTTCTATTTAGAAATCCACATGACAAGTTTACATTAATCCGTTTGTTATAGTTTATGGATTAATCTAATGGTACTTGTGTGGGGTAATTATAGAAAACAGTTTTGAACAATGGAATGTAACTAATACTTATTAACTTTTGTACATACATTTTACCTCACTAAGTGTTAAAATAACAAAGTTATTTATCTTAATGACAATTCACTTTCTTAATAGACAACAGAGAAGGGATAGGCTTCTCCAATTTGTTTATCTAATAGCTTAAATATTTAAGTTGTGGTTAATAAGCTAGATAAGTGATTTTACTTTATTAGCGCTGCAAGCAATGAGACCTGATGACGTCATTTCGTATAGTTAGAGTATCTCCTGTTTTGGGGGCCTGATTTGGGAGTATCTCCTGATATAAGCTGAAATAAGCTGTCTCTAGCACAGAATAGGCTGCATATCTCCTGTTGTGTATATCCAGTACTGTATGAATAGTAAGATATAGTCAGTTTTTTAAGAGTATAGACAGAAGATATTTAATATAGATAGCAAATCTCCTGATCATATTTCTATTTAAATTAGTATAATTTGGGACCTATTCTTTGACATACCATCAAATAATTTGATATAGGTGGTATGATACTCAAATTTGTCCGTATTAAACATTTGATATCTGACTATATTTTAGGGGATTCTAAGGCGATTTGCAAACTATTTATGCCAATCTCCTGAAATAAAACAGGAGATATCGCACATTTTGCACAGTGCTGTATATCCGAAAACCTGGCTAATTCAAACACCTCCCATATTTGAATACTTTTTTTCTCAAACCTAATATTAAAGAAAATATATACGAAACAGATTTCAAGCAAGTTTTTTAAAATCATAATTTAGGTTATTATAATAAATTTGGCTATTTACAAAATGAAATAAATACTATCAAATAAATATATGAATAAATATACAAATAGAACCTGTTTGATTACTTTATAAAAAAACACATACCTTTTCCTCGTATACTTTATTAGATCTATTGCTGCTTCCTGCAATGAAAAGGTAAACCATTTAATCATGAGAAAAAGAGGAACTAAAAATTAAAAATGGACAAAATAGGTTTCATCAGATTGCTCATTTTGACGATGAAGGCTGGAAGTTACTTAAGTAGTTGTAGCGTCTCTGTTTAAAAGGCAGGCCTGTAGCCAGTTTGTGAATATCCCTAACTAACTTCATACAAAATCATGCAGTTTGTCACCAGTTTGAGCACTTTTCAAGTATGATTTTGCACCCCCTCCTGGAATTCCTTTAGACCTGAATCCCCCTTACCAAAAGCTGGCTATGGGCCTGAAAGGTATTGTGGCCATTTTGAAATATGACACCATTTTGATAAAATGCGACTGGAGACATTCAATTAATCAATACGTAATATATAATTTTACTTACTGGGTCCTATACTTGGTTCGTACGTGGTTTCATCTTTTTCTATGAATGGAACAAATGGTTTACTTGAACTGTTTGCTCTTGGAGCTGCGAAAAAGTATGGTGGAGCAAGACCTTCATATATCGGATTGACAAAGTTAGCCTCTTTCTTATCTGATTCTGCTACTGATTCCTTTTCTTTTTTCTCCTTTTCTCTTTTCCTGAAAGAGATCAAGTAAATGTAGTATTGTATATTAGTCAAAATGAGGAAATACCCAAATTCAGAGATGAACCTGTCCTATATCCATGTAAAACCTAGGTTCATTTATTCTTTATATGGAAATAGATTCATCTATGAATTTTGGTGTATTCCCCGTCTTGTATAATCCTGGATACAACTGGTTAAAAGGTATAGGTAAATGAAATTGCATTGATGAGGCCAAATATGAGGCATGTGAGGCAATACCCTACCCTCACCAAATATTGACAAATATATAATTATTCTTTCAAATTGAAGTGTTAAAATGAGTCTGATATCATTTTATCCCTTCTAGTTAAAATTTGGTTACTGCATTCTTTTTAATCTGCCTTTACCTTGCCTATTCTGGGCATTTTACAGTGTACTAAATTTTGCCTTGTTTATTTTCTACTCTAGCTATGTCCCAAATCTTATTAACAATCTTCACAAAATGTAGTACAGTATCTATCAATTTTATTTATCTATTTAATTGGACACTACTCTTTCGAAACAGCAACACACCAATTGGGTGCATCCACATAAGCCTTAATTACATATTAGAATCTTAACATTAGTATATTTCAAAAGAGAGGAAACACAAAAAGTAAACAAAAAATAGCCGGTGGGCTGTACATACTTCTTGCAATAACGACAGCAAGCTAGAAGAATTGCCAACAAGGCAATTAATACTACGGCAGCAAGGGAGCCTAGAATGATCCGCAGGATTTGTGTAGCATTATCTGGGGCTGAAACAAAAATAAGTCAGTGCTTCATGGAAAATCAATTCTACCTCGAGTCTGTTTTTAACTTCAATTCGAAACAGTAAAGCACTGGTGCTCCATGGGATCACACTGGTTACTGAACGGTTCGTTTCAGTAACTGGTGTAATCGAGTGGAGTACCAGTGTTAATGTTAACAATTCCCTATCCTATCAGTGGGAAAGTACACTTCAAAATATCAATTTGTAAAAGGAATGCACATATCAAAGTATCAAGTGTAAGAGCATTGGTGCAAGACTGAAGAAAATGAAGCTTACCTCGTAATGATTCACAGTCATCCCCAGTATACTCCTCAGTGCATGTACAAGCAACATCAGTGCCTGCTGTATTATTGTAGCATGTGCCTCCATGTTGACACTTTCCATCACACTTGACTGCAAACAGAGAATTAAAACATACAGGCCCGTAGCCAGGGGGGTTCGATGGGTTTGAGCGAACCCCCCTTGCCAAAAATTAATTCAAAATCATGCAGTTTTTCACCATTCTGAGCACTTTTTAATTGATTTTGGCCAATTCTGGACCAAAATTATCACAAGTGAATGCCCCCTGGAATTTTTCAAAAAGTGAACCCCCCTTGGCAAATCCTGACTAAGGGCCTGACATAGCTATATAATAACACATGTCTCTTAGAGAAAATTTGATCACAATATTCAGTGAGCTAATTCATAAAGTATTGTTCTTAAGTAAAACCTGTCCAATCCAAACACTTTACAAACCAGCCAAAAGTGTTCAAATAAATGGTTTCAAGGTTTCTTAATATGTCAATCAATGGGACAATGAGAGATATATTTCTCAAAATGTTATCAAATTAAAAATGTTCATGATGTCAGATGAAATATAATGAGTTGATATAATGAGTTGGTATAGTCAAAAGCCTCCTGTCCAATCCATTTCGTTTTCTGTAATATTATGTACATGTATGATACTTAAATGCTCACTTACATGTGCATGTTGTGCCTGTATCTCCATTGTACAGGGCTGGGCACTTACAACTGAAGCCAGTGTCACTATTACACAGGGCCACAGGATCACATTCAAGGTTATCACAAATTGCTGGAACATAATGTAATTTATATTGAGGCATGATACAGTATTACAAGAGAAGCCAGTATCACTATTGCACAGGGCCACAGGATCACATGCAAGGTTATCACAAATTGCTGGAACATAATGTAATTCATATTGAAGCATGATAACAATATTACAACTGGAGCCAGTATCACTATTACAAAGGGCCACGGGATCACATGCAAGGTTATCACAAATTGCTGGAACATAATGTAATTCATATTGAAGCATGATAACAATATTACAACTGGAGCCAGTATCACTATTACAAAGGGCCACGGGATCACATGCAAGGTTATCACAAATTGCTGGAACATAATGTTATTGATATTGAGGCATGATAACAATATTACAACTGAAGCCAGTGTCACTATTGCACAGGGCTACGGGATCACATGCAAGGTTATCACAAATTGCTGGAACATAATGTAATTCATATTGAAGCATGATAACAATATTACAACTGGAGCCAGTATCACTATTACAAAGGGCCACGGGATCACATGCAAGGTTATCACAAATTGCTGGAACATAATGTAATTCATATTGAAGCATGATAACAATATTACAACTGAAGCCAGTATCACTATTGTACAGGGCCACGTGATCACATGCAAGATTATCACAAATTGATGACAACAGTATAAAACAAGCATAATCTATACAAGATATAAATCAAATATGGTATGAATGATTAAACGTTTTGTGTCACTGACAGCTTGAATACAAGGTATTAACATGCAAAATGTCACCACCTGTCATTTGTTACAGACACTGCTAATGACCCCAAAACATCGTCGACAAAAAAGTTGGAGACAATAACAATATGTCAACACTTCTGTTGGTGACATAATTATCAAATTCTTACAGGTTGATTCATACATTGATTTAGTGATTTCGTCATGAATAATTCCTAAAATCCCACAAGCTTTGTCTTGCAAAATTATCTTCTATTTCCTTAATTTGTGATATTAGATTGTGAGCCCAGGCCTGTAAATAATAATCACTGATGACAAATACACCTAATCTCTTCAAAATAAGTTCTAAATATTTCCATAATGGAAATGACTCTCATGTTCTTGGATATTAAAGGTATAACTTTTGCTTCAAAATCAAATTGAGAAGACCCATACATATATGCACATGGTATTTTTAGTACAACTAAGTAATTCTATGTTCATGTACATGGTATTTACTTACAAGAACAATCGCTTGCAGATGTAGATCCAGTGTTGGTGGTATTAAAGCCTGGCTCACATTGTGTGCAGTTGGTCTGTGCTGCCAATGGTTGGTAGCTGCCATGAGGGCATTCCACGCATTTGTTACTCGGTTTATCGTAGTAATTCCCTTCTAGACACTCAACTGTAGTAAAATATAATAGAAACAGTTAAGATCAAGACATTGAGATATTCAAAACCATATGGGATATTTAAAACCATTACAGTAAGTAAACTTTACTTATGTACATAAACATTACTTGAGTACTTATGTTCATAAACATTACTTATTTACATAAATATCACTTATGTACATAAACTTCACTTATCTACATAAACTTACCAACATTACAGTCAGATGCAGATGTGGCCCCTTCACCCTCAGTGCTCAGTTGGCTGTTGGGACAAGGGGTACAGCTTGCCAGTAAGCCATCATTGTTGTCCTTGTAGCTTCCCTTGGCACATTTAACACACTCTCCACTTGTTGAGTTGATGTATTCTCCACTTGGGCAATAGGCTGAAAGAGGAATCAATAACAGCTGAGATGTACACCCCTGTTTGAATCTTAATCTTAATCTTTACGAGATGTACACCTCTTTTTGAATCTTAATTTTACCAAGATGTACACTCCTGTTTGAATCTTAATTTTACTGAGATGTACACTCCTATTTGAATCTTAATTTTACTGATATGCACCCCCTGTTTGAATCTTAATTTTACCAAGATGTACATCCCTGTTTCAATCTTAATTTTACTGAGATGTACACCCCTGTTTGAATCTTAATTTTACTGAGATGTACACCCCTGTTTGAATCTTAATTTTACCGAGATGTACATCCCTGTTTGAATCTTAATTTTACCGAGATGTACACTCCTGTTTGAATCCTAATTTTACCGAGATGAACACCCCTGTTTGAATCTTAATTTTACCGAGATGTACACTCCTGTTTGAATCCTAATTTTACCGAGATGAACACCCCTGTTTGAATCTTAATTTTACAGAGATGTACACCCCTGTTTTGAATCTTGATTTTGCAATTGAGACAACAAAAATGTTCCATGAAATCAATGTGTTAAGCTGTTCTAATTTATACAAAGTAGTATACTCACGGACACAGTCGTCAACACTATCGGAGCCCACTGCACTAGTGATATTCCTACCATCCCCAGTCTTTGCGTCACAGCTGTAACACTGTGTGTCATAAACATTGGGTGCTCTGGGGAGTTGTATGGTCTCGTTGTTATATGTACCAGATGGACACGGTATGCAGGTCCCAGTTGCATTACGATATTCTCCAGCACGACAATTACCTGGAAAAAATGCTGATTTTTCTCACATTTACATTACACTCTCAATTTGAAGGCCAATAACAGGAGCTTTATAAAGTTAAGAATTCGTAAAACCCATTGTTCTCTAACTGTGACTTCATTATATCCATGGTTACAACAATTGATTTACGAATTCGTAACTTTACTACGTTTCTGTCAATGACCCCCTGATCCATAAAAAATCCATGGTGACACAACACAACATGTTATCAGGGATCAACAGAGCATGGATTCCACCTGGATGCTGATTTGCTGACTGTATACCTGTGAAAAAAGTAACTAAAATAAATATAAGAAATGCAATGTATTACTACAACATATAACACCTTCAGTAATGGTTTATGTCAACAATTGTACATGTATGCCATTTTGGAAAACACAATGCATCTGCACATTGAACTCTGAATACAAGGCATTAACATGCAAAATGTCTCCACCTGCAATTTGTTACAGACACTGACTGCTAAATGCTGTTACAGATGTTGAATGCAAAACACCAACTGCCAAACACCAAACACAAAAAAGTTTGTGGTGACATAATAAGTGATTATATCAGAGCCTAGATCAAGCGTTTTAGTACAGCAACCATACAATCAAGCACATGACAATATGCAACTTTGAAATCAACAGCACACAAAATTATGAGCACTACATTACCTATACTGCAATCATCCTCGCTAGTTGCTCCTAAGATTGGAGTGAGCTTTGTAGAATCACATGGATCGCAAGGTCCCAGCCCATCCATGTCTTTATATTCACCATATGTACAGTTGGTACAGTTGACAGTTCCTGTTTTCCCTGCTGGACATTCAACTATAAAAATAAACAAATAACAATTTAGCTTGGAATGGTCAAACTCAAGAATGACTGAATGAATTATGATAATTATATAAGGTATTTCTGATACTTAAAGCACATATTTTGTCAACTGTCATCAAGAACAGTTATTTTTTTTATATACAGTGGCCACTGGCGGATCAAGAAAGAAATTCTTGGGCCCCTAAAACCCAAAATATGGCCCAAATTTTGAAAATCTAAGGCCAAATTATGCCAAAAAGCCCATTTTCAGGCCCTACAAAGTTTTTGGGCCCTAAAACATTTTTCTGGGGCCACAAAAGGGGGGAGGGGAGTCCAGGACCCATGGGCCCCCCTCTGGATCCGCCAGTGGTGACCCACCACCATGCAGCAATTAAACAGTGATTCAAAGATATACATTGACTCACTTGTGCACTCAGTAACAGATGTTGAAGCATTCCCCACAGTGCTCTGATCATCTCCAGGGCAATCTATACATCCAGTCTGCCAGACCTTGTCCTGATATGAGCCTTTGAGACATGCTTTACATGTGTTATCACCCTCATCAAGGTAGTACCCAGCTGAACAGTTAGCTACAATAAGATATTACAAATATTACATTATATATCGAGGCAAATACACATTTACATTCCTCTTTTGTTATATTTTCTGCATTCTAAAAGACCAGGGAGTAGGCAATAAATTAATCTCAGATACAGTTTATCTAAAATTGCCCAAATGATGTCCAAGTATTTAGATGATACATATAATATGGGAGCTTTAAAATGATTAAGAATTGAATTATTGAATTCAATCATCAAGACCCTATCAATTAATGGCTGGTCCTGGTCTTCAGATTAGACAGTCTTTCAGAGTGGAGCATTAGACAGGTTTTCAGAGTCGGGTTCGGATTAGACAGGTTTTCAGAATGGAGTTCAGTTTAGACAGGTTTTCAGAGTGGTGTTCAGATTAGACAGGTTTTCAGAGTGGTGTTCAGATTAGACAGGTTTTCAGAGTGGAGTTCAGTTTAGACAGGTTTTCAGAGTGGGGTTCAGATTGGACAGGTTTTCAGAATGGAGTTCAGTTTAGACAGGTTTTCAGAGTGGTGTTCAGATTAGACAGGTTTTCAGAGTGGAGTTCAGATAAGACAGGTTTTCAGAGTAGATTCAGATAAGACAGACGTTCAGAATGCAGTTCAGATTGGACAGATTTCGAGTGGAGTTCAGATTAGACAAGCTTTCAGAGTGGAGTTCAGATAAGACAGGTTTTAAGAATGGAATTCAAATTATACAGGTTTTACTGTACCTATAGTGCAGTTTTCACTGGAGATGGAGCCATTGCCAAGAGTGATGAATTCTGGATCACATATGACACACATGCCCAATAATCCTTCAGAATTATCCTTATAGAAACCACGTCCACATTCAACACAGTCATCACCAATCAGCTCCTCACCACTAGGGCAATACTCTGGCAATACAAAAAAATTTACAACATTAAGTTTTCATGGTTTCTTTATTTTTATTTTTAAAATTATTTCCATTACATATCGAAGAAGGTACATTCATTTTTTCCCCATTTCCATCATTTGCTTTGAAATAGATCAATGAAAATGGTATAACGTCTCTTAAAGACTAACTTTTAACCAATACTGTATTGTAAAATTGTAAAATGTATGTTTATCATGTAACTGTACTGTAATTGTTTTTTCCAATTGCTTTAACATGCTTATTCTTTGAAATAAAAAAATTATAAAAAAAAGAAGAAAAAAAAGATCAATGAAAATGATTGGATGCGAACTTACTGGTACATTGCGTCTCATTGACACTTGCATTGGTGGGAGTGGTAGTCCCTTCAGTGCAGCTATAGCAGAAATCCTGTCGTGTTTCATTCTGCCAGCTACCTATAGGGCATGCCTCACAGCCAGTTGGTGTCTCCTTATAGCCAGCCTCACAATCAACTTTATATAAAAATATTAAATGATATTATATGATACATGCAATGACAGAGGAGATTGGGAGAATCATAATATCATTGCATAGAATTATTTTATCCATAGAATTTATTTGACTTTCTTATTCAAAGAATCTATTTGATGTATACATATAAAAACATAAAAACTTGTAGCAGCTCTGCCATAGAATTATAAGCTACTTGAAGGAAACAAAAATTACTTATGTTACAACATCAAGGTAATACAAATGAGTGGTATTTGCTCCCCATCTTTTAACATAAAAAGTTTTAAAAATATTACTTTTTGCGACATTATGATACTTACACAATGTACATTCTGATGCATTCTTAGCCCCGGTGCTTCTTGTCTGCATATCACCGTCGCATGCAGAGCAGTTGGTATAGAAGCCATTGTACTGGTTGCTCCTATAGAAGCCCTGCTTGCAAGGCACACAACTCCCCCCACCTGGGGATTCTTCCTCACCATCAAGGCAGAAAACTGCAAATATCGAACATATAGAACATAGGCCCATTGTTGTAAATGGGGGGGGGGGGGGAGTTGATCTCCCTGTCAAATCATGATTCATTTTGGGACTTTTTAGATTTCATTTCCCATAATGGGCTTTAAAGAGAGGAATGGTTTCAAAAGGGACTCAAATGTTTGTTTCTAAAGTGCAGATTTTAAACAAAATCTTCACCACTTTTTCTTAAATGTTCTTGACTTGACATTATCGTTGTTATGGACTGAATAGGTTTCCTTTCAGTTTTCGGAGTTATTTTCATTATATTTTTATTGCATCATATTGTATATTCTATGACCCAAATGTGATGATCTTGCTTCCCAAAAATCTTAATACTAGATTTTATATTTGAACTAGATCTTTCTTTGCATGATTTACATTTAACAAAACTGTGAAACTAAAAATAACACATACATTTGCATTCAGTCTCATTGATAGAGCCCAGGTTGTCTGTTCGTTCATTCACGCTACAGTTCTGACACTGGGTCTGCCACTTTTCTGGATTATATGTTCCTATCGGGCACGGTTGACACTCATCTGTTGCATTGATGAATGTGCCTTTGTCACAGTCCCCTGAAATATAGGGGCATGGATTAAATGTGGAAATATCACCCAAATCAAATTATGAATATTAAGAAGAGGACATTTTAATCTACAAGATGTCAAAATATCAAAATTGTAGTGATTGAGTGGGGGGACCAACAATATCACCCAACAATGTGTTGGTTCCCCCACTCAATCACTACATTCTATCCTATGAGGACATGTCCAAAACTTGAAGAAGCAAGATGTTAAATACATATAGTAGACCATGTGTAAGTGGAACATCTTTACTTGCTCAAAATAGACCTCAACTTACAGAGGTTCATTTGGAATGAGTGACGGGAAAAGGGTTCCACTTTACAGAGGTGTTCCATTATGTTCAAAAATCTTAAGCGTTTGAACAATAATTAAAAAGAAATAAAAATATTGATTTAGGAGGGTATATATTATAATGTATGAAAAAATTGAGATGTACCACTAAACTTTTAATTATCCAGTGTATCTATTGTTACTAATCTTTGAATTCTTTAAATGCACAAAACAATGGTGATTTACTTAAGTTGCAGTCATCAGTGCTGTTTGACTTGGTACTCCGTGTTGTGTAGCCTGGTCTGTAGTCCTCACATGGTACGCAACGTGTCTGTACGCCATATTCCCTGAAGTAGCCCACTTCACAGTCAATACATTTGCCATCATCAGCATTAAGCTCTGTCCCTCCAAGGCAGGCATCTGAAATATGATATACCAACACAATTGTTATGAATGCCCAAACACTTCGTAGTTTGCACATTTATGTCCTATTCTGAAGTAGCCCACTTCACAGTCAATACACTTGCCATCTTTAGCATTTAGCTCTGTACCCCCAAGGCAGGCATCTGAAATATGATATACCAACACAATTGTTATGAATGCCCAAACACTTCGTAGTTTGCACATTTATGTCCTATTCTGAAGTAGCCCACTTCACAGTCAATACACTTGCCATCTTTAGTATTCAGCTCTGTCCCTCCAAGGCAGGCATCTGAAATATGATATACCAACACAATTGTTATGGATGCTCAAACACTTTGTAGTTTGCACATGTATGTTCTATTCTGAAGTAGCCCACCTCACAGTCAATACACTTGCCATCTTTAGCATTTAGCTCTGTACCCCCAAGGCAGGCATCTGAAATATGATATACCAACACAATTGTTATGAATGCCCAAACACTTTGTAGTTTGCACATGTATGTCCTATTCTGAAGTAGCCCACTTCACAGTCAATACACTTGCCATCTTTAGTATTCAGCTCTGTACCCCCAAGGCAGGCATCTGAAATATGATATACCAACACAATTGTTATGGATGCTCAAACACTTTGTAGTTTGCACATGTATGTCCTATTCTGAAGTAGCCCACTTCACAGTCAATACACTTGCCATCTTTAGTATTCAGCTCTGTACCTCCAAGGCAGGCATCTGAAATATGATATACCAACAAAATTGTTATGGATGCTCAAACACTTTGTAGTTTGCATATGTATGTCCTATTTTGAAGTAGCCCACTTCACAGTCAATACACTTGCCATCTTTAGCATTTAGCTCTGTACCCCCAAGGCAGGCATCTGAAATATGATATACCAACACAATTGTTATGAATGCCCAAACACTTTGTAGTTTGCACATGTATGTTCTATTCTGAAGTAGCCCACCTCACAGTCAATACACTTGCCATCATCAGCATTCAGCTCCGTACCTCCAAGGCAGGCATCTGAAATATGATATACCAACAAAATTGTTATGGATGCTCAAACACTTTGTAGTTTGCACATGTATGTCCTATTCTAAAGTAGCCCACTTCACAGTCAATGCACTTGCCATCATCAGCATTCAGCTCTGTCCCTCCAAGGCAGGCATCTGAAATATGATATACCAACAAAATTGTTATGGATGCTCAAACACTTTGTAGTTTGCACATGTATGTCCTATTCTGAAGTAGCCCACCTCACAGTCAATACACTTGCCATCATCAGCATTCAGCTCTGTCCCTCCAAGGCAGGCATCTGAAATATGATATACCAACACAATTGTTATGAATGCTCAAACACTTCGTAGTTTGCACATGTATGACCTATTCTGAAGGACAAGTCTCGGTTTGGAGAACAAATATCAAAATTGTCCAAAGAAGGCATAGTGTGCAGTATAGACTGAAGAACTTCGTTCTTCAAACCGAGAATGGTCCTTTACTAGAATTATTGTGATTCTTATATTTTTGTTTCTGATCACTATGGTAAATACAGGGTGGTCAAAAAAATGGAAACCCTGCATTTTCCTCATATCTTTGTCATTTTAAGAGATTACTCCCTGATATTTTACATATTTGTAAATCATCCAATTTCCTACTACCCTACCATATTTCATGACCATCAGACTGATAGTCAGAATTTTACAGCACTTTGAACAACATGCTTCAGGTTTGGCATTATTGTGCTGTAGGCAAACCTGCACAGTTGTCAATGATCCAAATGCATTCCTCAGCAGATATGGCTTGAATGATACAGATGATCTTACTTTTGAGGTCTGCAATTGTCCTGAGGTCATTCTTATACACTCTATCTCTGCCATATTCCCATAAGTAGGGACATTTTTAACGACATGTACAGGTTGGTCTATAGCGCAATAGTGGTCACCGGGAATGTTCTTTAAAATGCTGTAACACTGTGACTATCAATCTGATGGTCATGAAACAAGGTAGGCAAATAGGAAATTAAATGATGTTCAAATGTGCAAAGTTATTTCTTAAAATGACAAAAATATTGGGAAAATGGTGTTAGGGTTTCCAGTTTTTTTACCACCCTGTACATACCACATGAATGGGAGATTATGACTCATCAAGTTGAATACATGAGAACTAAATACAACAGACTGAATCCAACAAAGAAAGAGTGAACGCAGTAGATCAACCAGATTTGATTTGAGTCCAACAGTGGAAAACCATTTGGGATCATTTTCTGGTAAATGAAAATTGTCTTTGAAATACCAACTATTCAATCCCATATTGTTATGTGTATTCCATGTGAAAATTTATTTTATGTGTAAGTTGTTCTAATCATGCTGTACTGAAAACTTTAAATTGACCAGTGTCTCTCTTACTGTTAATGAAAGCAGATCATATACAGTTGCACCAAAAAACTGAAGCACACCACAGGCCACAGAATCACACACATCTATACATACCATAACACTGTGAGGCATTTACTGTCCCGTTTTCGGCTGTTGTCTTATCCACAGGGCAGGGCCAACAGAAGAATTGACCCTCATCTTGCTGATAAAATCCTATGGGACATTTCTCACATGAATCGCTAGTCTTGTCAAAGTATTGACCTGGGTCACACGATTCTAAAATATGAAAAAAATGAATGTTATTTCAATTTGGCAGACTGAGTAAACAAAAAATTAAGGCAGAAAACAGAATTTGTTCGACAATGGCACCAATCAATAAACAAATCTCAAAACCTTCACAATTTCCAATAGAGACATTAAAAATGTATTCAAATATATACAAAATATATACAATTGTCATCATGTTATCATTTGAAATGAGACAAAAAACGTCACTAATTCTTATTTACTTTTGCAGTCATCCTCGCACTTTGTGCCTGGTAGCTCTGTCGTTTCCCCAGTTGGGCATTCCTTACAGGTGAGTTGTTTTGTTGCATTTTGGTATTGCCCTATTGGGCAACTGTCACATGTCTTTCCAGTAGAGTTGTAGAACGTACCAATGGCACACTCAACTGAAATGTTGAGAAAAACTCCATGATGCATTGTTGTAAATCTAAGCTTTAATTTGAATTGAACATTCCTGATTTGATTTATACAATGTAGGACAAACTATATACAAGTATTCATAACTATTCATTCACATTGCAGCAATATGAGCTAAAAGCAGTGGTTGCTGCAAACTCACATGTATGGGAACTGTAAATTTACATGTATGGGTACTGTAAACTTACATGTATGGGAATGACAAACTTACATGTATGGGTACTGTAAACTTACATGTATGAGTACTGTAAACTTACATGTATGAGTACTGTAAACTTACATGTATGGGTATGACAAACTTACATGTATGGGTACTGTAAACTTACATGTATGAGTACTGTAAACTTACATGTATGAGTACTGTAAACTTACATGTATGGGGACTGCAAACTTACATGTATGGGTACTACAAACTTACATGTATGGGTACTACAACTTACATGTATGGGTACTACAACTTACATGTATGGGCACTACAAATTTACATATATGGGTACTGCAAACTTATATACATGGGTACTACAAACTTACATATATGGGTACTGCAAACTTACTCGTATGGGTACTGCAAACTTACATGTATGGGTACTACAAACTTACATGTATGGGTACTCCAAACTTACATGTATGGGTACTTCAAACTAACAAAAAATTTGGTCCATAAATAAATGATATAATATGAAAGTCCAATAATAAAACTGATGGTTGCTATTTATCATTAGTGGTCAATAATGATCTACAACATTAAATAGGGTTAAGTAATCCCATAATGCCACATACCACATGTCTCATAGAGGTATGTTTCCCCTTCTTGACAATCAGGTTCAACAACAATGACGACACTGGGGTAGTCTGGGAAGGCATTAGCATTTATTTGAACAAAGCCAGTCTGAAATTTAAAAATACTAGCTGAGCAATGTATATAGTTTAAAATTAAACAAGGTATTAACGTACAAAATGTCACCTGCCATTTGTTACGACATTAAATACCAACTACCAAACACTGACCATAATTTGCCAAATGCTGACCACTGAACAATCTCCACAAAAAGGTGGACAATATTTGACCATTTGTGATAGTGACATGAAAACAATTTAAAGGTGCTTTTGGATGAGAATACAGCTGGTTCAAATTCAAGTACATGTATTAAATTCAAAGACCTTAGAGAAAATATTACATGCATTAAAGCAATTGGCCTATTAATAGGAATACATTTTCATATCATGAAGTGAAACACTTGCCCTTTCTTTACTGAAGTCGTAACTCTGGTCATCAAAGATGTCAGAAATCAATGCACTTTCTGTCAAGGTGGTTTCTAAATCTGTATTTGTAATTTCATTGCTGAAACAGAAAATACTCCATAATTTAAGGGCACGCATTTAAATATGTGCATGCATATACAGTATATAATGTATATACTTGTACACATCTTATGTTTATGAATCTATATGTGCATGCTTCTTTACTCAGTATTAGAACCATGATAAACCATGGTAACCATCACATTTGTAGTTATAGCTCTCCCCATCTCATGAGCTGATATCAAAGAATATGTCTCATAACATCAGAGCAAGTTTCTTGTGAAACTAGACAACAGCAACGCCAAAGTTAGGTCTCAAAAATGGGCCATTTGGGCATAATTTGGCCTTTTTTAGGCCAAATTATCAAAACATGGACCTAAAATTTGGGCCCAATATTTTTTTCAGTGCTCAAAATTTGCCCCCCCCCCCTTGTTAGCTTCTGGATCCGCCAGTGAAGTAGTTGTCATAAGAGTAGAATGAGGTAAATCTGGCTTTTGACATTTTGGCCAAAAATCATTCAATGGTTTCATACCTTATGTTATTCATAGTGACTTCAACGATGATATCCTTAGAAACAGGTTGTTGGCAGGTCGTGGTGACCTTTATCTCATTAGTGCCTGGACCAGTTCCACAATCCACATCTCCTCCACAGAAAACATCATCACAGTTAGGCTGACAGAATTCACCATTCCACTTAGGATCAAATGTGTCTGTGAAATGTTTCTTTATATTGTTATAAAAATCTCTGTCTGTTCCTGTCTTGTCATCTTTACTCCCGCAGTTTGACAGATCTTTGTACGTCAAGGTAATCTTCACTCGGAACTTCCTGTCTACGGTATCTAAAGGTTAAATGACAAATAGTACAGCTAAAGTATACATAAAGGAAAATAATTAACAGGACTGAAAATTTGTGGACATAAAGAAACTTTTATATACACACACATATAGCACTACTGGTTGATCAAAAATTCACTCCATAAAATGTTTTAGTTTTTGAACATCATCATTACGTTCCTGTAGCTACACAGAGCGGAAAGTACAAAACGTAATTTCATAAGTACATTTACAACTGATTTCCTTATTGCAACTTTCAAACTATACCTGCACAAGAGGGAAGCTCATAGTTAAGATATTGGTTCTTTTTATTCCATGCTCCTTCTGGTCCACATGTTTCAAATTTGGGCATTGGCTGAGAGAACTTTTGGGTTGGATCCACACAAGACACTTCACAATTGCTGAAAGGTGGCCAAGTGCGACCAGCTGGGTCACATGATACTTTTGTTCCAGAGGGTTGTTTTAAAGCAGGGCAATTTGAATCTAAAATACAAAGGAAGAGATTTCTACACTGATAGTGGCATTAATACTAGATGAGAGGATTCGGGGGTTAGTGGGTATTTAATTTATCTTTACCAATTTGTTTTCATATCAGGAATGTTTTCTTAGTGTTCGATTGCGTTCCTATAGATGTGCAATTAACTCGATATAATAGTATGTATTCCTTTTTTCCAGAAAACTAAAGGATTTCCCAGATCTAGAATTTAAATAGAACATGTGAAAACTTTGTATTAAAAAAATTGAGGACTGTAAGAATGAAATACCAAATGTGAAATACCAAATGTGAAATACTAAATATATCTTACATTGTACATATACAGGTACTGTACAGAATGCATGGTTTCCATTGGGATCTTGAGCCACGTAAGTCCTGGAGTACTTCTCCCAAATGTAAACAGGAGACACATCTGTAAATGCACAACACAATTATAAACACAAATACAAGAGATGGCTTAATCTAAAAGCAGATGTGTTGTGACTTTTAGTTCAGGAAAAAGTATATTTTTCTTATCTTATCAGGAAAAAAGCAAAACGAGGGTTTAATCTACAAAAAGCAGCATTGCATTAATTTCTGCCAAAAATGAAGAGATCTGGGCTAAATATATTTCAAATTTTATTATTGTGGATTTAGTTCGCAATATGAAATAAGAAATCAGTCAAAATGTATGCAGAAATAACTGTACTCAGTACCTCCTACTGGGACCACAGTGGCGTTGGTGACAACTGGCTTGGTGTCCTTTACATTGGTTACTCTGACATCACTGAACTCGTAGATGACATCGTCACATGTCATGTTTGGTGCATTTGTATCTTCAAAAGTTGTATAAATTATAAGTACAAAGACAATAATACTTTTGAACTTGACAAAGACAATAGCTAATAAGGGTGCAGAAAGTCTCATACATCAGACGTTTTAGCAAACATACTTACATTTAATGTATTTAGTTTCATAACAATTGTTAATCTTGGATTGAATTTCTCTATTGCTTTATTTGACTCATTAAGACTCAATAGCAAAGAAGATAAGGATACGGTTGTATTATGTATTTTTCATGTTTATTAACTACAAAAACTATGAATAAATAATTCCTTACCCTCTATGTTAACACAAACATACAAGTTGTTCGACTTGATATCTGACCCGATTACTATCTCAGTGGCTCCCTCTTGCACAAAGTTCACCCAATCAGAGATCAGATTATCAAGTGGGTATGGATCAAAATTATGACCAAACTCAAAAAGATCTCCTATGATGCTATAATTCAGTCCACCAGTCCATATGTTGACATTGCTGATATGCCCTAACATCCCTGAACCTGGTTTTGGTTCAAACTCAGAATCAAGCTCAGTCCCAAGTACTAAAAGACCACTGAAAATAGGAAGAATAGTACATAATGTAATGTCCTAAATGGGCCTAGCATAGGCGTTAAACTATTGTCCATTAGCCTGCACATGAATATAAGTGATTTACTTGGATACAGATTTGCAGTGGACTATAAGAAAACATAATAAAACACTAAATGGTAAAGGAGCATCTCAAAAGTTCAATGTAGGATTATGTATTTGCACATATAATCTGTGACCCCCTCCCTCTCCCCTCACAACTGTGTTTGAGAAATGTTGATATGCATTGTTTCGAAAGTCACACTGTATCTAATATAACATGTAATTTAGTCATTTTAATAACTATTCAAATCTGTAATACTTAATACTGGACAATTTTATAGTGACTTGTGAATTCAGTATCACTACTGAAAACAACAAGGCACATGACGTAAACGAGATCACACCATCAAAAAACTTTCAAAATGGCGGCAAGAAATAATGGTTGCCCAGATGTTAATCAGTTCTAGAACTTGATATCCTCTATCATGTGTGCAAATTTGGAGACAATCTGACAAGTGGTTTTCCTGAAATGGCAATGACAAGATTTATCGGAAAACCTTCAAAATGGCCACCAGAAAACAAGATGGCCACCCAAAAGCTACTCAGCTCTTGATATTAATATCCTCTATCATGTGTGTGAATTTAGAGACAATCTGACAAAGTTTCCTAAAATGGCAATGACAAGAATTTCCGAAAAACCTTCAAAATGACCACTAGAACTAATGATATCCTCTATCATGTGTGCAAATTTGGAGACAATCTGACAAGTGGTTTTCCTGAAATGGCAATGACAAGATTTATCGGAAAACCTTCAAAATGGCCACCAGAAAACAAGATGGCCACCCAAAAGCTACTCAGCTCTAGAAATTAATATCCTCTATCATGTGTGTGAATTTAGAGACAATCCGACAAAGTTTCCTGAAATGGCAATGACAAGAATTTCCGAAAAACCTTCAAAATGGCCACTAGAACTAATGATATCCTCTATCATGTGTGCAAAGGAAAAAATCCGATGAGTGGTTTGCCTAAAATGGAGATGACAAGATTTTCCAGAAAACCTTCAAAATGGCCACAGGAAAACAAATTGGCCAACCAAAAGTAAATCAGCTCTAGAAATTGATATCCTCTATCATGTGTGCGAATTTGAAAAAATCTGATGAGTGGTTTTCCTAAAATGGCGATGACAAAAAAAGCGGGTTGATCACGATCAGAATCACGATAACGATCAAGACGACTATGACTACTATATCCCACATGGTGTGATAAAAAATGAATAGCTGCTCATTTTTTGTTTAATTTTACTTTTGTTGTTTTCATGTCTTTTTATTTTCTGTACCAGAGGTGCGCTTAACAAAAAGAGCATGCACTAAGAAAATTCCCGGGAATAATGTCAGAACACTAACACTAACCAATGACCCCCTCCCTCCCTAACTGTGCAAATACAGTTATTTTTCCAATATCGATCTTTTCAAATGTTCCCTAAGTGAAATAAGTTGTGAATCTGACATGTTAAACAGCAAATTCATTCTACTAGAAAATATTGTTTTAATTAATTGTTATCATGTTATTAATACTTTTCTGACATTCAAAACAAGTATAGTGAAACATGTGTACAGGAAACGGCTCTTGCCAGAGTGGGTCTCTTAATATGTTAGTCAATGGAAAACTATTTTGATATTTTGAAAACTATTCCTTGTAGGTGTTCGTTAAAGAAAGGTGGTTTCTCAGATAGAGTATTTACTGTTATCCCATGGTTAAAAAGATTTAGATCGAATATCAGGTGAAGATATATTTGATATGCGGATCAAGATCATATTTTAGGAAAAAATATCCAGACCATAGAATATCACTTTTGAAACCGATGGTTTCAAAAGTGATACTCCATGGTTTAGATTTTTTCAAAATTATTCTTTAATATTTTTTTCAAATGTATTTTTAATAAAAATTTTCAAAAACCTTTTTTTCAATAAAAAATAATTTTAAAATTTTTTTCAATTTTTTTTCGCTGGGTTAAGATTTCCCATGGGATAAATGGACAATTCTATGAATTTTTAAAAATTGTAATTGTATCCACTCATGGATATAAATGATATTTTTTCAAAACCATAGGATATTCCTTTATTTATCATCCCCAAAATATTGAATAAGCTTCATGTATGTAAAAAAAGCATCACTTACAATAGAGGTGTCCTATATGAAGAGGCAAATTTGTCAGCATCAGTACTAATAGGGTTTTTACTGCTACTGTAGTACACGTAAATGATTCCTTCATTCCAGGAAAATCCTGAAAACCATTGATAAACCCAGATTTAGATAAATTAAACATGACCTTATCAAAACAAAGGATAAGTCAGGGAATGAGTGGGAATATCACTTTAGAAAATATTGAAAATTGTAATGTCTAATTGAATTACACATTAAATTTCAAAATTAAACCTCAACATCTCATCTTCCTTCTGAGAGCCCAAAAATATAAAGTATCAGGATAAATGAAGAATATTGGCATCAAAGACTATGCATACCAATATGCCAGAATTGAAAAATATTTCAGAAGATGCTTAACTTTAGAATTGTGTAAATACTATGGTATAAATACTGTGTTTTAAATATTATGGTATAAATACTGTGTTTTAAATACTATGGTATAAATACTGTGTTTTGAATACTATGGTGTAAATACTGTGTTTTAAATATTATGGTATAAATACTGTGTTTTAAATACTATGGTATAAAAACTGTGTTTTGAATACTATCATATAAATACTGTGACTGTGCTTGTCATTTTGAGTGTACTTAAATATTTGTTGAAATTATCCTAGAATTATTATTTAACATAAATTCTTAATTTAATGATTTAATCATTTTTTGATTATCGAGAGGCTTCTTACAGACTACAATGATTATCATGACAACATTATTATTATGTAAGAATATATATGACCAACATTTTTCCAGTTGCAATTGTCAAACCTGCCCTCTTTGTCTGGATCCTCTTACAAGTGGTAACAATTATGCAAGTGGTAACAATTATGCAAGTGGTAACAATAATGCAGGTGGTAACAAATAAACTAACCAACATTTTTCCATTTGCAATTGTCAAACCTGCCCTCTTTGTCTGGATCCTCTTCCCATGGTATTGTCTTTGTTTCTGAACCAAATGTAAGATGGATAGCGGCATCATCCATTCTCACCAATTCTTCCCTCTCAACACCATTACGTGTGCTAGAAACATACATATATGAAATACAAAGATCAGCCATCCATGACATAATATAAACCTGTAGCATTCAGGGTCAAGGCAGTATAACTGATGAACTGTTAAATACCAGGCCCGTAGCCAAAATTTTCCAAGGGGGGTTCACTTTCCAAAAAATTCTAGGGGGAGGGGGGTTCACTTTGGCAAATTTGGTCAAAAATCACTCAAAAAATAGTCAAGAAAGAAATTTTGGCCTGGGGGGAGTTCGCCCGAGCCCCCCAAACCCCCCTGGCTACGGGCCTGAATACTATGAGCACAATAATGGAATTTAAAGTCACGGAGAGTGAAGACTATAAGAATTAACAATATGTCGCCACTTCTGATAGTGTCGTAAAAAACTGGAACCAGAGTCAAAATTTTCAACATTTCAGCGATGACCAGGGAAAATCTATTCTAGTAATGTGACATTTAACTAAAACTGGGCATGCTATAATACAAATCGTCTTAAGTGTAAACGTTTGCATGATAAGACAAAGAGCATTCTCAATTGAGAATATCAATCAAACAATATTTATTGTCTGAGCAAATAAGATTTGAATCAAATCTGGTATTATGTCACATGGCAGCCATTTTAACTGATATGCCATATTGAACTCCATTTAAAGCAGAGATCTTATGGGCAATGATAAGTCTGTAAAATCTGAACAAAATGAGTATTCTTATTTGAATTAACGCCCAAACAGATGAATAACTACATCCTAGCTTGAACATCTTACAATGGGTACAATAAAAACAAGTAAACTTACTCCAGTCCATACAGGGTTAGAAAAGTTCCTTTTGGATTGACATCAATAAATCTAACCCAGAGCATGAGAGTGAAACTAGTAGTGTTGAAGCTAAATGGGTAGGCCTGTTTTGCCAGAGAAGTTCGGTCATTGGAGTAAAAATTCAAGTCAAAATCACGGTCAATATCTGGAAATAAAGTGCAAATGATCTCAATATTATAAAAGACAAATATTTAAAATATGATGTAATTGTTAAATTGTCACTGATCAAGAAATAATGTATTTGTTGCAAGTGGTAACAATAATACAAGTGGTAACAATAATGTACAATACAGTAAAGCCTGTCTCATCTGAATGCCATTGAGATTTAGTCAGAAATGACCTACATTTCAAAGTCTCTTAGTGTTGTGAATCAATGAGAAAATTAGAACTGGGAAAAAGTGTTCACTTTGAGAGGTGTTCGGATTAGAGAGGTGTTTAGATATATAAGTTTTACGGTAATTACACGATTAAATAACTTAATATCATACTTGTAGCTCAAATGGCCAATAATCAATTATTCAAGCCTGAGAGATACATTCAACATCATGCCCAAAGCAAGTTTTTACCCATAACAGGTTCACTGATGAAAGGATTCCATGGGGCATTCACATTTGACAACATTGGCTGAAATGATGAAAAACTGCATGAATTTAATTGAATTGTTGGCCATTTTTTGCTCAAACCCCAAAACCCCCTGACAACAGGCCTGAAAATAAAAGTTTACCTTTGTCGCAGTTTGGTCCAATCTTCCCAGGAGGGCACATGCAAAAACATTCTCCAACCCCATCTACAGGAGTTGCTCCACCAGTACAGGGAAAGCTACTGCAATCAGCTACATTATTTTCACATGTGTCCCCTGTATAGCCTTGAATAAGGAAAACATTATATCATGTATTTATATATAATGTACATGGATTTCTTTTTACCAACAATATCCACAAAAATTGGAGATCATAACAAAATGTTACCATTTTTGGTGGTGATATAATAAAAATGATATTCAATTCACTCAATGAATGGGCATATACACTGTATAAATAACTTTATTTAATTAACATATTCCTTACTAAAACACATTTAAAATTGCTTTCCAAATCATTTATTGTTAAATATCTGCAATTTGGTAATAAAATAATACACAGAAGCCGGAACAGATCAAATCCTCTCATCTTTTTTACCTGCATAATTTTCAGTATTTTTTTCATGAAATTTTCACAGCAAACACTTACAAGGATGATATTGCCTTGTTCCCCCACTTACCTTGCTTGCAGTGACACCTATAGCCATAAGGCAGAAAGATTGTCTCCACAGTGCCCCCATTCTTACACGGATTGCTCTCTTCGTAGTCTTTCAGGAAATGACAGAATTCTTTGTCACTGTACTCTACAGAAAAAATATCATTTGAAATACAAGTCTCTGTTATTCTTCAAATAGAGGGGCTTGATGTTTAAAAGCTAAAACCTTGGTGTTGATTTTTTAGAGGCACTGGTAATGTGATGTTGGTAGTCCTTGATATTTTTGGTGTTATCTAATATCCCAGATGCGAGTAGAAATAATCTTGATTTAAGTCATTAAAAATTCACAATTCAGTCAAACTGGCGTCATATTTGGAATCTACATATAAAATTACATCTAAAAATGTGGTTTTGAAAGGAGTTTATCAACTCTGAAAATTTAATTTTCTTTGAAAATGTGACTTCTAGGTCGGGGAGATTCCCCATAGACCCAATGCTGTAAAACTACAAAAAATGAAATATCTTTTCTTGTGTTGGGCAGATAATATCTCTTTTCCTGGACATATTTTAATTTGTAACTATCACATACATAAGGGTAATTTGAAAACTGAACCACTAAAACTGATGCATAGTCAAGTTTAATGGAATTTTGTAATACCCTGCCATGTTATTTCCCCCGAATCAGCCACCTGGTGGTGAAACTGGTAACTACCTACTCGCATCTGAGTAATTCATGTTAATAATCTTTATCTTTGTCTGCTGAAATTCTAATGTAAAAGTGTTGCTTTGATAATTTATTGGTAAATTGATTTGTTAATTTATCCAAGTAAAAGAAGTTTGTGTAAAGTGTTAAAAAAACGTTATGGACACCCTGGATACGTATATACATTATGCATGTATGTGTGTACCTTCAGGACATGTGCACTCCACATTGGCACCAGAGTCGCTACAGTTCTTTGCTTTGTCCGAGCATGGTGATGTGTCCATACAAATGGAGGCTGTCTCATTACATGTTGCTTCATATGTGCCAGGCAAACACCTAAAGAAGGCCACAAAAAATTATACAATGTAATAAGGGATCTTACTTATCTGTCATGAGGCCAACATTTTCCTCTTACATTCACGTTGGGAAAGGGTTAAAGCCAAGTTAAAAGCCGATTACTGTTTACTGATTTTCACCTGGTATTGAAAAATAGCATTGCAATTAATTGGTGCAAAATGTTGACCACTTGTCCTAGAATTCTTGCAGTAAAGGAAAAACTTAAGATCTCATAAAGGGGATCATTTTAGAAAGGTTCATGAATTAAGGCAACAATAACTTGAGGTAATAATGTACAACAAACTTACTTGCAGAAGAAGTTCTGGAATACATTGTAACAAGAGCCATCATTCTTACATGTGTCGAGTTCGCAGTAATCTGTAATGGTGTCACAGACTTTACCCTCCCAGCCTTGAGTGCAGTTACATGTGAAGTCATTGATTTCCTGCTGGCAAGAACCACCATGGAGACAGGGAGAGCTAGCACACTCATCAATATCAATCTGCGAAAATATACAATATATGGAGAATATACAATATATGGGAATATACAATATGTGGGAATGTACAATATGTGAATAATAATAATCATATGGAGAATATACAATATATGGCAATATACAATATGTGGGAATGTACAATATGTGAATAATAAGCAATATGTGGGAATATACAATATGTGGAGAATATACAATATGGGGGTATTACACAATATGTGGCAAATGCATGTATACAATGTGGGAATATACAATATTTGAATGATATACAACATGTGGGAATATACAATCTGGAGGTATTACACAATACGTGGCAAATATATATTTGGGAAACATTGGAATATACAATATTTGTTGTGTATAATTCACAATATGAGTGGGTCATATACATAATCTATGGGGATATGGGTAATGAACAATGTAGCCTGGAGGCATTAATAAACTTACAGTGCAGTTTTCCCCAGTGTAGCCTGGTTTACAGAAGCACTCGCAAGTGTCATTGTTCTTGGTCTGTGTCCCAGTATCATCACAATTACTACAGGTTTTTACATTGTTTTCACAATCCTTACCTGTAAAGATAATAATCAATTATAAAATGTAGAAAAATATTATAAAAACCTTGAAACTAGACAGGTTGAGGGGCATTTATTCCATATCTGTCAGAAGGTCTTTTATTTTTTATTAATGGCCAAAATGTGAACACCCGCCAAACTGAACACTTTTGGCCAGGCCAGTCCGAGTGGTCTTCCGATTAGACAGGTTTTACTGTAGCACCAAACTTACCAGAATATCCGGATACACATTCACAAATATAACCATTCACTGCATCAACACACATCCCACCGTTTTGACATGTGACCTCCTCACAGTCGTCAATGTTATTCTGGCACCTTGATCCAGTGAACCCTGCGGGGCATGTGCCACATCTGAACCCCTCAAGCTCCTCGTCACAGGAAACACCCTCCATGCAAGGGTTTGAGGCACAGTAGCTCTTGTCTGTGCAATCTCCAAATGCAAACTCTGGAACAGAAAGTAAAAATTGTATTAACTTAATGCATGACAGTGGATGATTGTGGTAATATGCATGATTCTGTACTATGCACGATGACCTCCACGAACATATTGGCAAGAGAATTCATAATACCGAAACTTGAAAGAGTATATAATATAATATGAAGTAAATTATTCACACAGCCAATCTGCAACAGTACCATACAGTACTGTTTTGACAATGGTACTGTACAGTACTGTGAAATATGGCACCATACTGTACTGTGAACTAAAACAGTACCAAACAGTACTGTGAACACTGTACGGCACTATACTCAAACGGTACCGTATGGTACCATACTCTTAATGTACCGTACGGTATCGTGATTTTATAATTCGGATTGGGGGTGTTCTCTTCATTTGAATCTAATGCAGCAATAATAAACTATAGTGAACTTGAGGAAAAAACCTTTCCAGCCATTTTGAATTTGTTCAAGGTCGATGATACACAAATATATGAAAAAGAAGTTTTAGTATTTATGATTCACTTTTAAATATGTTTTATTCAGTATTTTGCAAGATATTGTTTCAAAAAAAATTAAATTTAAATAGTGCTTGTCATTAACAATGACTGAAATAATACTGTAAATGTTTATTAAACACGGTTTAACTTGTGTCCAAGATCTTACCTTCTACACCAAGTTGCTCTGAACCTGATGAATAAAGGTCACTGAGTAGCGAAGAATTTGTACCATCACCTAGAATATTCACAATAAAATGTGTACAATGGTATGTGTGCAATAGAATGTGTACAACGGAATGTGTAAAATGAATAAATGGAATATATACAAATGAAACATTTTACAATGAAATGTGAAAATGAATATTTATAATATAAAAGACACATATTTCTACGACTCACCATAGAAACCGGCACTACAAACACAAAGATGTTCACGTGAGTTGTAATGGCTGACACATTCGCCTGTGCCACCACATTCATCAGCTGCACATTGGTTGATGAGGTACTCACAGTTGCTGCCGTATGTCCAACTGGGACATTCACACTTGTAGCCATGGAGTATGTTACTACAATTCCCACCATAATAGCATGGTTCCTGGGCACAGGCATCTACAATTTGAGTTACAATTTAGAGTTTGGTGCTTATAACCCTTGGCTTAATCTTCTATGGTTGCCGCCAGTATCCATTTACTTGTTCATTCTTGTAAGGATACCCAGGCCCTCCACTTCCATGAAATATATATATTCAAAGGCAAAATTCATTAATGCATTACATACCAGATACGGCCTGTTTGTGTGAACAGTACATATGTAGTACAGAGTAAACATTGGACTGATACGTCAATTTCATTCAAGATAAAATTTGTACTCTGGGGAGGTCTTCAAAAACAGATCCGTTTTCAACAAAATGGAGCAGCTTCAGACATATGATTTTTTATTTTCCCATGATTTCATGAGATATGGGCCTAGGTAGAATCTTCACAACCTATTTAGCACAAACATGTGTCTGTATCATATGGTTAAAGAAATTCTAACATTTGCCTAGATTTTCTGAAACATTTAATACTGACACATGTTTGTGGCAAAATTTTTGTGAAGTTTCTACCCACTGCTTATTCTGGTCAAGTCCAAATTCATTTTATGTCTATGTACTATTATATGTCTATCTAAAATATCTGATACTATTTAACCTGGCATTGCCAATGTCTCCTGATTTTAAAAATACTGGCTTTTGTATCACAAAGTCAAATTTTGTTGAGAAATCAGACATTTTGTGTTCATTAGACAGGTCACTGTATGGGACATGGGTAGCTTCTTATTAAGTAAACCCAGGTATGTGGAACACCTTTGGTACATCTAAAAATGTTTTACATTGGAGGTGATCAACTTATTAAAGTCCATTTAATATTAAGTTATTTGGTCATTGGACTCTGAAAAGTATTCAATTTAAAGAGGTATTCTGCATACAGAGGTGTTACTTTTTTTCTTTATTCAACAGACAATTTCTAACATACAGTTCATTTTACATACAATTTTTTCTAACATACAGTTCATTTTACATACAATTTTTTCTAACCTACAGTTCATTTTACATACAATTTTTTCTAACCTACAGTTCATTTTACATACACTTTTTTTTAACATACAGTTCACTTTCATGTAACATGTCTAGGTTTTGTAAATATGGTAATCTGGAGTCATACCTATGAAGCTAGAGCAATCTTTTCCTGTGTACCCCAATTCACATTCACAGTATACACGTATGTTATCATCTCCTGGATTGATGCATGTTCCATTCCCACAGTCCTTATCGACACACTTGTCATTCGCTGTCTCATTACACCTAGAATGGTTATACTATGATGAAAACACAAATTATGCCTACATCGGCAATTACAATTCTTTTAATAAAGCCGCTTTTGACCTGATTGGTGTCGGTTTGAAAAAATGCCAAATTCATCTCAAAAAACTTTAAAAAATAAGAAATGATATGTCAAGAGCACTTTTATAACTAGTGATTACGTACGGCTGTCTATACCAATAATGTACAAAAAACGAAATTTTTTGCATTAATCCTCAGAAGATTGTCGTAGAAATGGGAAGTTTTAATTTATACCTTACACCAGTCCAACCATTTGTACAGAAGCAATTGTAGCCCTCGCCATTTTCACCAGGGAGGGCATCCTGACACATTCCACCATTGAGGCACTTTTCACCAGCATTGGGCCCCTCATTGCAGCCATTTATGTCATTCTCACATCGATCCCCTGATGCTGGAAAACAAAAATTACATGACCTAAACTTGAGTTACCATAGCAACTATGATTTTGACCAATCACAGAACAGCAATTCATTTTTGTCTCTCAATGTATTAACGCTAATACACTTACACCATAGCTGTGATAGTCTCAATGAGTGACATTGATGGTGGAAAAGACAACTACATGAGTTACTATAACAACTTACTTTTAACCAATCGCAGAACAGCATTTTTGAGTCTCAATGTTTAAACTTACACTCCATCTTCTGTGATAGTCTCAATGACAAATATTGAAAATTTTACAAATTGAGACCATTATTCATTGAACAAAATATAAAACAGAAAAATATATAGAGAGATAACATAAGAGAAATGTTTCTTCGGGTTTTGATAAAAGAAAACATTAAATATTATCACAATACTCATAATATTACCCTTTAGGATTTTTCATTTTATTTTCTACTTATACAAATATTTTGCTTCAGGTAACTTACATTACACTGGGTTACCATAGCAACATAAAATGTGTTAATTTATTTTTGGATCACCCTCTATGCAGATTATGTATTGGATGTAACATCGGAGATCAAATTCAAAAATCATATTTTCAATTATGTGGTAAAATCCACAACCAAAGGAGCAAAGATATCTAATTTACAATATGATCATATTATTTGAGAGTAAGACATTGCAATATCCTTGATCAATTTCTGCTTTTCAATCTGTCCACTGCAAGATGAGATGCAATGGATATCACCAGAATGGCTATGGGGCCTATAGGTATACATGTCAATGCACTATACATGTATATAAATCAGTTTAACTTACTGCCATCTACACATTCACATGTATAGTTCTGGTTCTGGCTGTCATTCTTGTAACATTTACCATTGTAATAACATTTATATGAGTTAAACTTACTGCTGTCTACACATTCACATGTGTAGTTCTGGGTGTCATTCTTGTAACAGATACAATTGTAATAACATTTATATGAGTTAAACTTACTGCCGTCTACACATTCACATGTGTAGTTCTGGGTGTCATTCTTGTAACAGATACCATTGTAATAACATTTATATGAGTTTAACTTACTGCCGTCTACACATTCACATGTGTAGTTCTGGGTGTCATTCTTGTAACAGATACCATTGTAATAACATTTATATGAGTTTAACTTACTGCCGTCTACACATTCACATGTGTAGTTCTGGGTGTCATTATTGTAACAGATACCATTGTAATAACATTTATATGAGTTTAACTTACTGCCGTCTACACATTCACATGTGTAGTTCTGGGTGTCATTCTTGTAACAGATACCATTGTAATAACATTTATATGAGTTTAACTTACTGCCGTCTACACATTCACATGTGTAGTTCTGGGTGTCATTCTTGTAACTACTGATACCATTGTAATAACATTTATATGAGTTTAACTTACTGCCGTCTACACATTCACATGTGTAGTTCTGGGTGTCATTCTTGTAACAGATACCTATGTAATAACATTTATATGAGTTTAACTTACTGCCGTCTAGTTCTGGGTGCCATTCTTGTAACAGAAACCATTGTAATAACATCTATATGAGTTTAACTTACTGCCCTCTACACATCCACATGTGTAGTTCTGGGTGTCATTCTTGTAACAGATACCATTGTAATAACATGGGGATGAATCACATGGGTTTCTTTCAATTTCACATGTAGGCCCACTGTAACCTAAAACATATACAATAAAAAACATGTGCATTTAAACATACAAGGTACATGTGTATATAATATGGGAATGAATCAAAACTAAAAGGTAATGTCAAATTGGAAAATTGTCAATTGAAATAGATTTGATGCCAAATAACGCAGATGCTAGTAGGTAGTTACCAGATTGACCACCAGGTGGCTCGTTTGGGTCAGATAGCATGGCGAGTATAGTAGAAAGTTCCCTTTAAATTAAATTACATCTATTTGCGTGGTTCAATTTTCATATAACCCTTATGTATCTAATAGTTATGCAAATTAAAATATGTCCAGTAAAAGAAAATGTTATCTGTCCAATACAAGAAAAGATATTTCACTTTTTGTAATTTTGTAACATGGGGTCTATGGGGAATCAACCCGAACAAGAAGTCACATTTTCAAAAAAAATTAAATTTTCAAAGTTGATAGACAATTTTCGAAACCATATTTCTAGATGTACTTTTACATGCAGATTTCAAATATGACAGCGCTTTGACTGAAGTTTGAATATTTAATGAAGTAAATCAAGATTATTTCTACTCGCATCTAGTCTATTAATGGCGAACACCATCATTTAGATAGGTCCTGCTTGTATGTTTGCATCCAAAATGGATATTTAAATACATGTAGTTATCAACCGACAAATGTTCACTGTTGCTGTTGGTAGGTGTTCACTTGACCAGTTATTAAACAAGGCTATATAAGAGGAGGGAATAATCAATATAATTTGTATTTTCTACCAATAATGACCCATGACACTCTAGCGATAGCATTTTTGTTTTGCTGTAGTGTTATATAAACTTCTTTTAGACTTATTTTAGACTGAGTGTCATCTGAATGGTTCATCCTTTTATTGTTAAATTCTAACCGTTTTGTAATTCTCTATAATTTTTTGATGATCCTTTAAATCGTGGAATCCTTGACACATTTGAGTCAGTTTAATGACTTTATTGAATTAATTAAATGACATGATAGAGTCAATTAAGGGCGATCATTTAATTCTTATCCAATCTGTTTTTTAAATTGATGAGGATGAGCAAAATATTAAGTTGGGACTTAGCAGATAGAGGTAATAATAGTTAACTAGATTATCTTCAAAGCAACCAATGCTAGACAAATATCCTGTCTAAAAAAAACAAAGCTTATTAAGAATCATAATTAGTCACACCTGTTTCAACAGAAGAGATCAAGATCTCAAACTGACCTTTTTATTATTTTTTGGCAGGTAATATAAACATAAACTGCCTAACTCTGATAAGGCAGTTGCAGAAAATCTGAAAGAAGTCTTATATCTGATTCAATGTTCACTAGAGACAGGACAATTTGATTTTGCCAAGATTTGTTGTTCACTGTTCACAGTAGGTAGGTGTTCATTACAGGATTGTACTTTAACATGGGAGTCAATGGGAGAAAAAGGTTTTGCCAAAAAACATTCACTGTTGAAAAATTATGAACCATCAATTTCTTCCAGACATATGCTCATCCTGAAAAGACTAATTGTATTGCATATTTAAAGAGCATAACATAGTTACTATATTTACCTGATTTACATGAACACATGAGTGTGTTATTCTGTGCAATAGGTGTACCTCCATTTTGGCAGTAACTTGGGTTCAAAATTATGTCTGAAATGTATGTTAAATCATTACAAAATAAAGCTATATGAATGATTTAAAACAATACATGTGTAATCATACTAAAAGAAATTAAGTAAAATGTTTATTCTAGTCTCATGCTGTACATGTAAGCTACTGTAAAATATCATGCAAACATGTAGAATACATGAGGGATTTGTACAGGGAAGTTTTGGATATGGGGTTTATCCAGAGGGAGATATGCATATCTACCTGAGGGACTGAACGGACAGAAGGTAGTTTTGCACTATATCTCCTGAGGGATAAACCCCATATCCAAACCGCCCATACATAATAGCTTTATCCTATACCCACTAGAGTTTCTAAGAAAATCCAAATATTTCAAATCTTTGTTTCAATTTTTCAAATTTTTGTTTCCAAATTATAGGATAAAAAATATATACATGTACCATGATGATAGGGTAACCAACCATATACATATATAGACCTTTTCAATCTCATTTCAATCTTGAAAGTATGTTCCCTGATTGATTTTTGGGAATTAACTCACCTGTGCAGTTATTGACTGATATAGAACCACCACTTAATGTCTCTGTATCACCATCACAACGTTTACATCGCGTTTGATTTTTTTCATCCTGGTAAAAATTCTTTGGGCATTGTGTACAGGGTTTGTAGCCACTGGGGGAGTAGGTGCCCTCATCACAGAATCCTAGAATAATACTTCATGTGAGGCTTCTCTTTAAGGAGACAATGGGATGATATTCATAATAGGATGTAGGCCCGTAGTAAGGATTTGCCAAGGGGGGTTCACTTTTGACAATTTTTGTTAAAAAATGGCAAAATCACTTAAAAAGTGCTCAGAATGGTGAAAAACTGACGATTTTGAAAGAATTTTTGGCCAGGGGGGGGGGGGTTCCCTGGCTACGGGCCTGGGATGCTATAAGGTACATGTGGCTACCATTGTGGTATCACATATTCTGTTATAAAAATCATTATGTAATACTTATTAAGGATGCAATATAGAGAACGTAATTGAACTGTTTGAATTATGTGAGAAAGCGATAACCCACATGTTTTGGCCTGATCTCACTCATTCAGCTTCCAAGTAAGAGTTCCTTGATTTTTTTAATTCTAAGGGAACATCATAATATAATAATAACTATGATTGACAGTAAAGGCCATTAACAGTTTTCAGTGAAAGTTTTTATTTTTATTAAAGATTAAAAAATAGTTATTAAAAACTCCTAAATCACAATGCAAATGTATATATATATATATTTTTGAACAACACTTGTAGTTAGTATTTACTTCACAGTAAAATAACATTGAACTTTAAGAATGCGAAACTTGAATGAAGTTTCTGTTGATGTTGATGAATTTTGTTAATGGCCCCCTGATGGAAAATATTACCAATGACTGGGTCATTATCTGTTCTGTTCTATTCTACCCTTCTTACCCATGCATTGAGATTCATCAGTCATTCCAGGCCTGTGTGTTGTAGTGTTGTCTGGACAGGCTTCACAATACGTTGCGTTGACCAGGTATGTGTCTATTGGACATTGTTGACATGGTGGCAGCCTGGTGGAGGACCACATGCCTTGTATGTTGCATGTTGCTGGAGATAAAATTTCAGTTATAACGTACCTATGATGATGTATGCGATGTATAGTGCAAAGTGTACACAAGACAGCGGGCCAATAGAAGTTTTGAAAAGCCCGCGCCCGCTAACTTTCTGATTGGTCAAGGCGCTGACGTCATAACCAATCAATCGAAGATAAAACTGCGTGAGCAATTTTTTTTAACTCTTTTCAATCATTTTCAAACCATTTGTTTGTCAATTCTATAAGAAAACGGTACTCTGACAAGTCTACACCACCATAGGTATGTTATAAATTGTTTATGTCATTATCGTGGCACATATGCCCTCGGTTCTCAGAGATCAATGTCCCTCCCAAGGTCGGGCCATATATTACTGAGACCTCGGGCATACAGTATATGCCACGATAGTTACATAACCTCTGAGTCTAGCGAAGCATTTGTATGGCAGTCAATTGGGAAACGTTAGCAGGATACATCTACCGAAATACGATCATGTATAATTGATTTAAAAAGTATATTGATTGTACCCACATTAAACATAAATAAGATCAAGTACTTGTATGTAAACAGGTTAACATGTATTAAAACTACAAATGAACTACATATAAATAGACAAAAATGTCACCACATGGTTGGAATTATATAAGTGTTAAATTTGTTAAAGACACTGAAGCTGGCACTGACACTACTCAAAAAAAACAATGGCTACACCAATATTTCACCAATAAAAGGTAGTGACATAAAAGTACTGCGCCATAAATGTGGGGTTGATTTTCCAAATCACGGTACTATAGGTAAGGCATGGTATATGGTACAGTACAGCATGTATGGCACAGTGGGGCAAGGTACATGGTCAGGTCAGGTATGGTACAGTACACTGTACAGCTCAGTACAGTACAGTATAGTATGTATGTACAGCATGTATGGTAAGGTTAGGTTATACTAGAGTACAATACAGTATGATACTGTAAGGTATGGTACAGTACAGTGCAGTACAATACAGTACACATACAGCACATTAGTAATATACTAACCTAAACATTCACTCTCTAGAGAGACACCTTCAGTTTCAGTCCATGTATCATTGGGGCAAGCGATACACTCAGTCATGCCCTGATCTGGCTGGTATTGCCCCATGGGACAAAGAACACATTTTTCAGATTCCACATCATAGAAAAGACCAGCTGGACAAGGTACTGGAACAAACATAAGGACAACATATTAGGTTATGGGCTATAGCCCTTAAATTGCGGTATGGAGGTAGAATTTTGGAGACCATGTTAGTTACATCCTAATTTGTAATTCTCAACACAATTTGGCAATAATTAAGCAAAATTTTACAGCGTTTAGGAAAAAATCAATATTTATACCCCCCGCATGACAAAAGTAGGGGGTACATAGAAAATAATTAATAACTTTACAAAAACATTATGAATAACCACAATTTTTTCAGAATATATGCACATATATGTCATTGATTACTGGTAAAAAATTGGTGACTATAGGTATGATGGTTGCTATGGAAACAGAATTTGATTGTCAAAATTTGCTAATTTGTGTCTATTTTGGGCGGGCTAGTTAACGAAAAAATCCTATGTTAGCAAGTTATGCTGCAATAATAGCATTGTTTTAAGGTTTAGAAAATTGCATATATCTCTTCTCAATATTTATAACCTCTCTCCCTCCTCCACCACCCCTCCCACATGACAAAAGTAGGGTATACATTGAAAATGATTAATAACTTTACAACAATGCAGCAAATAACCACCAATTTTTCAGACAGAATAAATGTATATGTCATCAGTAATTTGAAATAATTCTTGGTGATGATGGTTCTATAGAAACAGGATTTGATTGTTGTGAATTTGTGTAGATTGGGTGGGGGGGTAGTTCATGAAGAATCATATCCTAGTAAATTATGCTGCAAAATACCATTGTTTTAAGGTTTAGGAACTGTGTCCTTTATATATTAAAACTGAAATAATGATAGGGTGTCATTCACAAATAAATTTTTTGATGAGATTATAATAATAGGTGACATTAACAAACTTTGATTTAGCGGCAGAAAAGAAGGTCTATAATATTGCCCGATCCTTTAATGTTTCACTGCAATGCTTTCATTAGATTGGGGACATTCCATACCCTTTTGTCCTGTGAGATATGAGATTAATGGTTCGAGGACATTCTTATAGAATCTTAGATATTGTTGATTTGTTGATTTCAAAATTCCATGAATCTGGAGAGTATTCAGCTTACTTATCGTATGATCTGTAAAATAGGCCCTCTGATTGGTCAGTTCTTGTGCTGTACCAATCTGTATTGCTACTGAGATTGTCCTTATTGATTATCTCCTTAGCAATACAGAAAATATTGGTACGGAGGGAACAATCTCAGTAGCAATACAGAATATTTCATAGGAATTACCTCCTGAGTAAAATGCATTGGCCTAAGACCACACAATAAAAACGTTATAGAATGATTTGAGGTGCAATACAGGATATATTCTGCTCTCAATATTATGTATTGGCACTCGACTTTGTCTCGTTCCAACACAGAATTTCTCAAGCAGAATATATACTGTATTGCATTTCAAATCATTCAATAATTTATATTACTGCTACTTCAACTAAAGCCTTAGTTGATATTGAAAACAATGAGTTATCACGAAGTACCAAACATTTAAGAATGACATGAAGAATGGAAAGTTTGGAAAGACTGTCCAATGCTGAGTTACATATCAGAACATGATTGATATTTCACTGTACTTTGAAACACCAGAGAATGGAACATCAGCCAGTTGACAAAATGTGTTTGGAAATTTGGCTATTTGGTAAAAGGACATGTTGCTACTAACACTTTCACTGTTTTGTAAGTTGTGACACACCCTTCTCCCTGGATAACTGCAATTTGCTTTTTGCTAAGCACCATAGAATCTGTCCTCATGGACTTTCCATGATTCCATGCCTCTCCATGAGTTTTTATTATAAACTGAATGGTGTTTCTTCATCTTGATTTCGGCACATCAAATGATTTAGTATTGATCCTAATACGGGCATTTAACAAATTCTTGAGAACCAATAGCTCCTAACACTGGGTGCATTTTTTGACTTGAGTAAGTGCTGGAAGTCCTGATGATATGCATAGGAGTCTTGATTCTGTGATATCAAATGGCTTGATAAACACCATCAATCTGCACTCATGGTACATTAATAGTACCGCACAGTACCATTCTATTATGGTGGTGTACAATGTCCATGGTACTGTACAATACTATTTTAGTCTGGTACCATATATTACCATACCATACAGTACCATAGCCCAAACAGTACCATAAGATACTGTTGGAGATACACAACTGTATGTAATTTTACAGTACTGTTGCCTGTGAAGCTGTCAAATGGATGTTAACTGTTATCTTCATCAATGATCATCATAAACAACATGTTTGTGACTGAATCTTTTTTATACCAATAAGGAACTTTGCGTGCCTGTTGATTGTTGGTTGTATTGTTGAGGTTTTGATTTTGACAGCATTGTACCTACCCCGTGACCTCCTTTTATGGCACATCCCCCCATCATCTAGCTAAGATTTGACACCAGGAAATATTGTATCTACGCTAAGCAATGTCAGAAAATACATTATATTGTAGCAGGGCATGGTTCTGATGATCAAAAGTGATGAAGAGATGTATGAGGACCGCGAGTTGTCTGTATAATGAATCGGGGGATGAGGTGTGTATTAATGATTAACTTTCCTGTAATCTCAAAATCTGCTTGGAACTATACCATAGGATTGCTATGCTAATTCCTCAAAGAGAAAATTCTAGGGAAGAAGGAATGGGTACCATTTACACGATTTGAGAAATTATTGGCATACATTAAACCTATTTCAAAACAGCATTTATATGATCGTAATCAATGATTCCCAGCCCTCTGAAGTTTGAAAAATAAAAAACGTGGGTGTTAATCCATAGATAATCCTTGAAAAGAGAAATATCTTTTGGGGATTATATGGTGCAGTCTTAATAGTCAATAAAATGGTTTAAAGTGTATTGATGTTTTTAACCCGATTCATTCTACAAACAACATGCGGTCCTTTGTTTGACAATCGAATCCTTTTTCCATAGCAACCATCAAACCTATAATCACCATAATCTTTTTCCAGTTACTAATGACATATATCATGCATATACATGTGTAATTTTTTTAGTATGTTAAGACGAGGGGAGTGGCATAAATATTTGGGGATGAACAAAATGATAAAAAGTTACATTGCCTACATTGTGTAGAAATGTTGAACTATTAAGTAGGTTTGATCATACAGTTAAACGTCACGCTGACTTTGGATTATAAAGAAGGATGGGTCATAGTGAAATCTAAAAAATCTAATTGAAACCCAATCATCATTTCAGTTTTAATGCATGCAGGACATACACGTACATATGCAGTTTTCTTATCCTTAAAACAATGCTAATTTTGCAGCAGAATTCACTAGCATAGTATTCTTTGTGAACCAGCCCCCCCTCCCAATATCTTCACAAATTGTGACAATCAAATCCTGTTTAGAATCTATCATACCTATAATTACCAAGAATTTTTTCAATTACTGATGACATATACATTTATCCTGTCTGAAAAATTGATGGTTATTCGCTGCACTGTTGTAAAGTTATTAATCATTTTCAATGTATCCCCTACTTTTGTCACGTGGGAGGGGTGGTGGTGACGAAGGAGGGGTTACCGGATTTTCTCGCATATACGCCCCCCTAAATTTAGGCCCAGGGGCAAAAATCGAGTGTAGTACGCTTATACGCCCATGGGCCTATAAAAAATGACTATTTATTGATTTTTTCAATAAATTCAAGAGTATTTCGTCACTGGCAGATCGTTCTGTCGTTACTTCGTTTCAACATGAAGTTCAACGCTGTGCCGTAAGTGGCAGTGGTGGATCGTTCTGTTGTTACTTTGTTTCAACATTAAGTCCAAGGTTGTAGGTGACATTTCCTTTATAATTCTTACAAAACATGCGATAGGACTACAACAGTAGGTACGGTAGTCATCAGCTCTTCTCACCTTCACGCCCACTGGGCCAAAAATCGAAAGTAGTACACTTATACGCCCATGGGCGAAAAATAAGAGGTAAAATAACAGACGAAATTACCCCCTTCTTTCAGTTATACGCCCAGGGCTTATATGCGAGAAACTCCGGTATAAATATTGAGGAGGGATAAACAAAATCATGTAAACTGTTAACTGATACCAGAATCCTACATTCTGTTGAAATTGTGATAATACAGGCTATACAATAGAAGTTATCCACTGTTGAGTAGGCTTGATCATTCAGTTAAATGCCACGCCCACTTTGGATTATTTAGAGGGGGTGGGTCATAGAAAAAATTTTTAAAAATATTTCTGATTGAGACTTAATCATCATACCAATTTTAATGCATGCAGGACATATATATGCAATTTTCTAAACCTTAAATCAATGCTATTTTTGCAGCATAACTTGCTTACATAGGATTTTTTCGTTAACGAGCCCCCCAAAATAGACACAAATTAGCAAATTTTGACAAACAAATTCTTTTTTCATAGTAACCATCTTACCTATAGTCCCCAATTTTTAACCAGTTATCAATGACATACATGTGCATATATTCTGAAAAAATTGTGGTTATTCATAATGTTTTTGTAAAGTTATTAATTATTTTCTATGTACCCCCTACTTTTGTCATGCGGGGGGTATAAATATTGATTCTTTCCTAAATGCTGTAAAATTTTGCTTAATTATTGCCAATTTGTGTTGAGAATTACTAATTAGGATGTAACTAGCATGGTCTCCAAAATTCTACCTCCATACCGCAAATTAAGAGCTAGCCCATCACCTATATATCAGCATACATTGACTGTGACCTCAGCCAAATGTAACGCCTTTTATGATTAGGTGTTGGCAGTTCCCTCTTTATTAATTACTATTATTTAGATGTATGATAATAAAGACTTTGAGAGCTCTTAGAATTTCTTAGCGTCAAGACCTTCCTGGAATCCTGGTCATCAGGATCTTTTGATTGGAATCTTCTTGTTCTTAATTAAGATCTGAATATACATGCATAATTTATATGCACTTTGATACCAATTGCACTGTTAAGATTTTAATTTTATGCATTGGTTATGATATGACTTTGTTACCATTTTTAACCTATGTGTATAATCCAAATAATGTTTTCCATGTAGTCATTGAAAATAAAATTGATTGTTTTTTAAAGAATTTAATAGAGTTTGGACCATTTTGCTTTTTTTGATCACCCTGTAGTTTTTGTACACTAAGGCATTTACCTGGTTTTTGCATCATATATTATAAGGTTCCACATAAATGTGAAAGTTAGTTATAGGCATTTATCCTAAACACTGTAGAGTTTTAGGGATATAAGTTGGTAAGATATATCCCATATCCTGGTTTTGAGGTTTCCATATCTCCATCCATATCTCCCAAAAAATGAAAAATGAAAATTTAACTCTACTGGGTTAAGGGATAAAGCAGTTATGCACGGTCAGGCTTGATAAAGAGTTTATCCCTACAGTCCCTCAGGTATACGTAGATAGAGATAATCCTATATGAGGTTCAGGATATTGGGATTATCCCGAGGCCAATATAATATATCTGCCCGAGGGCCGCAGGTCCCGAGGGAAAATATATTATATTGGCCAAGGGAGAATCCCAATATCCTGAACCGACTATAGGATAATATGTTTATCCCATACCAATCTTGGTCATCTGGTTCACATTGTTCAATCGTGGAAATATTATTCATGTCCAATTTTGTTTTCTTGCCTGTGGGCGGATTTTCCTGTTCTCTCAAATATTCCCACATTTATTTTCTCGAATTTTTGATTGATTAAGTGGATGCTCCTTCCCTTTTTTAAACCATCAAACAGATCCCAATTGTCTGTGTTTTCTCCATGCATTGTAGTTTACAGTCATTACGCAAACGTTACAAATTATGAACAAATATGCGAGCGGCGATTATGACGTAGCAGGCAGATATACTATATCTGCCCGCTCGGAGCGGGACGTAAAGCTATATCTGCCCGCTGATGAAAATATAAGTTTTTACAAACCGGCTTTATGAACCTGTAACACGTCCAAGTATGGGATAAATATGCATATCTCCCTCTGGATAAACCCATATCCAAAACCTTTTGTAATTAAGAAATATTGAATACTTACTGCACACCGTCTCACTGTCAGATACCTTTTCAAGAACATAATTTTTTTCATCACCAAGACATTTGAATCCATGTGTATCAGTCATACTTCCAGTCAGTGTTTTTGTTTCATCTTTATCAACTTTCAAATTAGGACATCCTTCTATTCCAGTGACATTAGTAAAATATTTAGATGCCTCTGTTAAGATATTTTCAATGTCTTGCAGAAGAGCATCTATGAGATTGAAGCAACTTTCTGCATCTCCTATTGTTATGTCATCAGGCCCAATTCGTATGGCAACACTAGCATATAATGTCTCATTATCCTAAAATGAAAATTAAAAGGTGAAACATTTACAGTAGATTTAGCATTCTAGCATTCCCAACAAAGTATTCATATTTAAATGAGGCCATAAAATAGTAGGATAATGTGACAGCCAGTAGTTGAATTCGGGAGTGCTAGCAATACCCAAGGTAAAGGATGAATGATTCATATGATATATGTTAAACTATACAATGTATTAAATATCATTTTAAAGATAAATCTTTCCCTAACAAAATGACACCATCAAATTGAAAAGCCTTTGTTTTCCCGTGGAGTTAGAGACTAAAATTGACACCAGTATCAAATGGGTCAATTTATTTTTGATTTATCCGTCATGCATGTCTCTGAAGATGATACATTGCAGAGGGACTGAATTAATATCCATAAGTGTGTCGATGGTTTTAGGTTTGGTATGTTAATGAAGACGCATTTCACATATTTAGTCCCTCGCTTTTGTTACACTGACAATCGGCATTAATATTGCCAATATTACACTGACGAAGAGGTTTGCTTACACTGACGAATGGATAATATTATAGAGGAAGTTGATCTGTGGAATGGCATGAACATAAGACGTAGCCATACCCCCGGTAACATTTATAAAAATTGCCTCGATATTTTTATACATGTTCCCGGGCCTATGGAGGTAGCTTTCTATCAAATCTCGAAGATTTCTGGCATGTGCCCAGGGGGAGGTATGTGAAGCTGAAGCTGAGATATTGAATCAAATCCTTTCAATTATTCTTATGTAATTATGATATGTGCATAACATTTAAACAAAACAGGCATCATATTCTCAATTAATAATAAATTGGAGTCCCAATTTACTCGTAGTATATAACATGCGGTTGATGTGATGAACACAAAAATATTTTTAACAAAGAACCAAAAGGTCAATATATTTTTATTCATCAGTCATGCCTGCCCCTGAAGATATTGCAGAGAGACTGAATCAGTATCCATTCAAAATGACCACCTTCTACCAAAAGTGTCATTAGACAGTGTGCCATGCTTACAGTATTCACATACCGAATATGAACAAAATCGCTCCAATACTTTTCGAGTTACAGCAAAAATCGTAAAATAACAAGTAAAGGCCGCCATTTTTCAAGATGGCAGCCATGTGCTTCTTTAATATCTACATTTTTAGCTTTATTAATGTCCTCTATAATTTTTTTACATTTAAAACATATTGCTATTACAGTTTTACCTATTTCACCTAATTTTTTACCTATTGCACACGTACGTACGGACGGACGGACAGACGAGCGGATTTTGATAAATGAACTTTTGAATTAGTACCTTAATTCTTGTATTAAACATATATAATTTAAAAAAAAAAAGTCATTTCTTATCAAATCTAACTCTTGTCAAATACTATTCTAAGAACCAACCTTTAATGTTAAATTGACTTCTGGAAAATCAACATCCCACAATATACCCCTCGCTACCTCACACATATAAGCAAGGTGACCTTCCACCGCTAATCCTGAAGCCCTGAGGAAATGTTCATTGAAGACAGTATGGTTCAAGCACGCCTCACTGAGGGTTGCTCCTATTGGTTCAGACCTATAGGCAATTGTGTAAGTATCAGCCACCATGGCGAGAGGTGGTGCTATAAGGGAAACAACAACATGTGAGGAAGAAATTAGAAATGGTTGATAAATGCCACAAAATATTTTCGTTTCTCTTTGTGTTAAATTTACAAAATTGAGTGGTCTGTCATTTTGGTTTTACAAGGATAAATAAATGACTAGCAACCAAATATATGCATATTATTGCTAAAAATGCACTCATTCCTCCAGTGGAGCATTTATAAAATGAATCAAAGTAAAACTGATACAATTACTAGCTAAACATAGTAAATATAGATCACAGTAGTAGATTTGATTTTGTCACAATCCAATGAATGCTTACAGTAGTTTGATTTTGTCACAATCCAATGAAAGCCTACAGTAATTTGTTTTTGTTACAGTCCAATGAAAGCCTACAGTAATTTAATTTTTTCATAGTCCAATGAAAGCCTACATTAATTTGATTTTGTCACAGTCCAATGAAAGTCTTAAGTAACTTGATTTTGTCACAGCCCAATGAAAGCCTACAGTAATTTAATTTTGTCACAGTCCAATCAAAGCCTACAGTAATTTGATTTTGTCACAATCCAATGAAAGCCTACAGTAATTTGTTTTTGTTACAGTCCAATGAAAGCCTACAGTAATTTAATTTTTTCACAGTCCAATGAAAGCCTACATTAATTTGATTTTGTCACAGTCCAATGAAAGTCTAAAGTAACTTGATTTTGTAACAGTCCAATGAAAGCCTACAGTAATTTAATTTTGTCACAGTCCAATCAAAGCCTACAGTAATTTGATTTTGTTGCAGTTCAATGAAATCCTACAGTAATTTAATTTTGGCACATTCCAATGAAAGCCTACAGTAATTTAATTTTGTCACAGTCCAATGAAAGCCTACAGTGATTTGATTTTGTCACAGTCCAATGAAAGCCTATAGTAATTTTTTGATTTTGTCACAGTCCAATGAAAGCCTATAGTAATTTAATTTTGTCATAGTCCAATGAAAGCCTACATTTATTTGATTTTGTCACAGTCCCATGAAGGCCTATAGTAATTAAATTTTTTCACCGTCCAATGAAGCCTACATTAATTTGATTTTGTCACAGTCCAATGAAAGTCTAAAGTAACTTGATTTTGTCACAGTCCAATGAAAGCCTACAGTAATTTAATTTTGTCACAGTCCAATCAAAGCCTACAGTAATTTGATTTTGTTACAGTTCAATGAAATCCTACAGTAATTTAATTTTGGCACATTCCAATGAAAGCCTACAGTAATTTAATTTTGTCACAGTCCAATGAAAGCCTACAGTGATTTGATTTTGTCACAGTCCAATGAAAGCCTATAGTAATTTGATTTTGTCACAGTCCAATGAAAGCCTATAGTAATTTAATTTTGTCACAGTCCAATGAAAGCCTACATTTATTTGATTTTGTCACAGTCCCATTAAAGCCTATAGTAATTTAATTTTGTCACAGTCAAATGAAAGCCTACATTTATTTGATTTTGTCACAGTCCAATGAAAGCCTACAGTAACTTGATTTTGTCACAGTCAAATGAAAGCCTACAGTAATTTAATTTTGTCACAGTCCAATCAAAGCCTACAGTAAATTGGTTTTGTCACAGTCCAATGAAAGCCTACAGTAATTTAATTTTGTCACAGTCCAATGAAAGCCTTCAGTAATTTGATTTTGTCACAGTCCAATGAAAGCCTACAGTAACTTGATTTTGTCACAGTCAAATGAAAAGCCTACAGTAATTTAATTTTGTCACAGTCCAATGAAAGCCTACAGTAATTTGGTTTTGTCACAGTCCAATGAAAGCCTACAGTAATTTAATTTTGTCACAGTCCAATAAAAGGCTTCAGTAATTTGATTTTGTCACAGTCCAATGAAAGCCTACAGTAATTCCTCACCAACACAATCATGCATTTCAGTAATATTCCAATTTTCGCCCTTGCTGGAATCACACGTTAGAACCTTTTCTTTTTCATCATAAAACTGGAATCCCTTATCACAGAAGAAATAACATGTTGTTACTGTGCCTTCAACTGTACAATTCATCGTCCCATTTCTCGGATGTGGAAGGTCAGCAGTCACGCAATTTCCAGCTGAAAGTCAATGAATTCTGCGTAAAATTTCTAAATTGGTGGTATTTTCTCAAAATTTTATTAATACTCATATAAGTTAAAGTATACATTGAGTACCTAGCTTGAATCATATATGCAAATGTAAAATCATAACTTGTGAATTTAGGATTTAGATATTGTGAAGAGAAATGATGAGCTACAGATGTCACTTGATTAAAAGTTGAAACAAGTTGATGATACATTCTCCCCTGATGCTTATAAACTGGTGATTCATAGTACTCTCTGAGACACCAACAATATACTGTACAAGTACACTCGACATGTACATACCTTCCACTTTCACTTGTAATGTACAAGTACACTCGACATGTACATAGTACTACATACCTTCCACTTTCACTTGAAATGTACAAGTACACTCGACATGTACATACCTTCCACTTTCACTTGTAATGTACAAGTACACTCGATATGTACATACCTTCCAGTTTCACTTAAAATGTACAAGTACACTCGGCATGTACATACCTTCCACTTTCACTTGAAATGTACAAGATGCTGTGTTGTTCCTCTCGTCAAATGCAGTAGCAGTTATGTTATATACATCACCAAGGTCATCGAGGCTCACTGGGAGCTTCTCAGGTTCAAACTCCACACGTCGCACATCTCCTTCTCCATCAGTCACGGTTACATTGTCTTTAGAGAATACAACATCCCTTGGCTCATCCGCATATACAGGTTCTGTATGAGGGTCTGGGCAGGTGATCTTAGGAGGGTTCTCCTCTGAAAACCAATACATGTACATTTTAAAAATCAATGAATGGTTATACATTATATCAGTTTACCCCTTCACTTAGCTTATATGGCAATTGAAGAACATGGCAATATTATCGATTCAATGAGAAATCATATGTTAATATAATTAATGTATATACGGTATAATTCAACTCACCAGACAGTATTAACTCCACTGTATAACTAATTTCATTGGCTGCTTCATCAGAGAATGTAAACAGAAATGTTTCACTTATATTGAAGTAACCATCGAAAAGTGAGCTTTCATGGTATCCTGCTGGTTCCACCATGGAGCTGGTCACTTCGACATTGTCACTGGCATTTGGAGCATGGAAACCATACTCTTGGTATAGTTTTCTGTAAAGTATTCCCGATGGACACTCTACATCAAATGTTGGTGCTTCCACATCTAAAATAACATGAAAGAAACTAGCTAGCTGTTCAATAATAACCATCATCGCTTGCACTGGTTTTAATGAAAGTATTTGTCATTTCAGGAAATCATCTGATGGGGCTACTCCTTTTCCAAGGTTTTACCTATAGGTAGATATACTGACAATACACATTTACGTTATTTATTGTGCAGTGATCTCCCAAGGATTGTTTCTAAGGTGGGTGCAAAATTCTCATTTTCACAATTCAGACCAAAATTGGTCAAACTATGCCATTTTTCATTATTTTCTCAATTTCAAGTGGGTGCAAATGGATTTTCAGGTGGGTGCAAGCCTGGTTTTAAGATCTCGAATGGGTGCAGTGCCAACTTGCTTTAATGCGGGGGAGATGACTGACATTGTCTCAATAACATGATATATCAAATACGCATGTTTAAAACTGAGTGAGTCCGAGGACAGACACTCCAAATCAAGATCCACCTTATTTTATGGTGCATGTGACATATGAATAAAAGATAAAAAGCCCTAATGTTAGGAGATGACGAAACACCCTCTACCTGTGAAAGAAATAACACAGTAAAATCTGGATATCTAAACATCCCCCAATGGGACCACTTTTTTCTTGGTCCCAATTTTTTTTTATTTTCCCATCAATTCACGTTATTAAAACCTTGAAATTATAAAAACTAACACTGACAATCAAACTATTTTTGACCACTTCCAGTGGCATTCATATTAGACAGTGGATGGCATCATGGGTGTTGGTAGGACTTAAATACATGGCAACCCATAGCAGGCGTCACTTGATTTCTTGATGAGATTAGGTCAAAATATGCCTATTTTCACATTTTCAAATTGGTGCAAATGAATCATCATGTGGGTGCAGGCCTGTTTTTTGAATCTCAGGTGGGTGCCACACACACTTTGCTTCAATGCTGGGGATATCACTGCATTTACACTCTACTATTATATACCTTGCATTTGGTGTTCATGAGTAACACATTTGCCTTATTAGTAATGATTATTATGTATTTTATTTGTCCTTTCCTTATTAATGGTTTATCGGTTGACTGTTAGAAGTTAATAATGTACTTTCAAAAATATACTAAATAATACAACTAGACAAACAGAGTATCTTATGCATTTCTAGAGGTTAGGTATAGGACAGTGATTTAGTGAATAGTTTATTTTGTTGAAAGGGAACTCACCTACACATTCTGATGGATACCTGGGTTCCCACTCAAAATCTTTACATGTGATTGTATCATTGGCAATCTCAAAACCTTCTCTGAGACATTCATACTTGACCTTAGCATTGATTTCATAACTATCAGTAATGTTACTCTGTCTCTGGTCTGGCCTTCTGCCAGGGTCTGTACATGGGTCACCTGTATGTTGTAACACATATAGAACAGAAATAAGCTTAAGATATACAAATATATGGTGTTTAAATTGAGATCTTGAAGCAAAAATCAAGCAAAATGTTTGGTTCATCATAAAAAATGTTCATATGTAATAGCTTGCCAATCGCATTATTGGCATTGTAGCAAAATTATAGCAAAATGTTATAAATTATCATTTTATAAAAAACCATAACAAAAATTTTTTATTAAGGGTTAATGTGTTCGGAGACTCAGCAAGATTAAAATCAGCCTCATATTAAATCTGTGAACTATGCATTGAAGATAACTTTCTGTTTACAGAATAAGGAACAACTGTATAGCTTACCCAAACATCTAAAATTCCAAAATGTCCATTGTCCTGTCTCATTACACCGTACAGTAGTCACATCTGGCATATCCTCTCTTGTTGACCCTGCCTGAGATGTCCCATTAGTACAGGACATATTGAACTCTACACCATACAAAGTTAGGAAATCATCACTCCAAGGTTTAATGACATACTCATAGGGTTCTGTAGATTCCAGTCGTTCAGGTTCACCACAGTTGACAACTTAAATAACAAGACAAACAGGGATAAAAATCATAGTATGAAGAGCAAAAATTGTCCATTATTCATTTAGCTATAGCCAAAAAGCCTCATTATATTTTGGCACTATATATTAAGTATAATTATGCATCTCTAAATTTAAGTTGAACAACCCAATTTTCCTTGAATTTTTTGGGCACAAGTCTAATTTTGTATCTGTTAAAAGTTGAATCCCAAATTTTCCTGAAATTTTGATGGTAAATTTCATTGTTCAATTTTGGAACTTGAATTTGCTTACTGGGTGATAATTTCTTTTCATGCATTGATCTTTTTAAAAAAAGAAAGTTTGTGTCCAAGTCATGTAATGATTGTGTAAGTTACATAGAATATGAATTGAAATATATATATTGGTTATTCAGAATGAGAATTACAGCAATCGTCCCTTTCAGTATACATATGCTATATGCCAGGCTGTATGCTAATGCCAGGCTGTATGCTATATGCCAGGCTGTATGCTAATGCCAGGCTGTATGCTATATGCCGGGATGTATGCTGTATGCCAGGCTATATGCCAGGCTGTATGCTGTATGCCAGGCTGTATGCTATATGCCAGGCTGTATGCTATATGCCGGGATGTATGCTGTATGCCAGGCTATATGCCGGGCTGTATGCTGTAGACTTACCTGGGCAGTTGAATGAACTTCCCATCAACTTGTAAGAATCGTCAGTCTTATCATAAAGACATTGGAAGTGCTTAGTTGTCTCATTGGGGTTCCCAATGTCACAAAAGGCAGTGACATTTGCAAGGTATGCTATTTGTGTATCGTCTGTGCTGACATTGTATGGTGGGTATGTCCATTCTGATGTGTTGAACATATCGCAGAATTGCTCTGAAAAGAAAACAATCAATAAGAAATGGGGTTACAAAACATTTATTAAAGAAAAATAAGACTTAATACAAGTATATTTCAAATCAATACTTTGTTTTACTGTATATACCTTCGCAAGTAGGAACTGGCTTAGACCAACTTCCATCAGCTGTACATTCTAAAGCACTCTCACTATCCAACCTGTAGCCAATGTTACAGTAGTAAAACACCTTATCACCAAGGTGATAGACAGACCTATCGCTTAGTAGGTCACCATTAGCTGTACCATTCGGCTCAGGACAAGAGTTTGCTGAAAAAAACACGTAATATGCATTTCAAACTGTTTCCTATTTACTCTTAATATAATCCCCAGTATATAGATATTTATACCCATTAAATGATATTAAACTGTCTCAAAATGTTTTAAACAACTCTGAGTATCCTTGAGATCTAAAAATAGTTTCTCATTAAAAAACGTATATGACATCAAGAAGAATTTTAGTATTTGTAATAACAGGCTTCCAGTTCATCTCAAGCCAGAGTCAACTAAACCCCAGTAAAACTCAACCTCAAGTCAACTCTACCCCAGTAAAACTCAACTTCAAGTCGACTCAAAAAACTCAACCTCAAGTCAACTCAACCCTAGTAAAACTCAACCTAAAGTCAACTCAACCTCAGTAAAACTCAACCTCAAGTCAACTCAACCCCAGTAAAACTCAACCTCAAGTCAACTTAACCCGAGTAAAACTCAACCTCAAGTCAACTCGACCCCAGTAAAACTCAACCTCAAGTCAACTCAACCCCAGTAAAACTCAGACCTCAAGTCAACTCAACCCCAGTAAAATTCAACCTCAGGTCAACTCAGCCCCTGTAAAACTCCCCTCAAATCAACTCAACCCCAGTAAAACTCAACCTCAAGTCAACTCAACCACGGTAAAACTCAACCTCAAGTCAACTCAACCCAAGCGAAACTCAACCTCAAGTCAACTCCAGTAAAAATCAACCTCAAGTCAACTCAACCCAAGTAAAACTCAACCTCAAGTCAATTCAACCCCAGTGAAACCCAACCTCAAGTCAACTCAACCCCAGTAAAACTCAACCTCAAGTCAACTTAACAAGAGTAAAACTCAACCTCAAGTCAACTCAACCCCAATAAAACTCAATCTCAAGTGAACTCAACCCCAGTAAAACTCAACCTCAAGTCAACTCAACCCCAGTAAAACTCAACCTCAAGTCAACTCAACCTCAGTAAAACTCAACCTCAAGTCAACTCAACCCCAGTAAAACTCAAAGGCTATAACAGAAAATCAGTTAACTCACAGACACAAGAGCGGTTAAATCTGTAAGTATCATTAGCTCCATATCCATCCTCTCCAAGTGGTATGAAGAATTCCATGGTACCATTGGCGGTGTATAGGGTGTAACCTACATTGCAAGAGCATTCATAGCCTCCATCTTTGTTAGAACAATTATGTTTACATGTGTGGCTTCCTTCGTCGCATTCATTAATATCTGTAATACGGGAATACACGAGAAATGAAAAAGGTTAAACTACTGCTCCGAGAATAATATTATTTTTGTGTGTAATAGTGTTGCTTGAGTGAGATAATAATGCTAGAGGTCATCATAATAGAGACTACCATTGCATTTATAAAGTGCGATTTTTAATTTTGTTAATATTAAAGGCTGTAAAGACTTAAGTTTTAAGAGTGGATATTCCTTCTAAGGAAAACCACTGGTCTTTCGAACACTGCTTCAATATTGACTGTATATTGAATTTTTTTCCTTTACAAATGTTTAGATCTTTAATTTATACCAGACTTGTAAATTTTTTTCAGGAGATGTTCATACCAGTGCAATTCACTCCACCAGCATCAAGCCTATAGCCATCCTGACATTCACATGTAAAGCTACCATTGTTGTTCAGACATAGCTGGTCACAAGTGGTGTCCACCAAACACTCATTGATATCTTAAAATAAGAATTCATTGTAAATGTTCTATAATATGTACTGTAGATACACTTAATACACTTTGCGATCAGAATTCAGGTATTTTGTTTTTGGATATTGTTGTCATGTATTTCGCCTTATTGGTGTGACGTCATATAGAAATGATATCAGACATGATGGAGAGACGAAATGGCAGACACATGGCAGTTTTGAGCTAAAAATGTTATTGTTTCTTTTATGAAAATCATGGGTCTGATATTTACCAGGTATGCCGATTTGACTAGATCATGAGTATATCTTTATATGTGTGAAGTTTCGGTGAAATTCTTGCGAAACATGGATGCCTATAAGCGCCCCCCATTTTTGCGAAATCGGGGGGCGCTTAACCGCTATCTAAACCATGTCTGTAAGATCTTAGACTTGGCATGTGCCTAGAATGAATGTTGATCTAGTCAAATCAAACACTTTCATGAAAAATAAATCAATAAAGTACGAAAAACAGAAGATAATCTCTCAAAATCACAAAGCTATAGCAGTGTGGACTAATTGTGACGTCACTACAAGATAGAATTCATCCAGTGATCGCAAATCATCAATTTGGCTCCCATTTTAATTTGACAGATTGGCGGATTCAGAAAATCCGCCAAGTTAAAAATCCGTCAAATTTCAGTTTGGAACTTTTGTCCAATGCACTTCAGAAATTGAACTCCAATGGCCCCTTTTCCTATCAACGTGTCATCAATTCTACATTATTCCAAAAGAAATACAGAAAATATCTTAGTAAACACCTGTCCTAATGACATAAACATCTACAAAATTTAAACTTTAGTCCTGAATCCACCAAATTAAATAGCCACCTGAAGTAGTTGATATGCTATTTGTGATGACCTCACTATATCCATTGCTCTAGAATCATCATAATCAGATTACACAGAGATAAGCTGCTATTGCTGAAAAGTCATATACCTTGGCATTCTTCCTCTCCAATAAACTGTCCAGTTTCGCTACATGTCATAGAGAACGTTGTATTCTCTGAGGATCCACGTATCCCGTACCCACCATCACAAGTGACATCTATTGTCTCTTGGAATTCTCTAGTTATGTCGAAGCTTGTCTGGTTGCTGTTTTTAACCATTGGTGCACTGCATTTCAACTCTGAAATCAAATTACGACTTTTTTATTTTTTATTTATTTTTTAATCATTCAAACATGATATACAGTTAAAAATAAAAAATAAATAAAAAAAAATGAAAAAACGTTAACTAACATAACATGGAAAGGATAATCACATAAACTCCGAAACACAATTCTTATGTCTTCACTTGCGGACAATTTAGAAATAAAATGGCGGCTTATTTTTACATATTGAAAAATACATGTAGATATAAGCACATACTTATACAAGTTGGTACTGGGTGTGACCAATTTCCATTTTCCTGACACAACAGTTTAGGAGCGCCCTCTATTATGTATCCAGGGTCACAGGTGAAGTTGACGATAGTCCCAAAAACTGTTCCATTTCCTGACAATTCTGCATTCAGCGGAGCGGAAAGTCCATCGCATGATGCAGCTAGATATAAATAGTACAAATTTTCATATCATTATAACTTATTTTCATATAATTATTAGTTGATGTAAAATGTAAAATGTAAAAAGCGTAAACTGAAATAAAATAAATATTACAAAAAAAATTATGAATCAAATTCATATCATTATAAAGTATATGCATGTTCATTTCATTATAAATCATATTCATTCTGTAATATATATTGTTTTTCAATTCAGGTTTATAATTCAGGTTAACAGCATTACAATAACAGTATATATTCTGTGCGATTTAACAAGATAGTACATAAGAGTGATTCAATATTTTGCAGATTATTTCTGCCATGAGCACCATCCGAAATACATCATAATATTGACTTGATATTTTCTAGTCATTTTATGCAGATATTTTGGAGTGTATTATAGAATTTCAAAAGAACCTCCTAGAAAATTCACAAGAGTAAGTTATTGTTATATCATTAATCAATATACTCTGACTTTCTAGGTTAAATAAAATGATCATAAAAAATATATATATATATTTATATCATTAAAGGTGCAACAATCGACCAGTGTCAAAATATATCTAAGTTTGGATATTTCATCAAGACTTACATATATTTTATATTTTTATTATCTACAAAGAAACCTGTGGATGGACTTTATCTCAGCTGATATTCCTCTTATCTTGAAACATGGTGAATCTTAAAAATCTATAAGTGGGACTCCCTTTATAGAAGCTTTGAACTGAATTTACACTTCTTAATTCTGAAATTGAGACTTTATCCATACATTTTAAGAACATAGGTATGTCAAAGAAGATGTTAAGCCAAATATTGACCTGATTTTCTCTCTACAGTCCTTGTTGTCCCTTTAAATAACATGCATATTCATACCAATAGAAATATAAGCATACATACCAGTTTTGATATATAAATTTTTAGATCACTGTTCAATCAACTATTTAAACATATACAGTGGTCTCCCCAGCATTAAAGCAAGTAGGTGCAGCACCCACCTGAGATTTTGAAAACAGCCTTGTACCCACCTAAAATTCCATTTGCACCCACAATTGAAAATAAGAAAAATCATGAAAAATAGGCATATTTTGACCAATTTAGGTCTAAATTGTGGAAATGAGAATTTTGCACCGACCTGAGACAAAAATCCTTGGGAGATCACTGTAATATATATTTTTTACAAGAAAACTTAACAAGGGTTTACGATGGATGATTCATAATAGTTCTTTATCCTTACGTTCACATGTCGGAGGTTCACCCCAGCCATCATCCCCACATGTTATTGTGGCGTTTCCAACGATTGTGTAACCCTGGTCACATGTATAGGTGACATTGTGACCATATGTCACACCTCCTGAACTCATGGCGCGAATGTTAGACGTGTTTAGTGGAACTTCACCGCAAAATTTTGCTACAACACAAGGTAATAATTGGTACAGAAGAAAAAAGTGGAACAACTAAAGCAAAATATCATGTTATGATATTTCCTGATTTTGAAGTGACATTATGATATATATCTACGTACGTTGACATTGGGGTGGCGTGTTCACATTCCACACTCCCCCGTTCAGACATTCCATTGTTATTGTAGAGTTCTCTCGATACTCCTCCCCAGAGAATTCATAACCTGGGGGACAAGATACTTCAACAGTGGTCCCATAGTAAAGTGTGTAATTATCAGGATGAGGATTTGTCATATTATTGAACAATGGATCCTGGCAATCTGCAAATGAAAAAAAAAAATCTCATACCGATTAATGTTAAATAAAATTATTAAGAGATCTGGATGTTTCACATCGAACTGTGCCAAGGCCTTGCATTTAAGATACCTCTTATTAGATTGTAGTTTATCTTTATTCCTGTATTACAAAATGGAGACTGCATGTTCAGAATACATGAACTGTAATACAAACCTGACGAGAATGTAGCAGTAAACCCCTTGCCATTGTCAAATGCACTGGTGGACATTATGACAGATACACTGGAAGAAGCCTCAACACGGAAAGGAAGATGAGATAATGATCCAGATTGCTTATTTAGAACCACCTCCCCACTATTTCTATTTATCACCTAAATAAAAACAAAAATATCCTATTAAAGTATTTATGACCTCAATCTTGGAATGTTTTTTTTGATAATTTATAATATCTGTATTGAATACACTTGGAGACAATGCCAAGTCAATGTGACAATACCAAGTCAATGTGACAATACCAAGTCAATGTGACAATGCCAAGTCAATGTGACACTACCAAGTCAATGTGACAACACCAAGTCAATGTGACAATACCAAGTCAATGTGACAATGCAAACTTTATGTGACAAAATTATTTGCAACTTAATTGAACATGCTTATTTGCAAACTCACCATGGCATGGTCAATTGTAAATGTACTGTGACATGATCATTTGCAAAAATACTGTGACATAGTCATTCAAAAAATTACTGTGCCACGGTCATTCAAAAATTACTATGACATAAGTCATTTGAAAACTTAATGTGACATGGTGAGTTGCAAACTTACTGTGACATGGTCATTCATAAAATTACTATGTCATAGTCATTTGGAGACTTAATTCACAAAATTGTGACATAAGTCATTGCAAACTTACTGTGACATGTGACATAATTTATTTGCAAACTTACTGTGACATGGTCATTTGCTTTGAAGTCAAATTCCTTGAAGACCAAAGACACAGGCCTCCCTGTTGAACCAGTGAGATTCCAGTAACAGGTAACAAAGTTAGGGTAGTTCTGCCCTAGGCTGTACCCTGGCGTTTCTATTAACCCCTGTGTTACATTCACATCCACAGAGCACCCTGAAGTGAAGACATGTCATTTTAACTTTAATTGTATAATGATGGAGTGTTTTATCCAAAAAGAGTTCATTCCAAGGGTATGGTGCATGACTTTAGATATACAAGGGTTAAAAAATTGATTTATCAACCATACCAGTTGTTCTATTATTTCCCTCTTTGTATTACAAAAACAGATAAATATCACACTTTACAAATGACAAAATTCAAAATGGTAACGTGGTAATTTGAACCCAGGTTGCCTGAAATTAAATCAAATCTTGGCATTGGTTATTAGTCTCCTCTTTAAAAATTTCAAGCTGAATAAGCAGTTTTCCAGCACAAGACGATGACTTATACAGGGCCATTGTCCAATGGTTACATGGCAGCTTAATTACATTTATTCTTCATTTATTATATACCACTGTGCAGTTTTATATTACCTTGTACATATGTGAACTTGAAACCTTGGCGTAGAAAATTATAGGTCTCAGAATGGAAGTAAACAAATAGTTGATTGGTGGTTGATTGGATGAACTTAGGTTGTATATCTGTCCCCCTGTATGTCACAAGGACGTCATCTCCTACACTACCGCCATTACGGATCTCAACATAGTCCTCTCTGTTAGAAGACAATTGAAGGTCTGTCACCTATAGAGCATTAAAAAACAAATTGTTGTGAATCATAAACTAGTTTAGAACAGTACAGTAGACTATTTATCCATTGTCACTGTAAAAGAATATTGTATGAGAGGTTGTCTTTTTATTATAAGAATACTTACAATTAAATTGGGCGATTATTTCTAAAAATGTAAAATGTTAAATTGGGGAATTTATTTAGCATGAACATTAACATTTTGAGTGAGGTATTTATTCATTTAAGTGACAGATTTATTTATGCATTTGAATGCCAGATTGATTGATTTGAGTGCCGGACTGATTCAATAAACAAATTCAGCATACAAAAATTGAAACACTGTATGCAAATATTTTCAACATTTTATGGAAATATGTTTTGGCCACCATGTACAAAATATTTTATTGAGATATGTTTTAATCATCCTGTACCTTTAGGGTGATAATTTGTCTCTCAGGGGCCTTGATAACCCACTGTACTCTCTGATCATGCATGTAGAAGCCCTCTGTGTACTTTGGACTTGTGAAATTCTGGTCATCCTCAGTAGCAGTCAGTTCACCACCATCATCAATATCCTCTGCAAGTAAATGTTAACATTATGTCTCTGCAATATCAAGTCAACTCGACAATGTTTTAGAACACATACAAGGAGTGATCAAAAAGTAATGTGACTGCATATGCCATTTCAACATTTCAGATCTAATTCTTAAACATTCAAATCAGAGTGTGTTATTCAATGGCGTAGCGTCATATACGCATAAAACGCCATGGCGTACTCTCAAAATTTAGAAAAAAGTTGATTTTTAGATTGAATTGGCCCACACTTTAAACATGGATAAAATAAGTCCATATTAAGTCAGAATTTTGTATTTTAAAACGCCCCAAAACGCTTCAACTGCAATCTCATTTTCAAATTATCTTATGAAGAAAACCCACCCCCAAACCCCCTCAAAGATTGTTCGCTTCGCTCACTCGTGGCGTACACTCACAAAAAATTTACGCTACGCCACTGTTATTTCTCTGTTTGTTTATTAATACCCAAAAGTTGCAATTTCTAAATCTAACTAATAAGGGATTTGTGGTTGCTATGGTAACATGCACGTGTCATACCCAGAAGAAGATGTAATTTCAAGATAAATCTTAGATCACTTGTCTATTGCCAGGTTAACTTTTGGTCTACACTAGCACTTCACCTTTCAGTATACATACTATGTTATATTTCAGTCCACTTTTGATCAACATTATGCCCCATAACCAATCTCGAATTTCCATCTATTTGGTCTATGTCCCACATTACTCACCCATTTCCCATTGGGCTTCCCATCCATCACGTTCTACATTCTTATCAGATATGAAGGTGACGATCATTAGGTTGTTAGGGCTTACAAACCACTCAGGGGATGAGGAGGCACCAAGATCACCTGACAACGACTTCACCAATACAGCTGTGCTCAGTGTTTTGCCTCCAGCCCATATTTGGACCTGGTCTAGGCCTAGCTCAGTGTTGAAACTGGTGAACTGGTGAAGTAATGAAAAGAAATATAATTAATACATTTATTATTATATATTAAGGCATGACCATGACAAAATGTCACCACCTTAAGTTATTGCAAATTGTTACAGATGCCGAACAACAACCATCAACAACCATCAAATGCCAAACTATGTACACAAAAAATCACTTGTGGTGGTGACATATGTGGTGGTGACTGATGTGGTGGTGACATAATACAACAATATCAAAACTCAAACACTGGTACCAATTTCACAGCAAGGTTAAACTGCTTCAATAGGAAGAATTTTGACAAAAAACTTTGTAACAAAAGGATTTTGTGCCTGACTGGCTAGCTGACACCTCAAAAATCTTTTGTTGAAAAGCTTTTTCATCAAATATTTTGTATTGAGGTAATTATACATGCAATATCACTCTAACCATAGCCAAAGACCACAAATTACAAAACTTTTGTAAATTTGCAATGATTAAATTAATCGGTTTTTAAATGATAGTTGCATTGAAATAGTTTTTCATGTATAAAAGATGGAGTAGTCTATTACCTTAGTTTTACCTTTTACATAATTCTGAACCAAATTGAAATTGATTTAAAACATTTTGCCAATTTAAATATTATTATGTTTCAACTTCTTAACAATTTAATCCCAAAAGATCAGTAAAATGTAAGATTCTGCCATTCATTACTGAATATAAGGTGCTAAAACATACCTTTAATTTTACACGTTTGCCTACAGTGCCCTCTATAGTCCACCTGCAGTTTTCTGAGTTTTCATATGGTTTTTTGGAAAAATCCCCCGTCTCTTCGTCATAGTAGTATCTACAGCTATCAGCTACAAATCCAAAGAATGAGATTCATTACATCTGACAGTGTGTGGATACAACATTCATACACTGGCAAATAAGCAAATAAAAATAATATGATTCTGAAAGCTTTGTGAACTCACCCCAAACTGGGCCCATATGCAATATACAAACATGTATACTGTACATTGAATGAATCAACTAAGTCACTGAGTTTTCAATACAATCTTGATATCGACAAAATACGGTATCTTCATTGCCACTTTTTTTCAAAATAATTGAAATTGAAAAAAATCTCAATCAAAACTTACGACAGTCGCTTTCATCAGAGAAGTCTCCGCAATCGTTTTCTCCATTACATTTAAACTTTTCCTGGATACATTGTCCCGTTGCACACTGGAAAAAACCTGTAAAACACAGAAAAATTACCCTTTTCAGATACTATAGTTGCAATTTGGTAGACTCTGAATATTGTAGAGAAACAGATCCAAAAAATGATTGTCCTTTTTTAGGTAACCAAATGGACAGAGAAAAGCACAAAAATACTAGAAAAGTAACTGATTTGATAACCTGTTACTCTGACACGGGATGATGTTGTATGAAATCAGTAGGTATACTGAATATAAATATACCATTTCAGTGATCTCCCCAGGATTTTTTCTCAGGTGGGTGCAAAATTCTTATTTTTACAAATCAGACCACAATTGGTCAAAATATGTCCTTTTTCCATAATTTTTCTCATTTTCAAGTGGGTGCAATTAGATTTTCAGGTGGGTGCTATGCTATTTTCAAAATCTCAGGTGGGTGCTGCGCCCACTTGCTTTAATGCTGGGGAGATCACTGCTTATATTCTGGTGTGGTGTATTCATCATCTATCTGCCCTACATGAACAATTACTACTAGAAAATCATTGGAATTACAAATCACAATGAAGAAAAATATTTAGAAAAGGTTCATACATTAACAAGACGATTGAGTACATCAATAAAGCAAACTCAGTTTTAACAAAAGGTGTAATAATGATAAAAACAATTCAACGCAACTTAAAATAGAAATAAAGATACACTTTCATTGGGAACCACCCAATTTTATTTATGAGGTCAATTGTTTAATTGCCAATTCAAGATATTTTATTCTCAACTTTAGAGTTATATTTTAACACAATGCAAATACTTGATATATTCAAAAATGAGAGTATGTATATTGTTACATACCAGATATATGAACGATTCCCTAGACCCTTTGCTTGTTTTTGTTAAATATGGTGGTTAAACAACATTTTTATATGATGACTCTCGTGTTTTCCCGCTAATTGCAACTATTTTCCTTATATTTTTTAATTCAATTGGGCAAGTATTTACTACAAGGATCGAACAAATCCCAAGAAGATCATAATTCCGCCACTGTGTTGTACAGTTCATTTTGAATTTAATTTGCCAATAACTTCCTCATTGAAAGATTTGAAAAAAGCTACAAATTGTGAAAAATAATAAACATGCACAGTATGTTTCAAAATATCTAACCTTAACTAAAATCAATGCAATAAATATCTAGCAAAAGTTATTGTTTTACTGTATCACTGCAGTCAAAACAGGTGGTGCAATGTATGTAAGTAGATAATTATTTTTGACTTTTAAATAAAAAAAATATATATTTGTTATATCTAAGTCTATGACATGCTGAAGGTCATCGTGATCTTCCTGATAACCTACTCTTAAAAGTAAAATCATGTTAAGTAATTCAAAATTGATGGCCTTCAACATTTCTATAGAATGCTCAAGTAAAGTATTCCTGAATATTTGCTATGCAAATCTAAACTTTAAAATGTCATATTTATGAGATCTCCCATGATCTTGACTTTATATAGTACCTTTTCATCGACGGCATTTTGAGTCAAACCCAAATACGCTAGAGCAACTTAAGTATTCAAAACAATTTAAAGAATAAAAACTTTCAGTTTGCCATGTTGGTGGATGTTCAGGGGTTATTAGCAGCAGACAACCTGGATTTTCACCAGTTTTTTTCACAAAATCGCCTGTTGTTTTTAGAGATTTTTCAACTTTTCCATGTTAAATTTTTGATTTCCAGTTATTTTGCCTGTTGATTTTAACATTAATTAGCCTGTCGTGAGAAATTCTCGTGAATCCCCTGATGTTACTTACAAAAATGTTTATTTGTAATGTATGAAATGTACACCCAGAGGAAATATGAAAATAAACAAGACACAAGCTGAAATATACCATTTATTGAACTTTGAAGAGCAAAATGACCCCAATGATGCCATATTTACCCAGTAAGCCCAAAACCTAATCAATCTTTAAACTGTAATAGTTAAACTTCTAAGGGATTAAGTTGGACCCAAAAATACAGTTGAAACTGACGACAGTTTTCTTCCTTTTTATTTTTCCTGGGGTTTCTTGTATGCAAAAATAAATTGATGTAATACAGTATAATTATTGTAAGAACGATTTTTCATTATCAAAACAGAAGTTCCTAGAGCAACATTAAGCTCTAAAACATTCTAAAAGATTAAAGTCTATTTCTCCTATCACTTTTTCGACTGATGCATCTTTACTGAAATAATCCTCTTCTTACCATTTAGACAAGCCCCTGCCTTGCAGACAAAGGGAAGCTGATCTTTGCATTGGCTATACCCCCACTCATAATCCCTGCCCAGGTAGCTGTCCTCTCTGACATTGATCTTAGTACACATGCCATTCGTATCCTCTGGCTCATAGGCACCCCAGTAGCCCTGACTGACACTATAAGAAGACACAATAGAACCCCAGGATATGCTGCTACTTCTGTTATTTAGTCCTGAAAAACATTCATAAAGCAATCAGGTAAACATTCATCAGGTAAATATCATCAAGTAACACGGGTAAACATTCATATAGCAATTCAGGTAAACATTCATCAGGTAAATATCATCCAGTAACACCGGTAAACATTCATATAGCAATTCAGGTAAGCGTTCATCAGGTAAATATCATCAAGTAACACGGGTAAACATTCATATAGCAATTCAGGTAAATATTCATCAGGTAGATATCATCCAGTAACACAAGTAAACATTCATATAGCAATTCAGGTAAACATTCATCAGGTAAATATCATCCAGTAACACCGGTAAACATTCATATAGCAATTCAGGTAAGCGTTCATCAGGTAAATATCATCAAGTAGCACAGGTAAACATTCATATAGCAATTCAGGTAAACGTTCATCAGGTAAATATCATCCAGTAACACCTGTAAACATTCATATAGCAATTCAGGTAAACATTCATCAGGTAAATATCATCCAGTAACACAGGTAAACATTCATATAGCAATTCAGGTAAACATTCATCAGGTAAATATCATCCAGTAACACAAGTAAACATTCATATAGCAATTCAGGTAAACATTCATCAGGTAAATATCATCAAGTAATACAGGTAAACATTCATATAGCAATTCAGGTAAATATTCATCAGGTAAATATCATCAAGTAACACAGGTAAACATTCATATAGCAATTTAGGTAAACATTCATCAGGTAAATATCATCAAGTAACACTGGTAAACCTTACTTCGGATACTAAATGGTTAAATGCATTGATCCTGGTAACTTATAGTGACATCTATATTTTGCCATCCTGCATTTGTGCTTACCTATCCAGTATTCCTTAACACCTTGGGCCCAAGCTAGCTCACCAACGTGTTTGTTCTCATGGTAACCAAATATCTCCACTAGGTTACCCCCATACCTGCAACATAGCAATTCAGGTAAACAGTCAACAGTATATCAAAAGTAAGATAAACATCCAACAGTATGTAAATAAGTAAATACTCATATAGCAAGGTAATCATGCATACAGTACCTCCATATGACAATACAGGTAAACATTCAACAGTTAGAGTCACAGAGCTAAACATTTATATAGCAAGGTAAACATTCATACAGTTACAGAGTAATAGAGGTAAACATTCATATGGCAATTCAGGTAAACATACTTACAGTTAAACATGTAAGCATTCACATAGTAAAATAAACATTTATACAGTTACATTGATAAACAATGATGGCAATTCAGGTAAACATTCAACAGTCACAGAGCTAAACATTCATAAAGTAACTTTGTCTAAACATGAATGGAAATTAGAAAATCTGACTTATTGTCCCTTATCTAGTGAGACATATAGTGGTTAAGTATGATTTTATGATAGATTAAGGCCTGTGTACTGTGTAGTTAGATTTAGTAATAGGAGTAACCCCAGCCAGCTAATAAAGTTAGTTTTAAGTCTGACCAAGCCAGAAATACCCAAAATAGTTTGAGCTCTTCACATTATCATAATGTACTAAATCTTGATTTAACGATTATTAAAATGACCCTTAAATAGACTTAAATAACTTATAAATATGCTATTAAATAAATATATGGCTACTATGTGTTTTAAGTACATATGGTAAACCTGTATATCTGAACACCTCTCTAATTTGAACATCTCTCAATATGAACACTTTTTCTAAGTCCTAATTTTGTTATTTCCCATTGAGTCACATATTAATGTGAACACCCACTAATCCAAACATTTTTGGCTGGTCCCAATGGCATCCAGATAACTGTCATACTAATATCAAATGAGGGAAAATACCCTACTATTGTAAATTATTAGACAAATGCACTGAGAATGTGTTTAATCATTTCAAAGCCGGTACTTTGGAAAAGAACCTTCATTTTAAATTAGCTTTAGCCAAGTGATGCTGTTCTTAGTCAATAGGGGCATGATAAACTATATAACAGCAATGCCAAAGCGTGGCAAATCCCATCGAACAGCCATGGCTGCCATTTTTACAAAATCTAGCTTCTACTACTTTTTTCAGTAAAATAACACAAATGGCCATCAACCATAATTTTCAAAATGCTCTCTCACTAGCTAAATTGTCATAAGGAAGTGTAATATGACTAAGTTAGCATATACGTACATAACGGCCAGTTTTCAAAATGGCCACCTACTAATCAAAGTGTCATGAGAGAGTGTGCCATGCTTATGAGTATTCACATATGAATATGAAAAAATCGCTCTAATACTTTTCAAGTTATAGCAAAAATCGCAAAATAGCGAGTAAAGGCTGCAATTTTTCAAGATGGCTGCCATGTGTTTCTTAAATAACTAGATTTCTAGCATTATTAATTAGCCATTATGTCCCTATCATGCCTGAGGTCTGACGTCAATATAGCCCGAGCTTGCGAGGGTTATATTTACGACAGACCGAAGGCATATATTCAATGATACGGACATAATTGTTGTATTACATACCTAAAGTACATTTTACATTACATTTCATGAATATAATATGTAGAAATGTGTGAAAAAAGACAAAAATGCTTTTATATCAATGACGTCACACGTCTGTGTGCGATTGAAATATGTAAGAAATGAAACGTGACGTCATACGATTGTCATGGTAAAAAGTTTGGCGGCTATACAGGAATATATAGCAGTCTTTCAGCTCCATTGACTTCCATACAAATGCTTCGCTAGGTATGTAATACTTAGCCATTATGTCCCTATCATTGAATATATGCCTGAGGTCTGACGTCAATATAGCCCGAGCTTGCGAGGGTTATATTTATGACAGACCGAAGGCATATATTCAATGATACGGACATAATTGTTGTATTACATACCTAAAGTACATTTTACATTACATTTCATGAATATAATATGTAGAAATGCGTGAAAAAAGACAAAAATGCTAAATGTTTTCATGTTATATCAATGACGTCACACGTCTGTGTGCGATTGAAATATGTAAGAAATGAAACGTGACGTCATACGATTGTCATGGTAAAAAGTTTGGCGGCTATACAGGAATATATAGCCGTCCTTCAGCTCCATTGACTTCCATACAAATGCTTCGCTAGGTATGTCATACTGCCTATATACCTATGGACGAAGGCATCCCCTTAATCCCTCCGAACTTTGTTCTATGGGATAAATGAACTGTTCAAAATTTTGAAAATTAAAATTTTTTTTGCACCTATAAGAACTATTTCAGTTATTTTAGTAGATATTTATGTAACTGACTGTAGACACACATACATTTATGTAACTGACTGTAGACACACATACATGAAACTGACTGTAGACATGCCTACGGGTAATTATATTTTAGTGTGCTGCCGATATAAAAGCGTATTTCTGAATATTAAATAATAAGAAAGAATGTTCAGGAAATGATCGTGAAGCACACTGGCAAACAGAAGGTTGACACATGAATCAAATTGGTTGATCTTATGCCCTTTCATTGAATATACCTCCTCCCAGACTTCAATGCTAGTTAAATGATTAAGATTCCAAGTTGACTTCATGAAGGAGGTCATAACACTCCTCTAAAAATGTTGTTTGCCGAAATGACATACTGGATCTATGAAAACCTCTAATAATCATTTTAAGGTAAACAAAGAAACATCTCAATCTACTTTCTTTAAGTGTAAAACCAAATAATAGTGAACAGTCAAAAGTAGTGAATATTAGTTGATCAATTTTAGAACCAAAGGGTTTGTATTTTACTGTCTAAAATCTGCTTATACGAGGGATGACCAATAAGAAAAGATGTATAAAAATGTTTCATATTTTCCTCTTCACATTTTCAGGGTTGGAAGATAATTGAACGGTGTAGCATGTGTGATATGGTCAAACGGAATGGTCCATTAAAAGTGTCTGTATGAAAATGAGTCCATTACTTATTGATCATCCCTCGTATATGGTGCATTTTGTTTTAATTGTTGATCCTAAAAATAGGTGGGTCTACAAATAGTCAAGATCTTCAAGATTTGTCTCTGTAGAATTATTGCCAAACAACCTCCAGGAATTTTTCAGAATTGCAGGAAAACAACCTTAAAAACAAGATTTTTTCATAAATAATATTCCGGGTGTCTTATTTATTAAATAAAGCAGCAAATAATGTAAAACTTGAAAAGATTTATAAAAAAACTTGTCTCTTTTCTTTTAAATATTGAGATATTTTTGGAAATGTTGATATGTTAAACAGCAATCATTTTCATCATTCTTGACATAGAATTTGAGGTAGATTCTACATTATAGGGTATAAAACATGGAATGTGTGTCATTGAGTGGTTCAAATGAAAAAAGAATTTATTTTTCAAACTATAAAACATGGAATGTGTGTCATTGAGTGGTTCAAATGAAAAAAGAATTTATTTTTCAAAATATAAAACATGGAATGTGTGTCATTGAGTGGTTCAAATGAAAAAAGAATTTATTTTTCAAAATATAAAACATGGAATGTGTGTCATTGAGTGGTTCAAATGAAAAAAGAATTTATTATTCAAAATATAAAACATGGAATGTGTGTCATTGAGTGGTTAAAATGAAAAAAGAATTTATTTTTCCAAATTTGAAAACTATAAAATGAGCTTGAACATGACCGTATACTTACTTAGGTGTGTAGTATTTTTATTGGACCACCCTGTCCCTGTATAGGGGCGTACATACAGGGGGGGGGGTACTTACAGGGTCTTGATTCTTGTTACGATACTCCTAACATATACAAGCTTCATACTTTTTGAGTAACAGAATGAAAGAAAAAGTCTAAACAAATCTGATGGCCTTGGAAAAACGAAAAAATAGTCTATGAATCAATTAATATCTTTTGAGATGACTGAAGCAAGGGTGTTGGCCTTATATGTATAAACTTGAACTCAAGTGTGTAGATGGCTATTGAAAATGAGTAAACGCTTCATTAATGAAGACCAAAGCATGTCTTAATCGGGACATGGATCAGTTTTTTTAAATCAATATGTACCTGAACCCAAGGTCAATATTTGATGACCTGTTAACATATTATAGACATGACCATTCTACCAAAGTAACCAGATTTTTTAGGAACTTGTATATAGAGAAGTATCCTAAAAAAATTGTGGGTACTTAGTGTTTTAGGTGTGTTATGTTTAAACTGCATGTTTTTTAGAATCATCCTTTAAATATATTTAAATACAAGACGGAATATAATTTGCGCTATTACAAATCCCCAAATAGAGGAATTCAGTGCTTTGTATGAGAATGTCTATAAAATATATAAATTTGCACATTTCATTTTGAGAGTTCAGGTAGCATTTCAAATGTTTGTAAATAATATTGCCTTACATATAATTATGCCAAAAACTAAATATGTTAACTTAAAAAAGAATATAACCAAATGAAGAGAGCAATATAATTCCTGAAAATGAGAAAATATAGTTACTTTTGATGGGTATAGATTATTTTAAATGCATCAATGTAGTTTGAATAATGACTGAAAATAGTATTGGTAAATCAAAATGTTAGAAAGGTTTTAAAGCGCTATCCTTAATTTGCATATGCTCTTTAAAATAAAGTTTACAGCACTTAAATCAAACACGTACAAGACAATACACTTCTTTATCCAAACATTGGGGGAATCACCTCTTTATAATGAATCATTTGATACATGTCTAGCTATTTTTTAAAAATTGAATAAACATTTGCCTGATTAATATATGGGTCAGGCCCATAAGCAAGATTTGCCAAGGGGTTTCGCTTTACAAAAAATTCGGGGGGTTCACCTTTGACAGCTTTGTCCCAAAAATGGCCAAAATCATGTTCGCTCGAACCCATCAGAACCCTCCTCTGGCTATGGGCCTTTGGGTTTGAGATCAGTTTTGAACTGTAAGTAAATTGTTTGAGTTGGGTATCCCCAGAGATCCCCTTGTTAGGCGTAAGACTCATACATATATGTACAGTAAAACCTGTTTAATCCAAATGTTTCTGGGGTTGTTCAAGTGTTCAGATTAGAAGGTTTTCACATTCTTAATACATGCATCACCAAAAAATTAAAAAAATTGAGACTGAGAAAAAGTGTTCACATCAAGAGATGTTTGTATATGCATTGCAGAGGTGTTTTGGTGTATCATAATTATACATGTAAATCATCCTGGTCACATTGCATACAACCAAGTGCATACCTTTGACATGTAATCTGGGCATCCTCCCATTCTGCTTTCTGTGTGAACACCTTGTAGCAGGTGGTAGTATCCAAACTCCATGTATCTGCAAGTACATCAACAACAGGGCATAAATAAGAACAATAAATTAGAACAGCAGGGCATAAATAAGAACAGCAGGGCATGAATAAGAACAACAGAGTATAAATTAGAACAACAGGGCATAAACAAAAATAGCAGGGCATGAAGAAGAACAGAAGGGCATGAATAAAACAGCAGGGCATGAAGTAAAAGAACGGCAAGACATGACTAAGAACAGCAAGGCATGATAAGAACAGCAAGGCAAGAATTAGAACAGCAGGACATGAAGTAGGATATAAGGGCATGAATAAGAACACCGAGTATAAATTAGAACAACAGGGCATAAATAAGAATAGCACGACATGAATAAGAACAGAAGGTCATGAATAAAACAGCAGGGCATGGAGTAGAAGAACAGCAGGCCATGACTAAGAACAGCAAGGCATAATAAGAACAGCAAGGCATGAATTAGAACAGCAGGGCATGAAGTAGGATATACGGACATGAATAAGAACAGCAGGGCATGAATAAGAACAGATGAACATGGATAAGAACAACAGGATATGAAGTAGAAGAACAGCAGGGCATACATAAGAACATCAAAGCATGAATTAGAACAAAAGGGCATGAATTAGAACAGCAGGGCATGAATTAGAAAAGCAGTACAATCCGACATGAATAAGAACAAAGGGGCATGAATTAGAACAGTGGGACATGAATTAGAATAGCAGGACATGAATAAGAACAGCAGGGCATGAATTAGAACAGCAGGACATGAAGTTAGCTATAAGGGCATGAATAGAATAGCAGGGCATGAATAAGAACAGCAGGGCATGAAGGTAGATATAAGGGCATGAATATAATAGCAGGGCATGAATTAGAACAGCCGTGCATGAATTAAGATATAATGGCATGAGTAAGAACAGCAGGGAATGAAAAAAGATATTAGGGCATGAATAGAATAGCAGGGCATGAATAGAATAGCATGGCATGAATTAGAGCAGGGGGCATGAATTAAAATATAATGGCATGAGTTACAACAGCAGGGCATGAAGTAAGATATAAGGGCATGAATAGAATAGCATGGCATGAAGTAGGACAAAGAATTAATATGCAAAATGTCACCACTTGCCATTTGTCACCACATGTGGTGGTGACATAACAAAATGGCAAGTAAATGGGGTGTGATATACAAAGGGTCAAAACAGATGCATATAAAGTGAATTTTTACACTGGAATTCAATGATGAAATATCAAGAAAAGGGATTATTTCAAAAGTGCCAAGGATGATTGGCACCCATGAATTAAACTCAATTCTCTATTGACTGGCACGGACCAGTTTGTATCCATATGTTAAGGAATGACAATGCCAAGTATATTACCATTATACTCATACATTACATATTCAGTAAACCTGTGCAAGTGGAACACACTCAGTCTTCACTGCGAAGAGAGCCGAGTTAACGAAGATGTTCAACAAACACATTCCTATTCTAAAAGAGTACTTGCTAAATCATTAATTCTATTGCCAAGAAAATAACATTAAATAACACATTTAACATACGAGACAGAATCTGACAGTTGGTATACAGATAAATAAACACAAATTACATCTTCCAATATAAAAATGACAAGGGGCACTAAACGTTGTCCCTCTAACTGACAGCACCTCTTTAAGGTCCCTTTCGGTTCATCAGAGCTAAATGAATCATAAAAATATAAAAATCCTGACAAAGCTGGTATGGTATGTTTATTAAAAATTCAAAACAGGTAAAAAGTATAACTGAATCATACACACTGATCTCAACCAACCTAGGCTTACATTGCATGTAGTCCTATATAGACAATGTGCCCCATTATATTCTAAGGTCACTCTTCGTTCTTATAGATTCTAATTAAATGTACATGTATATCCCCATTCAGATACAGATCCTTAAGTAAACCAAAACCTCTTCCAATTAATACCTCTAACATGTGTGAAAAAATAGAAAGATTTTATTTACCTTAACTTTTTTGTGGAGTCAAATTTATGTTCGGATTAAGTCTTCAACTAAGTATTTCTAACTTACAATTGTCCAATTTGAAAAGTTAAATTTTTCTGACACGGTGCTGTCCTGAAGGATCAGATTTTCAAAATTTCATTCATCAATTATCTGCCTAAATAGACTGACTTCATAGACCACCCTCTAGGATGATTCACTTGAGACTCTGATCCCAGCTCTAATCCCCCCCCCCCCTTCCATACTACAAAGTTGACACCAACTACTGCCAACTAACAATCATGTTCCATTTTAGTAGTTAACCATATAGGGTCAACTTGTTTTTCGTAGAACATGTCCTCCGTCTATCCAGAGAGTTGAAACAAAACTCAGTGATCTCCTCAGCATTTAAGTAAGTGGCAGCACCCACCTGAGATTTTTTAAAAAACATACTTTTACCCACCTGATAATCTATTTGCACCCACTTGAAAATGAGAGAAATCATGGAAACTGGAATATTTTGACCAATTTTGTGAATTGTGAAAATGGAAATTTTGCACTCAGTTGAGAAAACATTCTGTGGAGAACACTGATATTTATCTCCTGGCCTGATCAGAATAGCAACTCTTCATTACTTTATATTGTATTGTCTTAAACATATTTATAACATCCAAAACATCCTTAGTACTGTCAATTCCATCAAAATAGTTGTAGGGAACAAATTACAATCAAATAAAATATGGCGAAAATGACATCCTCAATAGAATGCTACTTAGTAATAAAAATACCAATTCAATAAACATGTCTAAATGTGAAAAACTATACTTGGGCACATAATGCTGATGTTATATGTATATCATGTCTATCAATCTATAAATAAATTGTTGACAACTTTAAAAGATCTACATACAATGTTAGGTTATCATTTATGCAGGTGTATGAAAAGCCCATAATAAAAGTGATCATGATCATGAATAAAGATTTTGCAGTTTTAATAATCCTGGCTGTTAGTTTATGTCAAAGGCCAATATATAACTCATCAATTGAATGGAAGTGAACAAACTATTTTATAGAATTTAGAAACATTTTGGATAGACAGTATTCAATTATTCAAAGGCAATTATAGGGACTTCTCTGATGCTACTTGAGAATATGTCCCTCATGTATTAACTATGTGATGGCAAAATAATATATTGATTAAAAGACTACCCAATTATGTACAAATATATTTAAAGTTAAATAAATTGTGAAATACTACACAACACTACACAGCACAACACAACACTATACTACACCACACTAAAATGCACTGCACTATGTTACTCACCATCTTGACACTTGAATGTATACTGGCCATTCTGAAAATAAACAAAATATAACTTTAACATTTTATTTGTTAAATGGACTTCTGGTAGAGATGGGGGTATTTTGTTGTCTGTTGACAATGTTGATACCTTTTGCATGACAAATAAAATTCTTTGATTTTCAATGAATTATTGCATTTACCAATTTTTGTTTATCCCAGAGAATATATGGGGGTGGGGCATTGAAATTGTAACGCTTAAGTGGTAACATTGTTTGTTGTTTAATTGTACCATGATTCATGCTATGACAACAAAATTAAAATTGAAAAGCTGTGTATTAACTTACTATTAAGCATTCTTGATATTTACATAAAAGGAGAATAAAATACAAATGCGCTAATGTGTTTTGTCATTGTCAGGCCTGTCAACTTAGGAACACCTAACATGAGGGGGTAGGAACGAAAAATTTCAAATCATATGCAGGACATATACCCAATTTTCAAACCATTCGCGTGAAAAGTCTGAACGGAATGCGTTTTTCCAGCAAATGTGTGGCAATCAACCAAACAAGTCTCTAATCTAAACACCTCTAGATGTGAACAAATCTTTTGGTCTTATCTCTTCACCTATCAAAGACTCATGCAAAAAATTGAAATGTGAACACGTCACTTATCTAAACACTTTTGACAAGTTCCAATGGTGTTTGGATTAGACAGGTTTCACATCATTTTCAGATGCAAATATTGATTTCTGTCTAATCTAACTTCCTTGTCTGTCAAGGGCATTACCAGGGTCAAAATTAGGTGAGGCAAATATAAAAGCATTGAGGCAAAGAGACTAGATGCAGATATCATAATGTTTTGACTTCTTTTCCGTGTTTTCAGTTAAAAAAAAAAATATATATTTCTGTAAATGCTTGTGAGGCATATTGTCTGGTAGTTTAGAAAATACATCACCAAGAAAATGCATGTTGTAAAAAAATGTTGTAATATTATACATTAATCAATAAGAGGTACTAAAGGGAATGTTATAAAAACCCTTCGACCTTCGACCTGCACCTTCGACCTTCGCCTTCGACGTACAGGGTGTCCAAAAAGCGGGCCAAAAAAAAAGTTATAAAAACCCTTCGACCTGCACCAGTTTGACTTTTCTTATGAAAATTGTCAAAGTCCAAACATATTTCCAAGTCAAACTTCACATAGATTATGAAATTGAACGGAGCTCTGTCCTCGTCGAAAAACTTTATAGGCCTGGTGACGCCATCACTTTTCGGACAAGATTTCAAAGTTAAATAACAAGTTATTGACGCCATATCCCGTTTTAATATTGATCACACAACAAGACTATAATGAGAACTCAATAAATAGGACAGTAATTAATCGCTACTTCCTCTAATTTTACTTCGATTCAATCGAATCAAAACCAGAAAGTAAGTTCTAAAAAGGGAAACTTCCATTTAAACCACCCAATTGACTACCCGATCAACATCAACAGAATCTTAATTTGATAACATGAAAACGCTATTTCACCCCTGTAACTATACCTAGAGTACTGCAAACGTTGCAATTTAAGATCTTAATGATCTCACCTGTGAACCACAAATCAAGTGTAATAAATGTATAATAACGAGTACACAGCACTAAATCAAAAATTCAAAATTTTGGGGTTTGTAGAAAAAACCGGGTACCAGGTAGTAAATCCTCCATGCTGGTTTCAAACTTGGTACCCGGTACCCGGTTGAAAAAACTGGTTGAAAAAACCAGGTACCCCAAAAAACGAAAAATACGAATAAATAACATAATAATTAGATCATTAGAAAATGTGTAAGAGTTGTTTTGAATTTACAAAAATGTATATCAGCAAGGCGACTTGTTGGGAATGGATGTTCACAATACACAGCTGTCCAAAAGAGTAGATGCATGTGTTCACTGGCCACCGTCCACTATACACAGGTGTTCAATAGAGTAGACTTATGTGTTCACTGGGCACAGATCTTCACCAAAGAATTGTTCATTTTGACAACTGTGGATCCTGCCACCCCTGTAAAATAATGGACTCCCCCACTTGGTCTCTTAAAACCACTTGTAAAATATATAACACCATCACACAAAAACACTTCATCAAATTGAAACCAGGAAGTGCCTTCTAGCCACAATGTCATTTAACAGTGTGCCATGCTAATAAGTAGTCACATATCAAATATGAACAAAATCGCTCCACTACTTTTCAAGTTATAGCAAAAATTGTAAAATCGTGTGTAAAAGCCGCCATTTTTCAAGATGGCTGCCATGTGTTTCTTAAATATCTACATGTCTAGCTTAATTAATGTGCTATATAACTTTTTTACTTTTAAAACTCATTGCTATTACAGTTTTATATACTGTACCTAAATGACTGTAAAATCGTCACTAAAATGGCTGCCATTTTGAAACGAGCGGCCATTTTGAAAATCGGCTATTGAGCAGAACTTCTACTCCCATAGGGTATATGTGTCTATATGCATAAACTATGAAAAAAGCACTTGGTGAAAAATGTGTATACCCTCTGCATTTTCTTGGTGTTGTATTTTCTAAACTACCATATTGTCTCATATGTTAGTGAGGCATGTTGCCTCATCTGCTGGTGAGGCTATTGCCTCGCCTGCCTCATACCTATGCCTGGCTCTACCGAATCGATATCTGTATTTTAAATCTTCTGTTCATTGCTTTCACCTCAAACTCACCCAGTGAGAAATATGAATAAGATTCAACATGTACATCTTCTATATACCTTCATGATTATGTTAAGCAACATTCAATAAAGTCAAGTCACTCTTCTGATTGTAATGCTACATTTCATTACAGAATTAATCCCCTCACATTTTAACTATTTCCACCATCTAATAGGGGTTTCTTATTCTAAATCAAGGATCAGTTTTAATAGACTACTAATAGGCCATTCCAGAAGAAATCGAGTTAATACATAACTTACAAACCACTCCACCTAAAAAAACCTTGCAATGGTGTATTAATTGAGTATTGCCAGTTTTAATACATAATTCAAAAACCACTTGACTAAATCACTTTTCATGGTCTATTGGTTATCTATTGGTGATGTTTTAGTGGTATATTCAATTTCTTTTTATCAAGTCTACATGCAATGCCTATTTACTGAATTTGTATTGCTACTGTTATAAGCGTTGTCAAAGAATGAATAACTACATTTTTAACAAATGGATGTTACAAAATCGCAGGATGTTCCCTGAGTCACAATTGTAAGACATAGCCCATCAATTTATTTGACCAAAACTAAACTGTGGCAATGCTAACCACATAGTCTGGTTCAAAAAAGAGATGTATAATTTATATGTCTCTGGTTCAAACTACTGAATTATTATAGTTGTGCCAGAAAGATGAAATAAAAGAATATTACGATGTACCACCAGGCCATCCAACTGTCCCACAATGCGTATTTGTCACATATTTGCTGAAGTAGTTGAAGTTGCGCAAATACGTATTTTCCTGATTAGACCTACTGTTAAGCAAACATATTTCAGAAGAACATAAAAAATGAACACCGAAAAATGAATGCCGAATTTTCATGCGAATCGTGTATAATGACACAAATTTGCTTCAAATTTTCTTGTTCCCAGCAAGGACATCTATCTCGCCTGTACTACTCTTACGACATACTTCTGCACAAAATTTAAAATCGCTACTTTAGAATTTACAGCCAGTTACTAATATGATACGTTAACGACATTTCGTCCAGTTTTCGAAAATATCGCCATTTTTCTTGGAGCTGGTTGTTTTAATTTTAGACGAAATCATGCAATATCTCAAAAAGAGCCTAGCAAGACAGACATGACAGTTTTTACAGTGGGGGACAAAAATAAAACTCAACGTTCAAAAGTTGTCACAATGAGCTAAATTCCTAATTTCGTGTCTCAAACTCTCCCAAGCTGTAGAAAAATAATTCCCGTTCACTAAAGTAGCACAATAAATGAATCCAAAGCTTCATACCTGCTAATGATAGATAAATCCCTACCAAATCGAACGAATGTTTTCATGAATTTTCATGTTTGTTATCCAAGGACGATTGACTCCCAGAATGCAACATCAGTTAACCTTATTTACTCGTGACAGGTTTCAAAATGGCGGAACGGCATTTTGAAAGCTGGCACGTGTCATGTTGCATTCTGGGAGTCAATCCTCCGTTCCGTTGGAATCGGGTGACAGAATCACCTCAACATTTGAAGAGTCGGCATTAACATGTGAATATCCACTTCAACTTTTTAAGTTCTTATTTGTCATTATGGACACAAATTCCACTATATTTTGACTAACTATGAATGTGTTAGAATTTATTATGATGTGCGACAGCATGTAATTTTCATAGCTATAGTAATTCTTTGTGTTCCCCACTGTAGAATATTATTTAAATTCATTGAACCCCGACTAGAAATTTTACAATAGTTCACGGTGTTCCACATGGAATTACTTCTATATTAGCCAAGAATTGTCTAGAGGCTCGAGTAAGCCATAAAATTACAGTCTCTGTCTGAGACTGTGATAAGAGTTGTATTTGCAATTCAGATTCAGGCAAGTTCAGTACTCACCTGTACTTATTAGCATGCTCTTACAACCCGCCCCTACCCATAAAAGTGCAGTTTAGACTCATGTATATCATGTAATCTGGTGATATCGACGCCAATTTTCACTTTCTTTTTTTCATTTTTCACCGAAACACATTCCATAAAAATATGAATTTAATACCTCTATTTAAAACTATGAATGCGTTTATACGACTCTAACTTTGCAGTTAAATAAATTAAGTAATTATGTTGAAACAATACATATCAAATGCCCGAATAGATGTTACTTGGACGAAGTTGTTGTATAAATAGTTTAAATACTTTTATTTGAACTGTGTAAAACTATTACACAAGGCGAAATGCTTTTAGGTTCTGTATCTTTAGTTTCCCGGGAGTGAAATGTCAAATGATTAGTATCGATATGGAGAAATGAATTCAACAATGTTTTTCTCTTAACCAATCATTGAAAATATTCTGCAAAAACACGATATTTTATGTTATGTTGACTGATTGACTGCAATATAATGCGAAAATTATTTCGAAATATTTTATATAACAGTTTTTGTTAACATTTTTTTGTTTCTTTTTAGTGCAATTGTTTTTGCTCATTTTTACCAATTCTTAAGAATGAAATAAAATGTCTTTCCGAACCTTGTTGGAAGAAAACAGCATATACAACATCTTTTTAGACCTCTCAATATTATAGTTATACAAAGGAATTTTTGGTTGATTTTAAAAAAGGATTAAAAAATTAAAACAAAATCTCCCAAAAATAGAAAAAAATCAAGATGAACCTTTTATTTCATTAGCAAGATACTTTTTTAAAATCAACCAAAATTTCCTTTGTACAATTGATGTGTTTTCTAAAACAATATAGATGAAAGTATATGTATATTTTTCAAATTATATTGTTACCATTTAAATGACCATTAAATTGAATATGTGTTAAATTTTTAGATATTTTTTATGACTGGTTTTAAGAGAAACGTGTGTTCAAAAAGTTCTCCATATCGATACCACTCCTTTGTAAATTGCTATTTTCCATTTGATCCTAGAGATTAGCTTAGATCTTATTTACTGGCCTTTAAGACTCTCCTACTATACCCTATACGCCTGCCTATTCGACAGTAACTTTGCGTTCAAAGATTTTACGTGAGACCACCCAATGCGGAGAACGGGTCAATTTGACGCACAGTATTGTAATAGTAAGCTTACTACACTGGCGGATCTGGGAGGGCTGCCCCCCCCCCTTGGGTGGGCCAAGAAAAAAATTGGGCCCAGTAAAAACCTTATTTTTTAATTCCAGGCCAAATTTTGATGAAAATGGGCCTTAAAATTTGGGCCCACTTTTGGGTTTTAGGGGCCCAAAGGTTTTTTCTCTGACCAGAAATTTGCCCCCCCCCCCCTCTTTATTGGTTCCCAAGTCCGCCCCTGTACTGCGTCTCGGAAGTAAGGCTTCGTTCCCGTAGGACTTTTAAAATGCATCTTCCAAGTTACAGGAGCATTATGTCTCAGGAGAAAATGAAAGTGGACAGTAGACATGCAAGCCGGCAATTTCACATAAATATCCTTAAATGCGAATAATGCAGAAACAATTCCGTAGCCGATCAGTGTAACCACCCCACCCCTGCAAGTTATACCTATACGCACGTGCGAGAACAAGAGCTTTGGCCTTTATCAATGGTTAAAATACTGAACATTACTATACTCCCGACTATCCATAAAATTTTTAATATCAATTATACTTACTGTAATTTGCAATGTATGGCATAAAACAACACTAATTATAAGAATATAATAATCCATACTGCTTTTAATTGGTTTTAAGTTTGATTGCACGTTTTTGTATGAAACTTATTTGAGATCAACTTATTGTTTCCGCTATGTTATATCCTATTATCATTCTGCTCGCTTCATTGGCGTCTGCAAGTGTTAATGCTCTCCCGAGATGAGCAATTCTTGTACTCTTATTTCGTGAAAAGTCTAAAACGATGTATCATTGAGTTCTGGGTGTGTCACAAAATTGTCTGAGAAATCCAAAAAAGCAATCAATTGAATTTAAATCATCTTCCTCTAAGCACAATCAATCACGTATTCATTATACGTCCTTGCGGCTGATTATTATGTAATCCTAAATATTCTTATGATTTCGATATTTTTGTATTAATTACTCATGTATAAACGTGTTTATAAATTTGGGCTGTCCCTTTTTGTTGTCGCATACGCCCTTGTAGTGTATAACATCTAAAGTGTACAACCATCGTGAGCTATGGCCATTATTACACACTTCTTTTTTATAAGTACTTTGTCAATGAAGTTTGTACAGCGCTTGAATTTAACAAACCGAAAGTAAGTAACTCATGGCACTTTTTGATGGTTGGACACACCCGAAATCTTTTCGTACCGCTAATATTATTAATTTATTTAAACAACATTCCAAGGAAGTAAAAAAATTTAAAAATTGGATGAAATTCTTAGAAAATGATTATAATATGTTTGCCTGTTTTCAATAGGGGTGTAACTACTGTAACTTGTCTTTACCCAGCGACGTGATCAAAATCACCAGTTAGCAATGTATCTTTATTCAATTCAATGTATGTCATATTCTTTGCACGCAATTTGGAGTGTATGCCTTTTTAGATATTATATTGATAATATACAAAGACTAGCCATAGAATTCTTTCAGCATAACCTTTTTTATTCAATTAATAGCTTGTATCTCAGAGAAATTGTATGAGCTGGACCGCTATTGTGAAAGGAGGATATCTTTAAAGTATTTATAAAATCAAAATATGAACAAAGGTCGACAGACTCACATAATCCTAAATTATGAAATATTACATATACAGGGTGAGCCAAAGAAAGGTAACCCAAACTTTGTAGGAGGAAAGAACATAGAACAAGGTTTTATTGTGCCGATCAAACCCATGCTGAATGACTAGGTTAACACATTTTTGGGGTTACCTTTTTGCTCACCCTGTACATGTTTCGCCTTCGTAGTTTATAACTAGACTCTGCGCGCAGGGTAAGTAGCAAATACCCAATCCGGGAAAAAACAATAAACTGTTGTTTGGGTTGATTTGTGTGGATTGAGCATACATTTGTCTGTTATGGTGGCTATATATATCAATGGTACTTATTGACAATTCAAGATGCAGAAATGATAAATTGGTCTATTTCAAATATTTATTGTGCGCATACTATTGTTTGTATTGCAATTGAAGTCAGTCTTTTTGGATTATGAGGCATGTTCAACAGCTAAGGCTAAATGCATTAACCTTGTTATACCCATTTCAAGAAGAATCCGAATTCATCAACTCTTCAGATTCCATGTTAGGAGTTATTCGTATGGATGTAGCAAGCTTTCAGTCGGGTGGGGGGGGGGGTGCGGTGCGATCGCCAATTTTTGGGGGATGCGTTTTAATCACTTCCCTAATAACTGCAAGTAGTGCTGACATTTTCTGTTTGTAAGTAGCTGACTTTTATTTTATACGGTAGAACGCATGAATGAATGCCATCTTTTAAAAGGGTATGTGATTTAAAAGAACATACACGTAAACGAGACAATAATATAGTCCTACTTGATAAAGATGTCTCTGCATGTAATATAGTTAGACATGGTATCAGCGCCATCAAACTTGTAGAACACAGCAACAAACATATCAGCAACAAGTTGTCGTAAAAAGTAAAACATCAGCAACTTATCGCCATTAATCCTAAAAAGCAAGATAAAAACGCCGCAAATCGTTTACAACATCAGCAACGGCATCAAGCATAATCAACGCCTTAAATAATGCCTGAACAACGGTAAATACTGTTTAGGGTGTTTAGAGCACAATCAAAGACCAATCACCTAGTGAAAGTAGTGCAGTGGTAAACTTATGTGAAGTGTACAGTAGAAGACTACACATTTAGAAACATATAAAGACAGTTGGTTCAGGGGGTGTGGGGGTTGTCAAATTTTTGAATAATTTTTGCCCAAGGGATGGGTTCACTCAAAACCCCCTAGCTAAGGACTTTGGGAATCAATATACTTATTTATTCATTAATGGAAGATAATTACCCCACCTTTGGAGAGAGAATACACATTACTTACTATCTCAAAACATGTCCAATATAAGAAGTACAACTTCCAAGTGTTTTTGTTGTAAGGGGACTTTCCCCAAGAATACACCATTTGGAGACATTACGACTATTGTAATAAGTATTATCGGTAGGTCAATTACAGTACCCTGAAGCACCCCCAAGTTCAGCAATAAACATTCACTAGTCATTATCAAAAATACAAATTTTCAGAGAATGGCGGCCATTTTGAATGCAGCATTTCTTCTTAACCAGAGTCCTATGCCAATAGGGCATCAGCACATGAAATCTGAAAAATCTGCAGAGGTTACATCTTTTAAACAAGGCACGACGTGAACGAGATCACACCATCAAAAAACTTTCAAAATGGCTGCCCAGAAGTTAATCAGCTCTAGAACTTGATATCCTCTATCATGTGTGCAAATTTGGAGACAATCTAACAAGCGGTTTTCCTGAAATGGCAATGGCAAGTTTTATCGGAAAACCTTCAAAATAGCCGACAGAAAACAAGATGGCCGCCCAAAAGTTTATCAGCCTAGAACTTGATATCCTCTATCATGTGTGCAAATTTGGAAAAAATCCGATGAGTGGTTTACCTAAAATGGCGATGACAAGATTTTCCAAAAACCTTCAAAACAGCCACCAGAAAACAAGATGGCCACCCAAAAGTTAATCAGCTCTAGTACTTGATATCCTCTATCATCTGTGCGAATTTGAAGGAAATCTGATGAGCGGTTTTCCTAAATTGGCGATGACAAGATTTTTTCGAAAAAACTTCAAATGGCCACCAGAAAACAAGATGGCTGCCACAAAGTTAATCAGCTCTAGTACTTGATATCCTCTATCATGTGTGTAAATTTGAAGGAAATCCGATGAGCGGTTTTCCTGAAACGGTGATGACAAGATTTTTCAAAAAACCTTTAAAATGGCCACCAGAAAACAAGATGGCCGCCCAAAAGTTAATCAGCTCTAGTACTTGATATCCTCTATCATTTGTGTAAATTTGAAGGAAATCCGATGAGCGGTTTTCCTAAAACGGCGATGACAAGATTTTTCGAAAAACCTTCAAAATGGCCACCAGAAAACAAGATGGCCGCCCAAAAGTTAATCAGCTCTAGTACTTGATATCCTCTATCATGTGTGTAAATTTGAAGGAAATCCGATAAGCGGATTTTCTGAAATGGCGATGACAAGATTTTTCGAAAAATCTTCAAAATGGCTGCCAGAAAACAAGATGGCCACCCAAAAGTTAATCAGCTCTAGTACTTGATATCCTCTATCATTCGTGTAAATTTGAAGGAAATCCAATGAGCGGTTTTCCTGAAAGGGCGATGACAAGATTTTTCGAAAAACCTTCAAAATGGCCGCCAGAAAACAAGATGGCCACCCAAAAGTTAATCAGCTCTAGTAGACGAGTAGCAGCCGGCAATATTTGAAGAGATTAAACCTCCGAAAGGTTACTGGCTAATCTTGGTACCGTTGGAAAGCTTAACTTCTGCACTAACATGCTTGATGACTAAAAACATTCAGAACAGTTGGAAAAGTTCTTAAAAATGCTGGTTTCCATGGTAACTGCAAAGTTGTCACTATTAAGGCCCATGAATATACTTTTGAACATATCTAGATAACGCTTTGACCATATGTCTTGATAAAAGTATCACTGTAAAGATAATTTGACACAGTTTTTGAAAAATGTATTTTTTTGGATTATTGGACTCATTGTGATGTCATAGAACTAGAAACGGCTGATTTTTCGGTGATTTTGACAGAATTTAGACATGTATCATATGCTTCTGTAAGCTACAATACTTAAAGTAAACTATTTTTTGTCTTTAAGTGACTTAACACAACACATAGTATTAGTATATCGAAGAAACAATATCACTATGATTGTGATGTCATAATACAAAGAGATAGAGGCCTAATTCAAATATCAAATATCGAGATTTTTGACAAATCAAGATATATTTGAGGCATTTATACATTTTATACATTTTCAATGATAATTTAAAAAATCCTCAACAATATAATGTCATGTTAAATATATCGATGAAAAGGTTACTGGCTCATCATGGTACCGTTGGAAAGCTTAGCATCTGCACTAATATGTTTGACGACTAAAACAATTCAGAACAGGTGAGAAAATTCTTTAAAATGCTGGTTTCCATGGTAACTTCAATGTTGTCACCATTAAGGCCCATGAATATACTTTTGAACATATCTAGAGAACACTTTGACCATATGTCTTGATAAAAGTATCACTGTAAAGGTAATTTAACAAACCTTTTGAAAAATGTATTTTTTGGATTATTGGGCTCATTGTGATGTCATAGAACTAGAAACGGCTGATTTTTCGGTGATTTTGACAGAATTTAAACATGTATCATATGCTTCTGTAAGCTACAATACTTAAAGTAAACTATGTTTTGTATTTAAGTGACTTAACACAACACATAGTATTAATATATTGAACAATCAATATCACTATGATTGTGATGTCATAATGCAAAGAGATAGAGGCCTAGTTCAAATATCTAATATCGAGATTTTTGACAAATCAAGATATATTTGAGGCATTTATACATTTTATACATTTTCAATGATAATTTAAAAAATCCTCAACAATATATTGTCATGTTAAATATATCGATGAAAAGGTTACTAGCTAATCATGGTACCGTTGGAAAGCTTAGCATCTGTGTTAACATGCCTAATCCCTAAAATAAATCAAAACAGGTGAGAACATTTTTAAAAATGATGGTTTCCATGGTAACTGCAATGTTGTCACTATTAAAGTCCATAAATATATAATATTTGAAGATATCTAGGGAACGCTTTGACCATATATCATGTTTAAAGTTTCATTGTAAAGGTAATTTAACAAACTTGTTGAAAATATATATTTTCCGGGGTTTTGGGCTCATTGTGATGTCATATAAATAGAAACGCTTGATTTTTGGTGATTTTGACATAATTCACAGAAGTACATGTACATATCATGCGCTTTTGTAGCCGATAGTAGTTACAGGATAAACTATTTTGTGTAAATACATGATTTAGGACATGTTGTACAACACTTATATGTATTAGTATATCAGACAAGTAATATCATCGTACTTGTGATGTCATAATTCAAAACTTTTAGATAAAGGTATAATACAAATATATCGAGACTTTTGACATATTCAGAGAAATTTGGAGAAATCTAAAGATAATTTGAAAAGCTTCAACAATATGTCACGTTCGATACATCGTCGAAAGATATTTCCACAACCCCATCATAAACACTTATCTAAGTTTTTTTTAGTGATTTCTACCAAATGTTATAATATGTGTCAAGTGTTTATGGTACTTATATGTAAAATTATGATAAAAAGCTTCTAAAAACAACATGTATGTGTATCAGTATGTCAGGCAAGAAAAGTTTAGATATTTAATTGAGACTTTAGGGTGAGATTTACTTAAAGCGCTCGGTTCCATAGTAACCATTTAATATTTTCTATATATTCAGAGATAACAGCATAGTGCAGAGTGGGCATATCTCAGTTGTTCTTGTCCAATTGAGTTTATATATATAATAGGATTTATTTGTACTGATGCCCTTTTAGGGCCAAATATACAATTTACAACATACACCATTCAATTTTCATTAACAGTAAAACTAGCTATAAAATAAAGAAAATTGGATTACATTCTTCAAATGACATATTTGAAGACTATTAGTTTATGGTTCATTATTCATGCTACAATGTTGTTGATTGAATTAATATTGGTACCCTATGAAAGCAAAAAAATATTTCTGATGTTTTTATGGAAACAATATTCAAATAAGCTAATTTTCATATTAATAATGGCATCATGACCTGTAATTTTGAGATATTAACACCACTATCAAATGATCAAGCCGTGGCCTGACTTTTTTACATTTCCTAGGAACATATCAGATTTCAGTAAAAATGGCGACCCTACCCTACAGAAATGGCAGTAATTAGTGCTTTAACAGTCAATATTGGCTCATTTATAGCCCTTAGCGATTCCCTAGTATGAACGGGTTGTGCTTAAATAGCCAAAATTGATCTCTTAATAGCCCTTAGCAATTCCCTTATATGCTCGGGTTGTGCTTAAATATCCCAGATTGGTTTCTCAATAGCCCTTAGTGATTCCCTTGTATCCTCTAGATTGATTCTTAATAGCCCTTAGTGATTCCCTTGTATCCTCTAGATTGGCTCTTAATAGCCCCTAGTGATTCCCTAGTATGCTCAGGTTGTGCTTAAAATGTCCAATTGATTTCTTTATAGCCCTTAGTGTTTCCCTAGTATGCTCTGTTTGTGCTTAGAGGAATATTCCTTGCCAGACCCTTTCTCTCTTGATATAGTAGCTATAATCATATATATAGTTTCCATATTTAGCAAAACATGGGAAAATGTTTTAATATGGTCAATATTGATCATTTAAAAATCTAGTGCTTATTTCCAGTGAGCTGCCATCTTTTCAGATTTCTTGCAGGAAGTGATGTCATCAACTCTCAACTTCTATAACCTTGCCCATAACAGTATAGGAAAGTAGCACAAAATCACTTCTAGACAAGTGATCATTACTTTCTGTGTAAAAATATTTTCAGGGCTTGTCAACTTAGAATAAAAGAAGAGATTTTCAGAAGGATTAAATAAGATACAAAGTTGAAAAAGAATATTTAGCTGGTTTTGTAATTCTTAATAGCTCCTCACCTAATGCTATATGCAAAGATGAGAGTCGATGACATCACTTCCTGTGTGAAATTTAAAAAGATGTCAGTTTACTGGAATTGAGCATCACATTTCTAGGTGATCAAATTTGACCATATCAAAACATTTTTGCGTGTTTTGCTAAACATGGCAAGCATATATATGGTTATAGCTACCATATGAGGAGAGAGATGGTTTGGCAAGGAATATTCCTTTAAATAGCTCCAATTAGTTTTTTGATAGCCCTTAGTGATTCCCCTACATGCTCGGGTTGTGCTTAAATAGCCCCAATTAGTTTCTTAATAGCCCTTAGTGATTCCCTAGTATACTGGGGTTGTGCTGAAATAGCCCCAATCGGTCTCTTAATAGCCCCTAGTGATTCCCTTATATGCTCGAGTTGTGCTTGAATAGCCCCAATTAGTTTCTCAATAGCCCTTAGTGATTCCCTAGTATGTCCGGGTTGTGCGTAAATAGCCCCAATTAGTTTCTTAATAGCCCTTAGTGATTCCCTAGTATGGCCGGGTTGTGCGTAAATAGCCCCAGTTAGTTTCTTAATAGCCCTTAGTGATTCCCTAGTATGGCCGGGTTGTGCGTAAATAGCCCCAGTTAGTTTCTTAATAGCCCTTAGTGATTCCCTAGTATGGCCGGGTTGTGCGTAAATAGCCCCAGTTAGTTTCTTAATAGCCCTTAGTGATTCCCTCATGTGTCTATGTCTATGTCAATAATCTACAAAAGGCTAAGAAGCCCATATAAAGCAGATATATAATTTAACAGTGATAGAATTTGAATAGAATGGTCGGGTATTGCTTAAATAGCCCTAATTACTTTCTTGATAGCCCTTAGTGATTCCCTTATATGCTCGGGTAGTGCTTAAATAGCCCAAATTAGTTTCTTAATAGCCCTAATTGATTCCCTAGTATGCTCGGGTTGTGCTTAAACAACCCCAATTAGTTTCTTAATAGCCCTTAGTGATTCCCTAGTATGCTTGGGTTGTGCTTTTTTTTAAGGTTAAGTTTTATTTATTTGCAATAAGATTATACACTTGTTAACATACTAGGAAGGCCTAGGTAAAACAATAATGATTAATATAAACTGTTACTATGGAAACGACATGTGTTTGATTTAGGCCTCTATCTTTTTGCAAAATCACAATGATATTGTTTGCCTGATATATTAATACATGTAAGTTTTGTGTTCAGTCACGTATAAACACAAAATAGTTTATCTTCAATACTATTAGGCAACAAAAGCACATGATATTTGTTTGTATTTTGTAAAATCACCAAAAATCGTGCGTTTCTATTTCTATGACATCACAATGAGCCCGAAACCTTGAGAAATGTGTATTTTTATCAAGTTTGTTAAATTAGCTTTACAATGATAGTTTTAATATGATATATGGTCAAACCGTTCCCTAGATATCTTCAAAAGTATATTCCTGGACTTAATATTGACATCATTGCAGTTACCATGGAAACTATCATTTTTAAATGTGTTCTCACCTGTTTTGATTGATTTTAGGGATTAGGCATGTCAACACAGATGCTAAGCTTTCCAACAGTACCATGATTAGACAGTAACCTTTTTATAGGTATATTAAAAATGACATTTTAATGTTGAGGATTTTTAAGTTATCATTGAAAATGTATAAAATATAATACATGTACGAGTATAAATGTCTCAAATATATCTTGATTTGTCAATAATCTCGATATTAGATATTTGAATTAGGCCTCTATCTCTTTGCATTATGACATCACAATCATAATGATATTGTTTGCCCGATAATATACATATAAGTGTTGTGTTAAGTCACTTTTAAACACAAAATAGTTTTATTAGATAATGTAGCTTACATTAGCATACGACACGTGTCTAAATTCTGTCAAAATCACCGAAAAATCAAGCGTTTTTAGTTCTATGACATCATAATAGGCCCGAAAATCCTAAAAATATGTTTTTTCAAAAGGTTTTTTAAATTACCTTTACAGTGGTACTTTTATCATGATGTATGGTCAAAGCGTTCTCTAAGTATGTTCAAAAGTATATAATTTGTCCTTAATACTGACAACATTGCAGTTACCATGGAAACCAGCATTTTTAAGAACTTTTCCACCTGTTCTGAATTTTTATAGTCTTCAAACATGTTAGTGCAGGTGTTTAGCTTTCCAACGGTACCAAGATTAGCCGGTAACCTTTTGGAGGTTTAAACTTCTTTATTTGAAGACTTTATGAGATCTGGCTACTCATCTATAGTACTTTATATGCTCTATCATCTCTGCGAATTTGGAGAAAATCTGATGAGCGGTTTTCCTTAAACGGCGATGACAAAAAGCGGGACGATCACGATCACGACCACGATCACGACCACTATGACGACTATATCCCACCGATGGTGTGATAAAAATGGCGTCATGTTTGATGAATTGGGTGGCCATTTCGGAAATTCCTACTTGAGCAGAGTTCCCTTACCCGACTTATGACATTAGCCTATATAATTTTAACCAAATCCTATACTGTTACTGGTATTGCTAAATATTTCATTTAAAAAAAATGTTTATATGTATTTTTTAGAAAACGCATCCGATACTGTATTTTGTTTAAGTTATTATATGTTTGGAATGAAATGAAAAATATGAGATCCAACACTCGTTGGAACAAAATGTACTGATGCTTCCCGAAATACTGTAGTCATAAAAGGAAAGTTAGGTTGGAAGAAGAAGTACTAGTATCTTAAAAATAAAATAAAATATGTGTATTTTAAGTTTATCTATTTTGGGGCCTATAATTTACATGTATGTTTTTTTATAGTTACTTTTTCTAAATCAACATTTTGTTCCCAAAATGTTTATCAAAAAAGTCCTACATCATGTACATAAATAGCACTCGAGATGCCTGATTAAACAAGCGTTTCAAAATGGAATGACGAAATGTAAATCACTGCACTTGATCTTCTTGTTCACAGGATCGTATTTCCATTTCGATCGTCAATAGTAATATTCGTCGCAACTGTCTCAACAGAATCAAACCTCTTTGTGCTAACACTGATATTGTCAATAGCAATATCACTCTGATTGGCATCTGATCTACAGCACGTGTATCCCTTGAAAGTAGGTGAAAACGGGAGGTACTGGAAGAATCTATGTTTCTTGATGAAGTCCATCCCGAATGGCATATCATACATGACTAACAGATCACTGACAGTAGGGTCATCATCACTTGTTTGCTGTTTCCATTGACTGATCCCCCTCTCTTTGTCTGTACCTGGAACAGAGACATATAAAAGTACAATCAGATATTTACATGCTGTCTGCCCACTCAGCAGAATTAGATATTTACATACTGGCTGTTAACCCAGCACAATTTATATGTCTCTGCCTGGAAATAGGAAAATGAAAACTTGGAAATGCTAGCATGTACATCACTAAATCAGTGGGGTAAAGAACATCAATGTTTGACTGTGTGTGTGTGGTTTGTGAACAGCCAGCATGTAAATAATTGATTGAGCTAGGTTGGATAGCCAGCATGTAAATATATCAAGTATTGTGCTAGGTGGACACTCAGCATGTAAATATCTAATTGAGCCAGGTTGGACAGCCAGCATGTAAATATCTGATTGTGCTGGGTGAACAGCCAGCATGTAAATATCTGATTGCGCTGGGTGAACAGCCGGCATATAAATATCTGATTGTGCTGGGTGGACAGCCGGCATGTAAATATCTAGTTGTGCTGGGTTAACAGCCAGCATGTACATATCTGATTGTGCTGGGTTAACAGCCAGCATGTTAATATCTGATTGTGCTGTGTTAACAGCCAGCATGTAAATATCTGATTGTGCTGGGTTGACAGCCAGCATGTAAATATCTAGTTATGTTGGGTGGACAGCCAGCGTGTAAATTTCTGATTATGCTAGTTGGACATCCAGCTTGTAAATATCTAAAGTGATGATTGTGCTGGGTACACAACTAGCATGTAAATATCTGATTGTGCTGGGTGGACAGCTTGCATAAATGAACAAACCTGGAATTGAGTTATCCAGCACGAATCCTACAAGACCCCCTACAAACATACTAGTCCTAAACAGCACTGTGAATATGTTGTCTGCTACTTCTGAACCTAAAATAAACAATATGATGCAGTTCCAATCAATAATTTGTATTGAGTATTTCATTGATTTCTTGCTTATTTATTTTTATTCCATGTACAGTGTACTTCAGTTTTAAAACATCAATCGCAACAATAACATTCGGTATATTCCATATCTGTTGCTATACCAACCATAACACTGACCATATATCTACATGTTGTTATGACAATCAAAATATTAAGTATGCAATGATCATCATAAGACTTGGCATATTCAATACATTTTACAACAGGTATGACAGCCAATAACACTCAGTATATTCTTATATGTTGCCTTGACAACCATGGCATTTATTTTGTTCTGTACCTGTTGCTATAGCACCAGGATTCTGTTTCAGCCACTGTGGTATTGTAAACCCTGTAAAGAGGGCACAGCCAATGATAAACAGATTTCTTGGCGAGTTCATATCTACAAACTGGAGGTTGGACAGCCCTACTGCAGTGACAAAGCCTATAACATAAACATCTTGTGATTAATGATTACAGTGATATGAAAGAAAAAAACGCACCATAAATTTTAACTTGTAAAATCAGTACATAAAGGAAAACAAGGTATTAACATGCAAAATGTCACTATCTGCTATTTGTTACAGATGCGCGCCCACTGTCGAACGCTGAATGCCGAACACCATCCACAAATTTCACCGCTTCGGGTGGGCTTCTCATATTGGTACAGAAAATATAAACCTTCTGAAGCACGATTTCCAGTTAAACTTTTTGAACTTACCAAACACAACAAAGAACACTCCTCCAATGATTGGATCAGGAATTGTGACAAACAGCGCTCCGAACTTCCCAAGTATAGCTAAAATCAGCATACATAATGCTCCCCATTGAGCAACCCTACGGCTACCGACCTGCAATGTGAAATTACAATTTGTTTATACTCTTAGGTTTTTGGCAGATAAAATGATGGAAGTTTATATTAAATTCTCATATATTCCTCTTTATAATCCCTCATCCTCCAAATCTATACCAACATAGGTTTTGGACCGATATAAAGATGGCAGCAGCAGTAGAATCTCTCAAACCAAATGATTGGCCTGCCCTCTTTATTTAAAAATAATTTATATCGCTGCTTCGACTATGAATACTAAGAGCTCTGATGAATACTAATAATATAAAAAGTTGCTAGATGGAGCCATGGGCTTTCTTTATCAAAGGAAGTGCTGTAAAATTAGTTCCTTATCTAAATATTTTTGTTTTTTACCATTTGGCACTTTTGGCCAACATACAATATCTACAATTTTGTACAATGTTCATCATACCTTTGTAATTCCAATGGCCCCAATGTTCTCCCCATACGATGTTGTGCCGTTTCCAGAGCCCCAGGCCCCTGCAAGAAGGGTTGCTACACCCTCCATACCTATTCCTATAATAAAAAAGTAATGCGTTTTACATCTCTAATTTTCTACACCCTCCATACCTATTCCTTTAATAGAAATAATTCTAATTTAACATGTCAGGCCCGTAGCCAGGATTTTCCAAGTGGGGTGGGTTCAGTTTTCAAAAATTTCCAGGGGGGGTTCACATTTGACAATTTTGGCCAAAATATGGTGAAAATCACTTGAGAAGTGCTCAAATTGGTGAAAAACTGCATGATTTTGAAAGAATTTTTGACCGGGGGGGGGGGGGTCGCCCGAACCCTGCGACCCCCCGCGCTGGCTACGGGCCTGTATGTAATCCCTAATTGTGAAACACAGCACCAGGTAGTACAATGTCATATCTATTCGATGTTGGCCATGGCATAGGGTATATTACAAATATAAATTGCTTAGTACTGTAACAATTCAAGTACTGGGACAATTAAAATAATACAAGGTCAAATAGAATAGCACTGGTACAACTAGAATAGCAAAAGGGTAATTAATTCGATAGCACTAGCACAATTAGAATAGTACTAGGACAATTAGAATGGTACAAGGACAAATAGAATAGCACTGGTACAATTAGAATAGCAAAAGGGTAATTAAATGGATAGCACTAGCACAATTAGAATAGTACTAGGACAATTAGAATAGTACTAGGACAATTAGAATAGTCCTAGGACAATTAGAATAGTACTAGGACAACTAATTAGATAGTACTAGAATGATTAGAACAAGACTGGTACAATAAGAATAGCACTAAGACAATCAATTAGATAGTACTAGCACAGTTAGAATAGTATTAGGACAATTCGAACAGAACTAAGACAATTAGAATAGTGTTTGGACAATTAAAATAGTAGGAGGACAATAAGAATAGTAATGGAACAATCAATGTCATTATAAAATATAAGGGTATACCAGATTCTCACCTCTATTAATAGCACTTGTAGGTGGGGGTGGTGCACCTGCTAATCTGGCACATGTATAGTAATCACCAACAGACTCTATCATTGAAGCTATCACCCCTGCAATCATACCTAGCACCCCTGAGATATTCACCGTTGGCACGCCCCACTGACCTGTAATGAATGGTACAATATCCGAGCCTTTCGTCCAGTGCAATCCGTACCCCATGTGCCTTTTGTAGTGAATACTGGATGAGCATAATGTAAAAGTGGTTTTGAAAAGTAGCAAATTTCTCTTTATGTAGGTTTTTTGTGGTTTATTATTCTACATTGATTCTGAAACTATTGGTGTCTAGTTTTTCAGCGTTTTGGAAATATGCAGATTTATACCCCCCTGGTGTTATTTTAAGGGGGGTCCTAGGAAAGCCATGTATAATTCCTAGAGTATCCAACCAATCATCTTGAAATTTACAGGTAATCATCTTCTTATCATGTCCTATCATTGTGAGCAGTTTCATCAATATTGGTTAGCTGGTTGCTATGGTAACAGAAATCACTTGTTAAAAAAGTACACATTTTCGTAAGAATTTAAGACCTACCCTGAGACAAAGCACATAATATTTTCCTGGAATTGGGAGGAATTAGCATGAAAACATATTAGAAAACTTATTTAGAGTATGGTTGATAATACTAAATCAATTGATGTTTTATTTTAGCCATACAATTAATTATATTTGCCGATGATAATATGGCTATGCAAAAATGTGTAAAAGGGGGCGTGGCACTTTTCCCAAGAAAACTTTATTTGTACCCAAGTTTGTGAATAAATATATGACTATTCATTCTGATATTAGCAGATATTAGTATAGTTATGATGTTTAACCATCATGGGAAGTTTCGCTATTGTTGGTCTGCTTGTTGTTATGGTAACAGAAATCATTTGTTAAAACAGTTGACCATTAAAGGGGTATGGGGTATATTATCTAATTAAGGATATAAACTTTGTCTTCAAATATACATTCATGGCTTTGTGAGGTCATCAATGTAATTTTATTTATGTGTGCTTAATTTGCATCTTGGAATGAAGTTTTGAGGAAAACGCATTTTAACAAAATCAAATAAATTATTGTTTATATTTAATAAATTCATTAATCTCATTCTGGATGATACTAATTTATCACTCACTCACATGCTTACCTATATATTTGTTTCTTTTTAAATCAACCTGACATCTTTATGAAATATACATGTTTGAGTGATTCCCGTCATGCTTAATATCCAGATAGAAAATAATGTTATTCATAAAAATAGTTAATAATTCCTATTTGATATAACAATAATACCAAATTTAGAGCATTAATTAAATGTTGCAATTAGAATTTAGACTTCATTAATGTGATGGCAAATTAAATCTGCATTCCTAGGAATAAGTTGTATATGCAATGATAAATCAGTTGTTGATATGAGCTTTTGTTGTCAATGTTATGCTTCAATTACCACAGTTCATGCCTTTTTGATTAGCTGTGCAGACCTGATGAAATAGATATACGTTGTGCGGTTAAGCTGTGCTACATCTAGATAGAGGTGAGTGATTGTGGACAGGTGAGTGATTTAAGACAGGTGAGTGATTTTGGACAGTGGTTCCAAACAGTGCGGTGCGGTTGCCTAACTGATTATGGGGCAGTTGCGAGTGATTTTGGACAGTGGTTCCAGACATTGCGGTGCGGTTGTGTAACTGTGTAGATGCAGAGGCATTCTTTATTTTCTTTATTTTATAATTTTAGGGTGAAGTCAAGGTAGGTGATCTAATACACATTGTTTATGTGTGCTGCATACAGATAAAGTTTAGTGACTCTGTGTTGATAGATTGAGTGATTTTGGACAGTGGTTCCAGATAGTGTGCTGCGGTTGCAGTTGTGCTATATACACAGTTATTCCTTATTTTTTACTTTTACGTTTCAGTTAAGGTAGGTGATTTAATACACCATCGTTTAGTTTCCATTATTGCATCGTGGAGTGTTGCCCTTCCAATATATATACTTTTTTCCATATATCATGCAACTGAGTAGAACCCTGTAAATCAATGTATTAGTGTTGTTACTTATATATCATGTCCGAGAGAAGTTTGAGGAAAAGATCCTCTGCTCTAGCAATTGGTGAAGAATGTCATAGTAAGAAATTACGCCAAAGCAACCTTTTTGAACAAAACAAGTGCCTCTTTTGTGAAAAAGATCTGAAATATCTCAAAGGAAACACAAAAGAATCATTAACAAAATGCCAAACAGACAACGCTTCAACATCAATAATAAATGCAGTGAAAGCCCAAGAAGACTGGACTTTACATGCAAAAATAGGAGGACGCTGTTTGATATCAGCAGAAGCTTGGTACCATAATACCTGTAGAAGAAATTACGATAAATGAAGAGGAAAAGGTTTTAATAACATCATTTGACTTCATATGTAAGCATATAGATGAACATGTCCTTCAAACCGATGGAGTTGAAACACCTGAACATGTCCATGAGCTGTATCAGGCACATATGAAGGAAAACAATCTGAGTGACTATAACCCCAAATATAAACAGCTCTTCCTGAAGAACAAACTTTCTGTTCGCTATAAAGATGACCTTTGTTGCAATCTACTCTTAATTGCCTTTCATTTGAGTATAATAAAGCTATACTTCATAAAGATCTAAAAATTAGCGAAAATTTCTGTTTTCCTGAAAAACACAGAATATATGTGAAATAGATAGATGTTGCGAATATAAATATATAAATTATATATAATAATATAAATTTCAAACAATAATATTAATTACTTTGGTTTAGAATGAAAAATTTATGATTTTTGCGAAAAAGTCCCGTCATTTTAAAAAAAAAAATTTGCGTAAAACTATTCATCAATATACATCTTTCCACCAAATATGAAAAAAATCTGTCAACTAATATTTGAGTTATCTTCCGGACGGACGGACGGACTGACTGACTGACTGACAGATGGACGGACGGACGGACGGAGGGCTTAACTATATCCCTACCGAACTTCGTTCGTTGGGATAATAATGTAGATATCAAGGAAAACTGACATTATTTTTTCACTTTGAACACAAATAAAGAATTCTTAGGAAATTGTGCCATGGCCCCTTTCTAATTTTTTTGCAAAGCCAGTTTACCATCAGCAAGTAGAATTCTTTGTATGGCTAAGATAAAGCATCAATTGATTTAATTTTATGAAACATACTCTAAATAAATTTTCTAAAATGTTCTCATCCTGACTGTCATAAAAATATTATGTGTTTTGTGTCAAGATATGTCTTAGATTTTTAAGAAAATACAATCTTTTTTAACAAATGATTTCTGTTACCATAACAACCAGCAGACCAACAATAGTGAAACTTCCCATGATGGTTAAACATCATAACTATACTAATATCTGTTGATATCAGAATGAATAGTCATATATTTATTCACAAACTTGGGTACAAATAAAGTTTTCTTGGGAAAAGTGCCACGCCCCCTTTTACACATTTTTTGCATAGCCATATTATCATCGGCAAATATAATTAATTGTATGGCTAAAATAAAACATCAATTGATTTAGTATTATCAACCATACTCTAAATAAGTTTTCTAATATGTTTTCATGCTAATTCCTCCCAATTCCAGGAAAATATTATGTGCTTTGTCTCAGGGTAGGTCTTAAATTTTTACGAAAATGTGTACTTTTTTAACAAGTGATTTCTGTTACCATAGCAACCAGTTAACCAATATTGATGAAACTGCTCACAATGATAGGACATGATAAGAAGATGGTTACCTGTAAATTTCAAGATGATTAGTTGGATACTCTAGGAATTATACATGGCTTTCCTAGGACCCCTCTTAAAATAACATCAGGGGGGTATAAATCTGCATATTTCCAAAACGCTGAAAAACTAGACACCAATAGTTTCAGAATCAATGTAGAATAATAAACCACAAAAAACCTACATAAAGAGAAATTTGCTACTTTTCAAAACCACTTTTACATTATGCTCATCCAGTAGAAGGTACGCAACGAACGAAATGAATTTTGAGAATGTGAATGGTAGAGCATCTTGAATGGGGGGGGCGGTTTTGAAGGGAAAATTGTGTTGAATATCCATACATACATCACATTAATGATTCTAAAATATCATACGAGTGACCTCAGAAGTATTGTATAAGATTATAAAATATGAGTCGATCGCCCATTAAGATGGGTTTATGTAGAACACCGACCGCCGACCACCGACCACCGACCAGTCACTCTCCACAGTTGGGTACATGTGGTCAGTAGTCGGCTGACGGTCTTTTACATAAAGATGAAAAAATGCAAAATTAGAAGTAAAACTAAAACTAGGAATCCAATGACTATAGTACCTTTACTAGGTCGTGATTTAAAAACGTATAATTAATCATTTCAAATCACGATGAAAACGTTACATCGTCGTGGTGTGTAATGTGATATTTTTAAGTGATGTTTCAGTTGTTAGAAGACCAATTTTATCCTGGTTAGTCACTTTGGAAAAAACGCACGTAACATTGCATTAAGTTCATTCATATGAAACGCAATAACAAAAACACACAAACATCGTCGATGTTGACGTCGTAACGTTATGTTTGATTTCTCATTTGTTAAACGTCAACTGGTAAAAACTACATTTGATATGACAAAAAAAGCTTTCTAATGGTGTACTGAAATGGTAAGTCACTTTTAATCCCGATATAAGAGAACGCATGTAATATCGTGTTCAGTATTCAGTAGGCAATGACGATAACAAATTTGTTTCGAAATTGTTAAATTTCAGTAAAAAATTAGGATAGATTCCCATAGAAACGATAGGTTGGTTAATGATAGGTTAGGACCTAAGGCAGGACAATTAATCGAGAGGAGAAGGTTGCAAGGTACAAAATCGGTAAAAACCGTTGCCTAGTCCCAACGATTGACATTCAAAATCAAATTAATAAATATTTTAAGGCTACAAATATGTTCGGTCTTTTACACATTTTCTTCAAACCCTGATTTGAGGCTACCAGTGGAAAACACCGACCGGTCGGTGGTCGGTGGGGTCGGTCTTTTGCGTAAACCCCATTAAGATTCTGCACAGATGTAGTCCAAGAGAAACATTTTGGATCCACCTTGGAATCCGAGGAACATTACCTGGGTAAGGGAATCTAAACCATTGGGCATCATTTAGGACCTGTAATCGTATATCTGTGCGTGCCTCATATCCCCATTGGTTGGGTTTGTCGGGGAGAGCACCAGAAGCTGTCAGCACGGCACAAATTATCCAACAGATTATGATAGCCAGTACAATCTAAAGAGGAAACAAGATACATCTATATAAGAGTGAGTGGGGACTGCATACAGTGAAACCTGTGATAAGTGGAAAACCTCTAGAAGTGGAACACTTTTCAGAGTCCCAAGACCAACTGACTTAATGTTAAATGAACGTCTATAAGTGGAGCACCTCCAAAGTGGAACACTTTTAGAGGTGCCAAAAGTGTTCCAATTAAACAGGTTTTATTGTACTGTATATCCCAGTGTAAAAGAGAATATTGTATCTTAGCGAATATTTACTTTCACACGTGAGTGCTCTTTTAGGAACCAACTGATTGAAGAGAATATTTAGCAAGAAACAAGTTAGATACAGTCTATTGTTTGTAATGTAACGACTTTAACTAAGATTTCAGTTTCGTACAACATTGATCATTCATTGAGAAATAAATTAGGTAATAGTTTCTTTCACACTATTAAAGGTGCAACAACTAGTGCAATGATCATGGGCCAGTGTCCAAATATATTTAAGTTTGGATATTTCATAAAGACTTACATCTATTTTTATTATCTACAAAGAAACCCCCTAGATAAACATTATGTCAGCTGATATTCCTCTTGAAACATGCTGGATCTTAAAAATACAAAAGTGGATTTCCCCTTTTTGAAGCTTTGAACTGAATGTACATTTCTTATTGCTGAAATTGATATGTCATAGAAGATTTTAAGCCAAATGTTGCCTTGATAGTAAGAGATCAGAAAAAGTTAAAATTCTCCTATTTTCTCTCCACATGCCTTGTTGCCCCTTTAATTAACTTACAGGGAAAAGTTCGAAGAAGCTGAGAAACAGCTTACATTTCGTCTGCCCAGTGCTAGAGGATGGTACATACTTTTGAGCATATCTTGGAATGTATTGCGAAAATATTGCGATCAAAGCCATAGTTCTGAAAGAAAGGTTTAAAGACATATAAAAAGGGTAAAGACATGATAATGTTTTAACATGATCATGCTATTTAACTACTTAAGGTGATTCCGCATCCCGTTCCGCTGATGTTAAGATGTTTTGCAGAATTGTCAACCCTCAATTAATAGTACAAACTGGTACATTCATGGGCTTTCTGTTGAAAACCCATGGTACACTAAAGTACATTTTGTGCAAAGATGTAGACCATGTGTGAAAGCACAGAGTCGTGAAATTTCAAACATATGGAAATACTTGTCCACGTACGTGATCGCAATCCACCACTGTTTAGCAGCAAAACCATATCCTGATTCAAACAGGGATATGCCTATAAGAGCAATAGTTGGTGCAATGGTGAGAGGGCCTATGAACTGTAACATAAGGCCTATAATACCACTGAATCCTACGAAAATCTGTAGTAATGACGCAAGCATAATACTGCCTTGAAGCTGAAAAGAATGCTGACATTTTACAATATTTAATTGTGTTTAATAATTGTATTAAATATAAAAATAAGCAAAATATTTCCAAAGTAAAAGATTTTACATGATTTCAAATAGGAAATGCTAGATACTGTCGCTTTGCTTAAGACGCCTGTTTAAATTTGGCGAATTTGGCGACTTGCAAAGACTGGCCAATTCATGTCTCTCCGAATTTTTCAGAAATATCCCCGATAAGGATTTCGTCCATGCATCTACATGTGCATTCAGTAATTTTGCTCCATGTTTTTATTTTGAACAATTTTAATTTCAAAGTTGTTCTTCATTAGATCGTGTCAATTGTAACGTGGCTCAGGAGATGTGAACTCTGTCTAGTCAACACAATGAGTATTCCAATAAGAAGGATAAAATAGGACATATAGTTAATTCGCAAAATCAAAATCGATGGGATATAAGTCTCAATAATCACGTTACAAATCTATTTAGACTATAACTAAGGCACTCCCACGTTACAATAACTTCTCTTCTTGTTTAACATACCACTCTAAGCCTAGCCATAAAATCTTCTCTATTATCATGGCCAGTGGTTGTAAGGTTGATTCCTGTTGTCACCATTTCCTCAGTATTTGCTGTTATATTTCCTGTTGAACCTGAAAAGCTGATATACATATCTATTTTGTCTATTCAATTGTTGGTTTCTGAATAATGTTGAACTTTCAGAGTGGGATAATGTCTAAAGCACCCATTCAATATCTGGGGCCACAATGTAATTCAAATTAGGCAGGTTAGTCGAAAAGTAACAAATAGACCCATTATAGTGTAAAATGTTTGAAGCAATTTAAAAGTATGCAAAATTCCCCTCGTACAATCATTATTCTATTGAAGACGTATGGATGATGCAGATTAGCTACAGGTGTCATTAAAAGAAAAGAAGACCTTTTCGAAATCATAGCCAGTAACCTTAACAACAAAAAATAATAGTGAAATTAAGTCACACAGGGTGTTGTGACTACAGTCGTAATTCATGAAAACAAAAGTACACCCAAATCATAGCAGTGACACTTACATCAAAGGATTAAAATGAAATAAAGTGACATGGAGTGTTGTCATCATAAATAATGTGACATAATTAAATCAGATAGAGTGTTCTGATAAATCTAAACTGCTCTCTGAAGTACCATAAAAAATTCAACGAAGGAACTTTGTAGAACTTAGAAGGAAGTGAACCGCACAAATAAGCATTAACTATGTTTACAGGGTGGTCCAAAAAGATTGGACTTTACTTTTTCTCTAAAATACACCACAATTTTACTGAGCATAGTTCATTCACTTATTTATCTGCTGTAAAGTTTATATGTTCAAACCACAAAGTTAATGCATTGAACTATTCGATGTTTGATGGGACACCCTTTTCTTAAATATACGCTTGACAATTTTGCATGTATAAACTCGACAGCCAATGTATATTAGAAAGAACTATGGACACTGTAATATTTTGTGTATAAATAATACAGTGTGTATAGTTCTTTGTAATATACAGGGTGGTTCAAAAAATTGGAACATTACATAAAGTATGTAGACAATTTATTTCACATTTATGTAATCTTTCAATTTTATGGATCACCCTGTATATTACATGCAGTGGGGCTAATCAAAAAATGCAATATGTCAGATCGCTATCGAGCCGTGATACCCTGTAATACCTGTAAATATTGTTATTTTAATGGAGAGTTTGTTTGCAAAGTTAAGAAATTCACAAGGTGAACCACCATTCTACACAAAAGATCACGAATCACAGTTTCGGATCATAATTTTACAGTCTTCCCATCATCATCCTCTGATCACAGGGCTTCAAAATCCAGAATGTATTCTTTCTTTTTACCCCCTGCGATAAGCAGTTAGCATTTCCCCGATTAAGAACTCACAATCTGATTGGCTGTCGCAACACTGCGACAGAAATCATGTATAAGTCATTGTGCATAATTAGATCACGTGATTCAATGGCCCATCATATAAAATATAAACTTACTAGGTGGACTAAGCGGACACCTATATTCGTCCAGGCTGAGGATGGCAATAGCAGGTGCCAGGAATGTATACGTCCCACCCTGGATGATAGGTAATCTAAACGTGCAACAACAACAGGAGTAAAACAATTACATCAAATTGAAAATTACTGAATACTATGAAGACTAGATACCAGCAACACCAGCTGTAGGAATACTGCTTTAATGATCTTGGCAACAGCCACAATACTTTGTTTTTATAATGCTTGAAATAATACTGTTTTTAAGTTGTAATTCTGCCTAATAATAATTTAGTTTGCCTATTGCCTAAATTTTGCCAGGCTCGGAAAATTAAATGTTGGAAATATTATCTTTATATTGTTATTACTTATGAGAAGTTTCGTGTCATTAGGAAAAAAAATTAGGAAAATTATAGAATTTGACTATTCGGCAAATTAACCACTCGGATTAAATACCACTTATATACGGTAATAAACATTTAATAAAAAACTTTTATACATATGTATACCTGACTCCAAATGTAGTCTGAAGGAGAGTAGCTATCCCAGAGCAGAAGAAAATGGTTGAAATGAGTTCACTCAGGGCAACATAGTCATCAGTGATACACAGGTGCTCTGCCAGGAGGAATGGAAGGGCTAGGGTGGCACCAAACATGATCAGGTACGTCTAAAAATAACATTAATTAGATATTATGTCTTTTCCACTACAAATATAGCTTTAAACTCACGCTGGATGACTGAGTTATTTAACATTTGTTTGGGTTAACTTTTCTGGCTCACCCTGTATTACAGTGACATGATTGTAAAATCTTTTTCATGTATTGCATTTTAATGAATCATCCGATTTGATTCTTCAAATAAGAGTGCAAGGAATGACCAGATCTCAATCCCAATCGTTCATCAGGTTATCACATTCACTGTCACCAGTGTAGCAGTCATCATTAGTTTGCGCATGTTCCCTTTCTAAAATGTGGTATCATACACTGTTGAGAAACCACTATATGAAATAGAGAATATTGCTTTGTTATAAGCAGTGTCTATTTGTAAGAATCTCTAGTGCAGTAATCAGCAAAAATACTCAGCACATATAAACAGAGACAGTACAGAGACAATACTCGCTGCATATATGGAACACTCTGTATATTCAAGTATTGCTCCTCTTTATTTGTAGAACAGCACAAATAAGCACTGATTATACGTGGAGTTAAGAATACTCAAATATATGCAAACGCAATACTCTGTAAGTGTGCAATATAGTCACACATTATAATTGCCTCTTTCTGACTATATTAAGCTATTTCTAAGTTGCTCTGCTCATTTTATAACTGAGCTTACAAATAAATAACGGACTATTTGTGCGTATTTTTCTATTAAGCGTGATAAAACAATACAACTAAAGAATGTAAGTACCGTAGTTCTTTATGAATATGACTTTACCTGTGTACAATAAGCGACTACAGGATGGATTTCGAAATAATCTATTTTTACTGATTTTTCGACACCTTTTAAGTCACATCGGAAAAGAGAGATCTTCCTTGTAGTTATCAATAAGTTGCTAATAAAGAATACTTGTGCAAACCCATGTTTTTAATTGAGATCGCCCCCCCCCCCCGACGGAAAACTGGCTACACCGCTGAACTTGTTATATCTACTTTTAGAGTCGATGCAACCTAATTCTTCCTGAGAAGGTATTATAATTTAACAACCTGTTACCACCGTTCGTATTAACTTATGGATTATACCGGGGATTATACATAGGAATTCAATTGTTTACTTTTTCAAATCGCCGCTTTGTTTTCCATTCCCCATGATCAAAGCAAATGGAAGTCTAGACTCTTTTGGTCATGTTTTGGATTGCATTTAAAATCTGCACATCAATCAGAACCATAAAATATAAATCACTGGAGCGACGTCCAACATCTTTTAATCCGCTTAATAAGTGATTCTTGCCTTTGAATTAAACCCCTTGTTAAATTCCTCCCGGTAAAGCCGGTATTTAGAAAAAAATATGACAGGTAATCGAAAGAAGATTTTATAGTGTTTATGTTTCAATCAGTGTTGATTTCATTGTCTTATATAACTCATTTACAGGAGTTTTGTATTCCCGATGCACTTGGTCATAGTTTGCCCGGGATAGTTTGTTTATAATAAATTGATTTAAGTTTAAATAGAAAAGAAAGATAGTATTCTAATTTGAATTTCAGGAACTGGGTTTCAAAAACCGGCTTTTTAACTTCAGTTTGAAACTGGCTTTTAATAACCCTTCTTTTTAAGAACTATAGATTGCAAATGCGGTTGCCTTCGTGTACTTCAATTGTTTACTTTTTCAAATCGCCGCTTTGTTTTCCATTCCCCATGATCAAAGCAAATGGAAGTCTAGACTCTTTTGGTCATGTTTTGGCGGGAGGGGGTCAAGGATCTTGACGCAAGATTAATACAATTCTTAAATCATCAGAATGTCATTCAGATTTAATCCTATGGATAAGCTTATTATTTGAAATTAAAACTGAATACATCAAAAAGTGAATTATTAGTTTGTATTTTGAATGCTAAGAATGAAAAGGTAATTTTATACAAATCACAAATACCATTCAAAACAATTCCTGGTTTCAACTATCAAGGTGCTTCTCCAAACATCCGGCCCCTATGTGCAATTGTGTCAGGTAATTAGTAATTGTTTATGTTTAGATTACTTATTAGAGATGTCAAATCATGGGTCCATCAAAACAGCATTATGACTGTTCAACAGCAGCAAAAGCCTTTTATGTCTTTTATGTTTTAACAATATCTTTTGTTATTGAATAATTAAAGATGAGGGGGTGGATATTGAGCAAGCTGCATGTCTCCGAGCTATGATGCGCAAGTAATAATCGTACGTGACACGCACACAGGTGGTTGACAGGGAAACTTTAAGCTTGCCAAATGACCAATGTATGTTGAGTAGTAAATAATCATAAAGCCATACTGTGAGAATGTCTACACATTGGCGCAATCATGGGCTTTTGATTAGAAGCCCATGGCGCAATTTAGCCAGTCAGCCATTTGCTCCACGCCAGACCCAGGAACACGACGAAGCCTCTCGTAAGTGAAACTTTAGCATGCTTTTTATTTCCCTTAATGGATAGATGATTGAGTTTTGATAAAAGTAGGTTACAATGAAAAAAAAACACAATAAAGACACCTGGCAAATTGTTGTAAGTATAAGATTTGGCATTGATCTTGATAATTTAATAAATTGATTGTCTAGGAAGGTCCATGATACTGTATGGCTGAACAGTATCCTATAAACTAATGTCTTTGTATCATTGATTAAAATACACAGCAGTGTCTTTGTATCTTCAGAGGAGTGTCTTCAGAGCGGTGTCTTTGTGTGCAGTGTCAAATTCCCCGCAAAATAGAATTCATGTGATAGCTGAATTTACATAGATATTGAGAAACTTGTAGAAGACACTAGGATGAAGAAGAAAGGAGTTTGAATGGAGAAAGCAGAATTCGATATCGTACGAGAATTTGCTACCGGAAGACAGGCCATATCTTGCGACAAAAAACACAGGTTTCAAGATTGAGCAATATGCGTACATTGATTTGGAGCATTAGTTCGCACCATTTTAAAGATAGAAATATAATGTTACATCATGTACAATGCAATGTAAATATATTCATTTAGCAGTATACAGGTTTGGCCAAAACATAATGAGTAAATCCATTTAAAAGTAAAATCATTATTAGGCTTATTATTCGAGAGAGAATATAATTTTCAATGATTTGAAATAGGCATTCATATTTTTGCCTTCAATAATTATGTATCATTTAAAGGAAGAGATATAATTACAGTGCAATGTAAATATGTCTATATATGTATCAAGCGATATGAAAGGTGGATCAAAACATTCCCATCTTCAAGCGATATTATTTCACGGGGCTAATAATTTGTAACAATGATTTTCTCCCTATATCATGATATGTATATTTTTTAGTATTGATCATCATATCATTGTTCCCGATGTATATACATTTTAGTTATCTATTTGAAGTTATTACTTATAGAGGTCGTCTCATTGGCCTACTCTGTACATAGAAATCTAAAGAAATTTAAAATAAATTATAAAAAACGTAAAAGCTGTTTATGTGCAATTTTTTCAAATCTCTTACCCCAAAAAACAAGTACAGTAAACCAAACCTATAGCTTCAACACTCAAATGCTCATAAATAGGAATTTACATTTAACAGATGTTTATGCCCAATTCACAAATTCTACCAGTCCTCCTAAATAAGCAAGAATATGTCAAATATACGGATCTTGACTCCATATATGATAATATAGTTAGTTAATATTCTTGTGCATGTCTCAATATGCTCACATGCTGCATACTACTTATCTCAAAATATGCAGAAATACTCATGAAAAGTGGCATATATGCAGATCATATGCAAATATAATCAGTTTTAATTTTTATATATATCTAGTATACTCAACTGCTTATATTTGTCTATCCCAAATAAGCAGGTATATGCAGTTTCAGCGCTGCATATAATCACAAGTAAACAGCAAATATGCAAAGTATGTCTGAATATAAGCAAATATACTCAGTGACAGTACCCGTATATGCAGTCAGTATTCTCCGTGGATGTTTGTTATATGCAGCTGCATATATGTGTGTTCCATATATGCAGTTATTGTCTGCGTTCTGTCAGTGATGATTACTGGTTATAACATGCAATTTGAAGCAAATAACCACTAGAATTGCTCGTTATTTGCAAGCAATATTCGTTATTTTATACAGTGAACGTTCACAGGAATTGTCTGTTTGGAAATTCATTCACATATCAAATACTTACTCTATTACGCCCGGTGATCGAAAGATATATCCAGCTTGGGGGAGCATGCTATTTCAGTTTCATAATCACAATTTTTTTAAAGTCATTATTATGTTTTGTTTTACCAAAGAAAATTAACTATTCCATGACATGGGTATATCATTTGCGGATAACCTTTGCTTCACTTCTGTTTAAAGTCTTATCGCTTAAGAGTAAAAGCTATTGAGCCAGAGTATCATATTCTAAAATGTACAATTTCTTTTTATCTTTTTGATGACACAATATAGTGACATGATAATATTTATATATGTTTCAAGCATACACTCCCCTCCATAAGTTTGGCAACCTTTGCTCCCCCATTGAACTACGTGTTAAAGCCTCTTTACCTTTGAACTTTTATTTAGCTCCATATTTTCTCAATTTTTTTGCTCGATAACAATAAGTCGAAAATTGATGATAAATTTGATCAATTTTCGAAAATCGACATTCCCATGTTAACCAATGGGAAATGGTTGGTTTGCCGCAAATCATATGACAGAATATCCATCCGAGTCCTTGCAAAGATACGAGTTAGGTAGGCAATTGAATTTGCTAACTTTATTTAATAAAAAAAATGATGTGTTTCTTCAGGTTCAACAAAGTTAAAAAGCTTTAAAGTCAAAATTGTTTTTCAAACCTCTCCCATTGAAATAATACAGGAGGCGAAAACTATTTTCAAAAATGACTTTGAAGCGCTTTAACTTTAGTATTCATCAAGTAAACTAAAGACTTAGTGAACAAAAAAAGTTAGAAATTTCAATTTTCTATTTAAAAATATTCTTTGCTGAATCGTTACCGAATAGATATCTTGATTTCTGATTTGTCGCGAACCAACCATTTCCCATTGGTTTACATGGGAATGACGACCTATTGTAATTGAGGAAAAAATTGTGAAAATTTGGAGGTTTTGGAAATAAAGTCAATTTATGTTTCCATCAATTTTATAAGTTATTACATCGCAGGTTAAGTAAATAAAAATTCAAACATAAAGAGGCTTCAACACGTACTTCAATGGGGAAGCTAAGGTTGTCAAACTTATGGAGGGGAGTGTACTTCTGAAGGTGCATCACATTTGATGACTTGTTAATTCAGTTTGGTCTTTTTGGAATTTCAGCCTATGTTCCATTCCATTAACAGAATACTATTTGTCATCTGTCACTTCTATCGTCAGTACATTGAGAGTATTCGTGCAGCCATTACGGCTTTTATTGTGCGCCATGATTAAATAAGTATTACATTCCTCAAAAATATTTGCTATTGAATATACTAGTATTCAGTAACTAACTGTAAGTTCATGAGGTCATTATGAACTCCTCTATTACAAAATGAAATAGCAAATAAAAATCTTTTGATTTTGAATCTTTTCAAAAAATCATCTAATTGCATGTTTCAGAATTTGACATATCTTTGAATGTACTCTAACTGTCTAAAGAATGAATTAGGAATGAGGATTTCCCAATAAAATAGCTTGTTAAGAATAAAATAGCTTGTTAAAGATTTGTTAGGATTTGCCCTTAACCTTAGCTCAATGTATGCTAACCCATCATGATAAACCATGACATCTCATTTTTTCTCAGCCCTGAGATGTTTCAGGTGAAACAGAAAGATGCTATGAGAATCAGAATGATGCTAACCCTTACTTTGGATTTGCGGATATCCTCTCATATAAATGAGAAATGCATCCATCCAATCCCCCTCCATCCAATATTAATTTATTTTGATTATTTTTTGTATAACGCATGGAAACTAATTTTAAAAAGTGAGCAATGTCATTAGTATTGTGATAACAACGTCCCTTATACCTATTTATTACAGGTCGTGAATATATGTTTCTGGTTATTGCAATGAATTTTTCCACAAATATTTTTTGGGGGAAATCAAGACCGGGGGGTTCGACCGAAGCCATCGAACCCCCGGTCCCTATACGGCTATAAAGCAATTTAATATTGAAATGGAAAATGGGGTCATGTTAATACATTCATTTTCTTTAATAATGTTCTCCTAATAATTCGTCTCTATTTTAATTCATGTTTTACTACTAGTATTTGCCGTGGCAGTAATATTAAAAGATTTCGACTGCATACCTGGAATCCTAGAAGTATGCTTAAGTACCAAGCAGGGGCATCATCCACTCCATACTTCAGTTCAAATCCTGGTAAGACATGTGGATAAGTCTCCTCCCTCTCTTCTTCGTTGCAACATTTCCCATTGTCAATCCCCATTATCAACTTCTCCTTTCACTCTTGCGGTTCAGAGACCAATAATGATCAAATAAACTTTCAACTGAAGGCTTGTAGCGTCTTCAACTGTCAAGAGTATTTTAAATGACTGACATTCAAAATATGGTAGAACAGCACGGGTTGAGCAGTCAGTAAACAAGAAAACAGCAACTCTCCGTGAAGCAGATCCCATCGTACAAAACAGTCGTCCTTTCTAAAGTTTAATGACAATAATAACCAAGTTGTAATATTGCCTCCTTTTGGAAAAATCTCCACATATATGAAGAAATTCAATCTGAGGTATAGATTGAGACTATAAAAGGACGAAATCCGATGAGCAGGCTATTTGAGTTATCAATTAAATCATTCTTCAGTAAAAAGCCAGCCAATTTGAATTCAGCAGCCATCTCGAAAATTCCTTTTTGGGCAAGTCTTATGCTAAACAATAATTTGATTTATTAAAGTTACATTTGTAGCTATGCACTATCTTCTCGAACAGAGGTTCAGCTTATAAAATTTGGACCAAATCCATTTTGAATGCAGTAGCCATTTTGAAATTTATTTTTTGAGGTGTGAGGTTCGATACATGTATAGATCATTCCAACCAAATGGTATGAACGTGATACAGTTCTTGTTAATCCGTTAAAATTTTTCCTTTTTTAATTTCGAAAAAAAATTATAACAAATACTAAACAAATACTCCTCCCGCATAGCAAATTCGCACATCTTTTCATAAGTTAGCATTATGCTACTAAGAAGTGAGCAATAGGTATATTATTTGAGCCCCTAAACGAACAGGTCGTCGTGCATCCTTCTTCAAAGGACTTCATTTATGCTTAAATTCAATTATATACTTGTAAAATACCCTTGCAGCACATGGAACAGGTCCATTTTCATATATAACATGATGGGGGTAAACATTTCATAATTTTCTCATTTCATGTAGATTATACTAAAAATAGCATTGAACAGATATTTCATTGCTTATATAGGCACCCGTATATAGAATATGAACAAAATCTGGTAACTTTTATTGAGTTATCAGGTTATTGAGGGTTATTTCTTAAAAAATAGCAGCAATTTAGAAATGAGTGTTCATATTTTTGTAATTCCTCCTCAAGTAGATGTCCTTTGCCCATAATGTATTAGCGCACGTATACCTTATGGGTATATGGGAACGACGTCTGTAAACCGCCGTTTGAGTCATCAATTGAATTAACACTGAAGAATGGATGGCTTGGTAGTCAGATGGACGATTTTTCTATATCTTTACTTGAATTTTGTTTGACGGACGGATGGACGGACGGACAGGCAGACACATAAAAGAGTATCAGGCCTTGGGCTCATGATACTTTATCCTTTATGAGCTATTGTAAATCCAATTCATACAAAGGAGTTACCGGTGAGTCTCAATAAGTGGTCTGTTAATTTATTACAAGTTTTTTGGCACGTGTTATTCATGCTGTCAATAATATAATTAAAGGTGCAACGATAAGTGCAGAGGGGTCATTCAACGATCATGGACCATTGTCAAAAATGTTTTTCAGTTCAATATTTCATCAAGACTAACTTATATTTTTATTATCTCCAAAGAAATCCCCTGGATGGACATTATATTTCAGCTGATATTCTTCTTGAAATGAGTGGTGGATCTTAAAAATCGATAAGTGGGACTCCCTTTAAAGAAGCTTTGAACTTAACTGAATTTACACTCAATGCTGAAATTGATAGTTTATCCATACATTTTAAGAAAATAGGAATGTCAAAGAAGATGTTCCCCTCTGATAGCTCAGAAAAAGTAAAATTTTCTCTCTACAGGCCTTGTTGCCCCTTTAAAAGATTTTTGTCTATAAAAATAACATACTCGTGCTAGTATTACTAGTCCCCTTCTGTTGTTGGTTGTTGTTGATGTAGGGGGTAATATCACCTAGGGGTAAAATGCAATTAAGGGACTAAATGACTATATAGGGATGAAAGTTCATAAATCTAAAGTATCTCAAGGGTTTGTGTCTGATGATGACTTTGTAATGGTGGGTAGTTCATATTTAGGGCTAAAACCAATCTAAATGTTATTGTCTGCCATGTACAACAAATTTTGTTGGAATATAACTTTGGGAATAAAAGTTTAAGATTTATAGGGGTTCGATCTAAGTCTACCGCCTTGGGAATAGGGGTCTATCACAGAGGCCGGGATAAACGTCTATTACTTAAGCACAGGCTGGTATCGAAATATTTGTCCGCTGTGACGGAGCATGCTATTTTTCATAAAAACATTAAGAATACTTCACGATTCATTTTTTTAACTCATATGTTTCGTTATACCATACAAAATTACTTACTCCATGCAATGGATATATCATTTGCGGGTAACTTTCACTTCTGTTTGAAGTCCAATTACGCTGGGAAGAAAAGCTATTGAAAATGGCGCCGGAGTATCATACTTCAGAATGTACCATTTCTTGTTTAACTTTCTAATGGCACGATATAGTGACACGATAATATTTACACATGGTTTCATCATAACTATGAAGGTATACATGAGATGTTGATGTATTTGGTCTTTTTAAGTCTTTTATAAAAAATAGTGTTTAATTTTTTTTGTCCGCTGTGACGGAGCAGTTGCACATGTGAACTGTGAAAATGCTCCGTCACAGCGGACAAAATATATTAATATTATTTTTTATAAAAAAAATTAAGAAGACCCAATGCATTAATATCTCATTAATACATTCAGAGATATGCTGAAAACATATGTTAATATTATCGTGTCACTATATCATGCCATTAAAAAATAAAAAAATAAATGGTACATTTTAGAGTTTGATACTCTGGCGCCGTTTTCAATAGATTTTACTCCTAGCGTTATTGGACTTCAAACAGAAGTGAAGGTTACACGCAAATGATATATCCATTGCATGGAGTAAGTAATTATCTTTGATATAACGAAACATATGAGTTAAAAAATAAATCGTGAAGCATTCTTAGTGTTTTTATGAAAAATAGCATGCTCCGTCACAGCGGACAAATCTTTCGATACCAGCCTGTGTTAAGGGGATTATAGTCTATCAATTTGTGTTTTTGTCTGTCCGGTGAAATAAATGTAAACATTGATTTGCACACGAGCGCTTGATGTTAAAAGTATTGCTTATAATATCAATTCAAATCCATCCTCAATATGTATTGTCATGATTTTAGTATTAATGAAATGCTTTAAGTGGTATGCTCCCGAATTGGGATAATGGAACTCGAATGGTGGTGGTAGTGGTGTTGGTGGGGGGGGGGGAGCTTACTGTATCAGACTGTTTCTCGTTAGGTCATGGTTTGGGATAGTTGGGGTTTGTTTTCCTTTATCACTGGTCGTGTGCTCTTGGATGTTTTCTTTTCCTGGCTGTGTTCTCCAGCCATTTCGATAAGTAAATAAATACACGTTTGTCAGGTCTACTGTGTGTTTTGAACTTATATGATTCCGGGATGTGCGCTCTAATGTACAGTGAATTAAAACTGAGGCGCAACGTCACCACCGTGCGAAGTTCAATCTTTTCACAATAAATGATATTGGGCGTCTATGAACCTGTTATAGAGACCAATATATGACATTACCGAATGATCACAAAATGTACGTCATTGCTGCTTTTTTCAATTAGTATAACATACTTTCGATATATGCTAATCAAATGTTTTTTGCTACTGGCTTTACAATGTGATCAAGTGACCTTGAACAAGATTAACGTGACCTTCGACAGAAAAACAACCTTCAGCTGTTTTTGGCTTCTTGCTGATTTTTTCTTCCAATTTGGATGAACTGGTCACGTTTTATCCGTCAAACCTAACACATGGGTTAGAGCTACACATTAATAAGTCATTTTATTGAATTTCGGACAGAGACATAGAAGGCGAGAGAACGGAAGGAAAGTCACAGATCGACTGAATATCGAAGAGGTCGTGTAAAAATTGACAATCAAAATGCCCGAACTGGTGAAGATCCGTAAAGTAACTGGACATAATGATCCGACCAAGAGAAAGGGTCGGTGGTATTTCGGAGGACTGGCAAGTGCCGGAGCTGCCTGTTGTACACATCCCCTCGATCTGCTGAAAGTGAGTTTCAGGCTTTTGATGGTTTTCTGAGAACGTTACAATGTTGCAATTTTGGGTACAATATTTCTAGTTTATGTACTTTATGCCAAAATAATTATACATTGTTTATAGCTAATGTATAGCTGCATGTCCTTAATTACTATGACTATATTACTATGACAGGGGTCCAGTTATGTCGGTTCACCTTGAGAAAAAGGGGATGGTTACCCGGGGGTGGTTATGTAACGATTCGTTGACACTCCTTCCCTGAAGGATAACGTCCCATCGTAACTAGCTCACAAGGGTAATCCCACTTCTGACACCATACCAGTTTAAGGACCCATGTGCTCTAGTGTGGGGATGCGCCGGATAGTAGACATCAAAGGGAGTGTGCCCAGGTCAGGACCCAGGATGATCCACTCCTGCAAAATCAGAGAAACTATACCATTCTAGCCAAAATTGACTAGCCACTACAGCCGGGCTGTAGTAGCGATTTGCTATCGAGGGTCATTACAGTGGTACTGGAGCCACATGTTACATGTACATGTGCCTGTAACCTCCCAAAGTGTGTATCTGTATTCCGAGGTCTTGCGAAAGATCTACTATATTGCTGTTCAAATACATGTATTCATTCTATTTTAGTTGTGCTTCTTCGCTCGTTTGTTGAACAGAATGAAAACATTCATAATCTAACCTACTGTGGCCATCTATAGCTTTGGCTCGGGATTGGAGTAGGTGGTAGCGATAGACCAATTCGATTATCATGTGCCACACCCACTTTTTTCATCGAGCCTGTTCATCAGTAGTGCCCCAACTTCATTGTTTTCAAGAATTTTCGACACTGGTTGGTTGTGTACATCAATCTTATCGAGCCATGCCCTCTTTGCAGCCCCATGGTTGGATAACTTCAACAGATTCCAAACTGAATATAGAATATGAATCCACTCCCTGAGTATCTCAAAATGTCTGCCAGCTGGTTGTCTGTGCAGTATTATTTAAGGAGAACTCTTCGGTCCAATATGGTTTCTTTTATAATTTTGAGAAATATTGATATTTGTGGCATATTTTCAGGTCTCAACAAAACATAACAAGTAACTTGATAATAAATATAATATGATATGCTCATGCAGATATCACATCCATTTGCAGAAATGAACCATTTCACTAATAAAATTGTTTGTGTGTTCCAGGTCCACCTGCAGACACAACAAAAAGCCGAGCTTAAGCTCACTGGGATGGCAGTAAAAATTGTTCGCACTCAGGGCGTCTTAGCACTATATAATGGTCTCACTGCATCATTATTACGTCAGGCAAGTAATACAATGACCTTATTATATACTCAGGTCTGTAGCCAGGGGGGGGGGGGGGGTTGAACTTCATGGGCCAAACATTTTTTCACCATTCTGAGCACTTTCAAGTGCTACGGGCCTGTTACCATTATTATAGATAATTAGCTATTGCATAATGCAAGACTTGTTTTGACTTTGCTCCATTCTTCATTCTTTTGTATTAAGTGACAATATATGATTTGCTCTTTTTAGTTGCTTTTGTTTAATGTCATGCATTTGCTTAATATAAAGTGAAGCCATATTTGTGTTTTCCTTCCTGGTGTATGTCTAGGTTAACTCTCTATTGTAAAACACATTGAATTGGTGAGATCAATTTTCACAGATTTTTACATTTGTTTCTTTTTGCTTATGTATGTTTTGACAGTTTTTGATAGTGTCTCAATTTGTACCAAGTATTCAATTTTGAATTTTCAGCATTCTGAATTTGGAATTTTACACTCATGCAAATATACGCAAATTCAAGATGTCAGCGAATTTAATGTGTTTTGCAGTATATCTGGAATGTGATTTGATTTTTTGATTTTTCTTCCAGTTGACCTACTCAATGACAAGATTTGGCATTTATGAGAGTGTGAAAAACAATTTTGTCGAAGATCCAGCTAATATGCCATTCTACCAAAAGGTGGGGCTAGCAGCAGTTGCAGGATTTTCCGGTGGTGTCGTGGGAACCCCCGCTGATATGGTGAATGTTAGGTAGGTTAGCATCATCATGCATGAATTCTGTTACTGAAGAAGTAATTTTACATGAAAGTACCTAGAATGTTTTTTATAGCACTTTGAAAAGTACTATATTGTCGTCACCTTGTTCTGCTGGGCATGTGGTCCTGGTGGGCAGGCTGGCACTACATCAATCTTATTATCAAAAATTCCAGGAAAATGGATTTATCCCTTTCAACTTGAAATCCCAACAGATAAAAGAGCAAACAAGTACCAACATCTGATTCGGTTTATGGAATGCTAGGTATACAGTATTACATGCGAGCTCTTCAAAATGTGATGCTCATCCCTGTGTGTTTTGTTACATTACTTCACAGTGACTTTCTATCATGCATCATTCTAGCTATCTAAATGGAATTTCCTGTTTTGTTTCAGAATGCAGAATGATATAAAACTACCAAAAGAACAAAGAAGAAAGTGAGTATCAGATAGAGTAAAGCCTGTATGTCTGAACACCTTTCTATAATCTGAACACCTTTCGATAATCTGAACACCTCTCTATAATCTGAACACCTCTCAATGTGAACACTTTCATTTTATCTACCATTGATTCACATAATGAGAAACCTTGAAGTATGAATATTTGTTTTTATCGTATGATCTGTCAGATGAAGCCCTCTGATTGGTCTGATTTTTTGTGCTGTACCAATCTGTATTGCTACTGAGGTTGTCCCCATTGATCATCTCCATCGCAATACAGAAAATATTGGTACGGAGGGGACAATCTCAGTAGCAATACAGAGGATCACACGATATTCTGTAATGGCACTTGACTTCGTCTCGTTCCAATACAAAATTTCTTGAACAGAATATATCCTGTATTGCACTTCAAATCATTCAATAACTTATAATCCAAACACTTTTGACTTATCCCAGTGGTGTTCGGATAAGACAGGTTTTACTGTACATGTAGTTGGAAAGTGACACACATGCATGCATACAGGGTGTTACATTAGATAAATCTTCCCTCAAAGTCAAATGTATTAAAAGAATCTGCTGACATGATAAATTATCAAATGATTGGTAGAGACAGGATTCTTAAAGCAAAGTAACATTTTATTTGTCATTTGAAGAATGCAATCCTATTTTCTTTACTTTTTTGCTATTTTTACTGTTAATAAAAATTGTATGTTGGATGTACGTTTGGCCCTCAAAGGGCAACAGTACAAACAAATCCTATTATATATTATACTAAAAAGGGCACGACAGCATTTCATTGTTCCTTCCAAAAAATCAATGCCACACACTAGTATACCGTGTAACATACAAGTTATATTAATGTTAAAGTACATGTTCAAGTGCTCATATACAAAATCCATACATGTCTGACTCAATATTTCAATATTTACCATAGAAGTTACAAAAAAGCCCATAGCCAGCATTTAGAAATTCCAAAGGGGTTGACAAATTTGACTTAAAAAGTGTTCAAAAACCGCATGATTTTGAAAGTTTTATCAGAGGAGGGGGGGGGGGTTAAACCTTGCTGGCTACAGGCCTGCATACCTAATAACACCTGATATTGGTTATAGTATTTTGGTTTATTAAAAATCTGGTGGTCAGCTGTGCTGAGAAGTTTTAATTGTAACATCCTGTGTATATGCATCAAGTTAGTTCTCATTATCTGATTAAGTTTTACTGTCTTATCATATTAATATTAAGACTTCATTGTTTGAAACCTCAAAATTTTCTGTACTGACCATACTCATATCGTATATTGATTAACCTCTTGAATCCCAGGCTCTAAAATCGGTTGAAATCAGAGAAATTTTCATTTTTCCACCTTTTGACATTTGTCAACATACTTATACAACTTAAACACTCAACTTAGTAAAATTAGATGGCAGAGACCATTCCTACACATTTTAAAACAACTTTTTGTGAAAATTTTGATGAAAACTGTTAAATAAGAGCAAGTGTAATGAAAAAAATTTCGTGACAGATTTTCTCGTCACTCTGGGTTTCAAGGTCATTTCTGGGATGACCAGAAATTTTGTCACTCCAGGTAGTCAAGAGGTTAAATGAATTCTGAGAGATAAGTTGTAGTGGAACGGGTATCAGGGATCATTTCAACCTTATTTATCTATATTAATCCTACAATTATCATACAGGGTCAACACAAATTGTCTATAGTCACATACCTTCTCAATGCATTACGGTATTAACATTTGTTTAAACATTTACAGGGTATTTCATAATTCCTATATCATGATAAAACACCCTGTACTTTTTTGTTTGAGAAACACATTTAGTTCTCAAATTTTGGCCCATAATGTTTCATGAATCTGAAAAATGCTTTAATAGTATATGATTATAGATCAGGAGGTGATTTGATCTTTAATTGATTATGCGAATAGAAGGGGTATAATCATTATGTAACACCCTGTATAGCTTGGTGTCACAAAAGTTCTAAATTCCTAAGATACAAAATATTTTTTTGCTGTTTAAGTCTCTTTTCTTTAGGATTTTCTGGGATATAATTTTTCTATTACTGTGAAAGCCCAAATTTTGGCAGACAAAAAATTCCACTATTTTGTTAAATCAAATTTTCACTGTGCCTTTAACTTCACGGTATAGCCTCTTCAGTGAGAATAGTGTGAAAATTTGGGCTTTCGTAGTACACTGAAATATGACAAGTAGTTATTCCACGTGACAACGTTCTGCTCTTAAAGCCAAATGTAATCATCCATCATTAAAGATCCGGAAGCCATTCCAAATTATCTAAAAAGTGCACCATCAAGAGTCACTTTCAAAACCAATTTATGTAAATATTCAGGAACAATGAAGCATTTAACAACCACAAACCTGGATCTTACAAGAAAAGAAGAAATTTTACTGAATAGAACAAGATGTGATTTCATTTTTACTGGTCATCTTTTTCAACATAATTTTCAAGGTATTGACAGTCCCAAATGCATCTGTGGTTTTAAACAACAAACTACAAAGCATCTAATCTTCAAATGCCCTCTGTTGAATGTTATAAGAGAGAAACTTTGGGGGGAACTCAGGAACATGCCAGAAATGAACATTTTCTTTACAGGATGCTCTATAGAGCAAAAGCTGAATATCTTAATGTATGGCAGAGATGGAGTTAGCATAACATGCAATTCTTCAATATTGAAGCATTTTACATCCTTTTTGTGTGAATGCATTGATATAATTATATAGTTTTAACACATTCCTGCCATGCATACATATATGTTGGTAGTCATTTTGTTGCTATTTTGTAAATTTGAATAAACTTTGTATTAACAGGGCCAATAATGCTGATTTCAGCCTCGGCCCTGTCATTTGTAGATAATTTTGTAAAGTAAAATAAAGAAACCATAAAAACTAAAAAAAAAATCATTAAAGATCTCTGAGATGCTACTGCCAATGTTTGTTTTTATTTTTCAGAGTTTTTTCGCTTCAGAGACTTTGCTTATTTTTATTTGCATGACTGCTCGCATATGATATTCACAGTACATGTACATGAAGTACAGTATTTATATTTACAGTGAAACCTGTAAAGTGGAACATATGACTTATATCGTATATGTGGAACACCTCCCAAGTGGAACACTTTAGAGGTGCCAAAGGCGTTCCATTTATAAAAGTTCTACATGTATATGTATACATTCACATGTAGATGTTTCTTCAAATAATCATTTTAAGCTTAACTGTAATATGCTTCAGTAATTTCTCCATGTTGTCCAGAAGTTGCTAGAGTATTCACTCACAAAAGTAGGTAAGTGCATGTAGGCCTAGAGCTTCTCTCTTTTTCCTGTTTATCTCTTCATCCATCATTCATCCATTCTATTACAGTTGGGGGGGGGCACATTTTTGGGAGGGAGCAGTGGCTTGATGTGAGACAAGCCTCGGCAGTGTGTTCATGAGTAAGGTTGAAAACACTATTGCCACAATTTAACATATTAGCATTCAGTCCATCGCCTGGCAACTCGTTTTCCAGATTCATTGCCAAGATTGAAAAGTGGTTGCCATTGGCACTCAAACCTCTAACCAGAAAAATGGTGGCCATTTTGGGACCCCGGGAATAAAGCCAAGGGAAGCACCTTCCCCACCATTCAAGTTCTCAGCCAGAGTCTGTGAAATCCCCTCAATTAGTTTATCTCCATATGGAGGTGAAGTATGAAGGAGGGGGGGGGGGGGGGAGATCACAAGGGCTTAAAACAATATTTATTTGTTTTCTTATTTGAGCCATTATAAATATCAATCAATCTACATAATACAGGGTGTTCACCCTGTACAATTTGTACATAATCCTCCTAAGCAAATGTCCAAAATCTGTACCTCCTCCTTCCTTAGAAAGAAATAAAAACGAATGTTTGTTTCCAATAGAAAATGGAAAATTTTGTATTTGAAGTCTGGATTTTGGAGCCCTGCATATTGCATGTACATGCATGTTGCCTGGTTCATATCACATTTTGCTGTTTTGTGACACTGTGTGGATCTTAATGTACAGGCGGATTGACAGATTTTTTTTTAAAAATACTTATTGGCAATTAAGGATATATCTGATTGAAAATCCCCTTTAGATCATATTGTATATGAATGAGAATTAAGGTAGTCCACAGATTTGACCTTTACTTGACCTTCAGTGACCTTCGAAAGGTCAAAAAAGTTGATTTATCAAATTGATTTTTGGATGTAAATTTTGATCAGCTTAATCACAAAAGACATTAACTCATTTGTCATGCTCAAAACAACATTCACTAATTATATAGTTGTGCTATATTTCAGTTACAAACACGCTATTGATGGCCTGTATCGTGTTTACCTGGAGAGAGGCGTACAGGGTCTGTTCAAAGGCGTAACTATGGCCAGTAGTAGGGCTGTCCTCATGACTGTGGGGCAGGTAGGTTGTCATGTCAACTGCCTCCTGACTGGGGGTTGATTACCATAGCAATGCTGATCATGACTTTGGAACATAGGCTACCAAAGCAACTGCCTTCATCCTTTTGATATAGCAACCGTTACTATGACTTCAAAGTTTATTTCATAGCAACTGTTCTTGGGACTGCAGGACAGGTTATTTGAGAAACAGTTTGTAGGAAACAGTCCGTAAAATTGCAGGACAGGTGTTAGAATATATTTCTAATGCAACTTTCCATAACCTATGGCACCTACATCACTATAGTAACTGTCATAACTTAATGATAGGTTCATGGAAGTGCTACCATAGCAACATTTTCATGATTTTAGTGATCGATCCTCACTCCTCAGGAACTGAACATGTTGATTTTGAGTACTTACTAGTATTTCCTTTCGGGTAGCTTATGCTAGTGATTGTTACCATGGCAACTCTTTAAAAATGCCACTGTAAACGGAAATCGGATTGTTCACATTACTCCATGGCAGTTAGTGAAGGATGACAGCTTAAAGTTGTCGGAAACTATGTTCTTATATGGCAACTATTGCTGGTTATCCAATGTACCTGCATTTGGTATGAAAAATATGCTCGTCTTCATTACTCTCCGAAAGGTAAGTGATCGTAGTAACACCTAAGGAACCTCCACTTAGATGATGTTATGTAACCATATGGAACAGGTAGTATACTATAGCAACAGAGAAAGTAACCATAGCAACAATGCTTATAAAGTAGATCGTTTCAACTTTGTATGAGAATGCCAGCTATTAAAAATTAATGCTTTGATAGTAATTGCATAAGTGGTGCACCCTTGACAAATTCATAATTTGAACTTCATGGTTCAGATTTGACCTACCTGATTTTAACATGTTAATGCAAATTATGTGTTTAGTTGAGACATCACCACTCATGCAGTAACTGATTTATAGGCTTCTGCAGCATGGGTGTTGTACGCAGAAAATCTTACAACTGCTAATGTTTGTATTACAGGAAATGTTCAGTGTTGTAAAATTGCTTGATGGAACGCTGTTGTTTTAATTCTTTAGGAAAGAAGGGCTGAATGTGAGATTTACTGATAAGCTGCTGATCTCTTGAAACAATGCTGCTTTGACATAACCATGATATGCTCCCAGGCCCGTAGCCAGCTTTTGCGAAGTGGGGTTCACTTTTCAAAAAAAATCCAAGGATGTTCACACTTGACAACTTTGGCCCAAAACCACTTGAAAAATGCTCAGAATTGTGAAAAACTGCATGATTTTGAAATAATTTTTTGGCCTTGCTATGAGACTGGCTTCTTGCTGTCTAATATCAAGCCATGAAAAGCTGTCTATGTTGCTACATTGGCTTTCTTAAAAGCCCATGGTTGCTATAAATAATGTATAAGTGGTATTTAATCCTAATTTTAATTTTCTAACGACAAGAACCTTCCCATGAAATAACATTATGAAGAAAATATTTTCGACATCTAATTTTCCGAACCTGGCAAAAATTAGGCAATAGGAAAATTAAATGATTAGGCAAAATTACCACTTATACAGTATGTAAGGGGAGGCATCAAAAGTTCAATGTCGGATCGGAAACTAAATAAATCTAGTTTTGACTCTGACCCCCTCCCTACCCCCAAAACTAAATACCATGAAAGTTGATCGCTGACTTCCGGTTTGAGAATTTGAAAAATTATTGCTAAACACGATCTAGTTTTTGTTAATTCCTATTGTAATTTGCGGCTTTTAACAACTATCGATAGAATAGAATCCATTGGAATGATCTTGACGGAGAAAGCATCAGGTAAAATCTTTATTTTTAAACCATTCCAAGGCATTCTGAGTCGAAATTGGCAAAAATTTGAAAAGTTGAAATTTGTCGAAAGCAAACTGAAATGGGTTTGAACCCCCTCCCCCCTAACTAGATTTATTTAGTTTTCTATCCGACATCGAACTTTTGATGCCTCCCCTAAGCGCAAGTGCCAATGGGAAAGTACCAAAAATGATTACAGAACACAGCCAGAAAAAGAAAACATCTAAGATTGCACCAGTCATGAGGAAAAACAAACCCCAACAATCCCAAATCAAGTATCCCAACATTAAGTTGCAGCATGTATTTGAATTGGTGTGTGTTGTCTTGCTGTGTTATAGCTATAAGCATGCTATAGATGGCCTATATAGGGTGCTAGTTGACGAAGGTGTGACAAAGCTATGGTCAGGAGTCACCATGGCTTGTGCCAGGGCAGTCTTAATGACCATAGGACAGGTAACAAACAAGCATTTAATTCTATAAATTCAAGTAAGACCTAAGAATGTTGTATTAGACAATGGGAGGGACAATGAGGGAGGGGTATTGCATACAGATGGTGTTGCTTTTTGAACATCCTTTAGTGAAGTATACAAAGTTGCCTTTGGTTGGTCAATAATAAGTCTAAGCCTCAATATCCCCATAGGAGATCATTCCCCACTGGTAGATCTGGAGGGGGGGGGGGGGGCAGGCAGATCTGTCTAGGATGGGCCGAAAAAGATTTTAGGGTCCCAATTAGACAGCCCTTTTGTCATTACTGGGCCTTTTTTACCTTATTTTTAAGTCTAGATTATCAAGTAAATAGGTAATGTTTGGGCCCACTTGTTTTGGTTTTAGGGGTCTACAATTTTCTTCTTAAGTTATTTCATTAACTAAAATAAAACGATTCTTATATTTTATTTTTATAAAATAGGTAAGCCAGTTGCTTAGAGATAACTCTATTTATTTATACATAATTGCTACACTTTTTTGTTTTAAAAGTTTTTAATAACTTATCAGGCCAGGTGTGGCGTCATGTAAATGCCTTGTACAATTGTTCTCTCTTGTTTTCCAGATCTCATTCTACGATCAAATCAAAGTTTTGTTACTCACTACTAAATACTTTGATGACAATGTGATTACTCACTTCTCTGCAAGTACAATGGCTGTAAGTACTCACTGAAATGTTCATGTATTATACTCAGATACGTAAAAATTTAAACTCAAATTTTACCAAATCATGCCAAATCTGTGGAACACCAAGTTGAACACTATCACACTTAGGATATCAATGTTGTTCCATTTACACAGGTTTTACTGTATATACATATCAAGCTGACATGCCCATTTTAATCTAGTTTCCTGTATATAAATATAACGCTGACATGCACATTTTAATCCAGTTTCCTGTACATAAATATCAAGCTGACACGCCCATTTTAATCCAGTTTCCTTATATAAATATAACGCTGACATGCACATTTTAATCCAGTTTCCTGTACATAAATATCAAGCTGACACGCCCATTTTAATCCAGTTTCCTGTATATAAATATAGAGCTGACATGCCCATTTTAATCTAGTTTCCTGTATATAAATATAAAGCTGACATGCACATTTTAATTCAGTTTCCTGAATATAAATATCAAACTGACACGCCCATTTTAATCCAGTTTCCTGTATATAAATATAAAGCTGACACGCCCATTTTAATCCAGTTTCCTGTACATAAATATCAAGCTGACATGCCCATTTTAATCCAGTTTCCTGTACATAAATATCAAGCTGACATGCCCATTTTAATCCAGTTTCCTGTATATAAATATAAAGCTGACATGCCCATTTTAATCTAGTTTCCTGTATATAAATATAAAGCTGACATGCACATTTTAATCCAGTTTCCTGAATGTAAATATAAAGCTGACATGCACATTTTAATCCAGATTCCTGTACATGAATATCAAGCTGACTTTTATTATTTTATCATTTTAATCCAGTTTCCTGAATATAAATATCAAGCTGACACACCCATTTTAATCCAGTTTCCTAGGAGCTTTAATCATTCACAGTTTACCCCGATTTGCATTCCAGGGAGGCATAGCTACAGCAATGACACAACCTTTAGATGTGATGAAAACAAGAGTTATGAATGCCAAGCCAGGGCAGTACAAGGTAAATGCATGTAGCATCATTAGTAGTACAATAACTTCATTTCGAATGGCCCTCGGTCCAATATTTCACTATATTGCCCGCAGAAATGACGTTATTAGTATTACTACCACCGTTAACGACCAGGACTGAAACAGCAAGAAAATCTTACGCACTGAATGATATCTAATTTCCTGGGGAAAATTGCTGGTTGCATTCTCGACCGGGCAATATTGACCACCACTATGACGTCACATATTGCTCAGGTCAATATAGTAAAATGTATGCCTTCTAAACTAGCACTAAAACCCCTAGAACTGGCCCGGCAAGGTGGTAATTGGTGTTCATGAGCAACCAATTTGGCTTTTAGTAAAGATTATGTTATTTGTTTTTATTTGTCTGTTCCTTATTAATGGTTTAATGGATGACTGTTAGATATTAATAAGGTACTTTCAAAAATATACAAAACAATACAATTAGACAAACAGAGTATCTTATGCATTTCTAGGGGTTAGGTTATACAGTAGAGTGACTTTATGATTTACATCTGTATCATCTTAGTTTTGCCTGATTTGTATTTATGATTGTTATTTTTCAGAGTTTGATGCACTGTGCAGTTGATGTAGCAAAGAATGGTCCTATGGGATTCTTCAAGGTATGTGTTGCACCTCATATCTTCTAAATACATGCGTAGTTTTATTTTGTATGTATTAAAGAATTTTTACTTTTATAATGATATGAAATCCTTGTAGAAATACAATAAATAAACACCTTTTAATTTGTTTGTTTTTGTTTTCCCCTCCCACCCTCCAAAGATTTGGCCTTTTGTCAGGATGTAAAACATACAGGCCAGACCAAAAAATGTTACCCATTCTGATTGTATACTAATATAATAAGGGTCACATTTTTGGCCCACGTTGTATGATCAACTTTGAATGGCTTCATATGACTTTCATCTTTTCCAGGGTTTTGTACTTCTTGCTTAATCCAGAAAATCTTACACCTTGTTCAGACACCATCAGTTGCGAAGGTCACGTGATGGCTATCCCTACCGTGTAAAATAAGGGTGATGTCTTTGGCCCACTCTGTATGATCAACTTAAAATGGCTTCATATGTGTTTCATTTCTTCCAGGGTTTTGTACCAGCATTTGTACGTCTAGCACCACAGACCATCCTTACTTTCCTCTTCTTTGAACAACTGCGACAAAGATTTGGCACTGACCCCCCAGAGACTAAAGATAACTAATGCATAGGTAGATAATAGGAAAGGAGCTTGTATAACCGTTCTTTCAGTGTATAATATCACCCCACCCAGTGAATATTGCGATATTGTTTTATCAAGAGTGAAATGATTTTAGTAAGAAACTTCATTTGCAGGTGTATACTAAATGCATTTTATTGAACCAAGTATATACTTTCAAGGTGCTTGTAGATGGGCACTTAAAGGATGGGAAAATTTAATGTGATAAAAGATGGGAAAATTTTAATCTGAACTCTACCGCAGTATATTTATACAGTACATGTGATAAAGGACAAGAAAATTTAAATCTTAAAACTCTATCGCAGTATATTTACATGTGTAATTAAGGATGGGGAAATTTTAATCTGGACTCTACCACAGAATTAAGGATGACAGAAATTCTAATCTGAACTCTACCACATATTATTTACACATGTGATCACGCGGTCCTAACTCACCGGGGCATATCGAAACCAAAACGCCCCGCAAAACCGTTATTTTGAATTTCAAATCTACCCTGTCTTTGGAAAATCAATGATTTTTGGTTTCGATACGCCCCAGGGAGTACCGCGTGGTGATAAAGTATTGGAAAATTTTAATCTGAATAAATCTGAATATTTTTATGTGAGGAATCCAGAATCATGACAAACTACTGATATTATATTAAATGCATTGCAAGATTTCTTTGTCTTCCAACGGTGGATAAGGGATTAACACAATGTGAACATTTGAAATGACCTTTCAACACGATGATGCATTCTCTGAAAACTTGAAGTTGTTTAGAGGTTTTAATTGATTTTTCATGTTCATGTACATCAGAATTGAGGAGGTAGAATGGTATATAAGTAACCTGTTGTTTTTTGGATGAACATACCATTTTGACCGCGTAAATTCAAGCCATATTATATAAGTATTATATAGGTATATAAGTAACTCAAGCCACTTTCAAGATGAAATCATGTGAAGAATTTTAACCAGCAGTGGATTGATACTGTATGTTGAATTTTAAAGTATCAGGTTTTACAGTTTTTAGAGTTTAATCTACATTGACTAAGCAGGCTCTAGTTGTTTTATAGCATTGCAATGTTTATATATATGTATGCTTTTATCATTCACGGCAAATTAGGCCTATATTTCAATGGAAACTATTTTAACAAAATCATGTATGTATACAAAACAAAAATGGCGAGTAATGTCAAACACAGACCCAAGAATGTCATTGTGTTGGTTTTCATTAAATGCCTAAAGATGGCAGCAATGTGTTCAATAATGATTTGTACTGTGATTTGTGCCCCAACATAGTAGGATTAAACAATAAAAGTCTCTCGGGCCTTCAATTACCTAAGGTTGTGAAATTGTGACAAACAATTGTGACATACAATTATTACGTACAATTGTGACATGCAATCCTGAATTTCAATTCAACCCGTTAAGAAATAATTTACGAAAATAAAATTAATCCATAATTTTAAGTTGTACTAGACTTGTATGAAAATAAAAACGTTATTTTGCAGTTATTGTTTCATTAAAATTTTGCAATCATTTAGTATTGATAAATTTTAATTAATCATTAATTTATGTGCTAATTAGGATATTTTTCCAATTAGCAAGATGATGTAGAATCAGAGAATGAAGACAAGACCTAATTACTTGTGCCATAACTAATACATTCTTGGAACCATAATAAACTTGAAACCATAATAAAAATTAGTTATGTTGATTTTTTTTTATTTAATGTCATGAAAAATCATTTTTGTAAGTTCGTTTACTAACATGCAATTTTCATGAATGTATTGCAAACTCAAGACCTGACACTTGTCATTTTCTAATTTTCTGAATGATTTTATTTAGTGTCAAAATAGAACAAGCAATTACTCATCTCTGTGAATCCCAATATGGGAAATCCATCTTCATTAACAATGTACATTTCAAGAAGCATTTTATTGGAAATATACATGTTGAATAAAATTCATGAAAGTAATAAAATATAAAGTTAACTGAATGATGTGCTGTTTTTTACCCAGGACTGCATAAATAAGACATTAAAATGCAAAATGTCACCACCTGCCATTTGCTATAGATGCTTACTGCCAACCATGAAAGGTAGAGACTAATAACAATATGTCAACAATTTTTGGGTGGTGACATGAAAAAATGAGGAATTGTAAAAACTAAAATGTTACAAAACCTGTTATTTTAGTCTTAAATTCAACAAGCTGTTTTTTTAAATGAAACAGGAAAACCTGCATTAGGCCATTTGGATATGGTTAAATTTGGTAGATAGATGTTATTGATATATGTATGATAGCACTATATAAAAAAAATGATGATGCAGAAATAACTCATAATAGCAAAACCAGAAGACCAATACAGACACCAACTGCCAAACACCAACTACAGTTAGAGACTATAGTTACATGTAACCACTTCTGGTGGGAACATAAAATTGAATTCCTGAACATTTTTGGTTGATTTTATCAGAGAGCCCTATTTCTAAAGGCTGTTTCAAGTGAACAGAACACATGTCATATATTAATAGTGATGATGTGAGCAGATCATTTATTATACACATTATACACAATAAACAGGATAATCGAAACATATTTCAACTACAATTTGACAGTTTAAACAATATGATGTATCATAACTACAAAAACACCATTATGCAGCCATTTTGGATTTTCTGAGCCACAAATCAAAAAAGCGATATATACATGTATTTGGGACCTACCCTTCTACGATTTGAATGTAATAAAGCCATATACTGAGGAGATCTCGAAATTAACTATATTTTGGGTTTCCACAAATGTGACCCCATTGGTTGGGCCAAAAACTAAGAATATGCACTGTATGTTGAATAAATATATTTTATCTATACACTATAAACATTTTATACAGTTACACCGATTAAGAATTTGGTTTGAATTAAAAACATTATTGCTATTTAGAAAATGTCGGCCATTTTCCACCAAATATGAAGTTCATCAGAAAACTAGTTTTACTTCAGTTTGAGAAATGGACCAACAGAAGGATGGATGGCTTCCCAATACCTAATAACATTTTTTGATACACTATATCCTTCCACTAAAAAAGAAAATTCCACTGGTATTGTGAGTTATGCTCTGGACAGACGAATGGACGAATAGCTTTGCTATATCCTTTTTGCACTTCATTCATTGGGCATGGTATAACAAACATTTTGAAGAATATATGGACGGTACTATTTGAACACTATAATAATCACAAAAATAAGTTCTTTGCAAGTGTATTATTGCCAATTTAACCATGGCTAAATAATTCAACCAATTAGATTGCTTTTTTACAGTTCATTAGACAACAATGAACACTTTGGTCTATAACTGCACTGCTCAAAGTAACATAATTTTATTTCATTTCTTGATCCAGGAATCAGTGTTTTGAAATATTTGTTCATTTTTCTTGTTTTGAGTCAATTAGTTGAATTGCAAAAAATGAGATTCTTTTAATTTGCAAAACTCAGTGCTCAAAATGGGCAAATCAGAAATTTTAACAAAAAATATCAAAATTTTGTATATGAACTAATTATATATCCCCAAACCCTAAAAAGGTTGATTAAGTCAGAAACATCTTTGATAAAATAGCAAAACAAGAAAAAAGAAGTACAGAATGGTATATAAACAGAGTTATAGTGTAAAATATACATGTATAATGAGTATAAGCATGATTATGATACAAGTCAAAGAAATAGACCAAACGCATCATTGTCATGAATCAGATCTGATGAGCATTTCAATGTAACTTTCTTAAAGTCCCCGTCTAAAGTTTGAAAATATTTTTTTATCATTCATTTACTATTTGTCAGGACTTAAAAAGTGATTTTAGAGATTTTTGAACAAAAAAAAATTTTGAAAAAAAAGTTGTGAGCATTTCATTTCTCAAATATTCAAATTTCCCACCATTTTTTAAAAAAAGTTGAAATTTCTTAATCATCAAATATTTCTTAATGCATTTCAAAAAAGATTATCTTTTTAACACCAATGCAAAGGTTGAACAAAGGACACACTATTTCAATAATAAAATGCCATATTTAATGGGCCACTTCAATGTTTTAACATATCAAAAATATTTTGAAACATTAGTGATGTCACTAAGGTACCAAAAACTTTTTGAAAAAAATTGAAATTTTTTTTCGATGTCAATCTTTTCTAAATATGTTAGACTTTCATTAAAAATCCAATGTTGATTGTCTAACCAGGTTAAAAGGAAGAATAAATTATGTTTTAAATATCATTGTACCATTGGTTTCTATGAGAACTAAAATTTTGAAATGCATTTTTCTCAGAACCATTTTCATGCACTGATAAGTTCATTTCTCGCTTATTTATGAACCAATTTTCTTAATTTTTTCGGCAAAAAACATGGGAGGATAAATGCTATGCATTGGTATGAATTGTGGCTAATTAGAAGATATGAGTGACCTCTAAAAGTTGGTTTTAAATAATTTCACAAATTTTGGAACAAAAAGTCTATCAAAAACCACTTTTTGAAATTTAAAAAAAAAAGTTTCACATATCACACTTTGATAACATTGGGTAAGACTACAATATAAGCCAAAGTGGTTTAAACTTTACATGGGGCCTTTAAGAGGGGGAAATACAGGCATATCATTGTTAATAAGAGGTGAAGGTGAAAACGCCTTAATTTGTGACAAAAACTGTTTATAATATATGTCAAAATAACCTAATGTTTTATGCATCCCTAACCTAATCACTTACAAACAATAGATACAACAATACATGTACATACAACCCACTGTTTAAATTCAACTTTGATACAAACAATAAATATAAACATAATTTCTATCACAATCAATCCGAGATCAAGAAAAATATCAAAATGTCAGTTCAATATGGAATATAAAAAAAATTAAATGTCATAAAATCCTGACACAATGTATAAAAATATGTGATCTCCCCAGGATTTTTCTCAAGTGGGTGCAAAATTCTCATTTTCACAATGCAGACCAAAATTGGTCAACATTTGCCAACTTTTCATGATTTTTCTCATTTTCAAGTTGGTGCATGCATGTTTTCAAAATCTCAGGTGGGTGCTGCGCCCACTTGCTTTAATGCTGGGGAGACCACTTTGTCATATAACAGAACTGTCATGTCAATAAGAGGCATTTCTCCTCCTAATATTTAGTTGTCCACAACTATAAAATGTCAGATCTTTCGTAAACGTTTTGTAAACAAACCATACATCATACAAAAATAATAAAGTCCTGATTAATGAACAGAAAGACAACAAGGACATACATTTACATAATAGAATAGATAACTAAATTTAGAATTATAAGTTCACCTTTATGTGGGACTTTGTCCATCAACATAGGCTAAAGGCAGGATAATTATTAAAAGAAAATCCAAAAATTAAAATTAAAGAAACCATTTTGTGTATAGTTTTCTGTTGCCGTGATTATTAAACAACAGTTGTCATGATAACTATTAATATTGTCTAACACAGAACATGAGAATTAATCATAGCAATATTAATAAAATTATACAGAGAACATTCAGATATTTGTTTAAACAAATCAACATATTATAAATCCAAAAGTAATTGATACTGTTTTCCCAATGGATTAGTTGTTTACTTTGAGAATAAGGATTTCAGTTTCTTATTGAAAAAAAACTTTTTTACTCTTGGTCTAAAATGTCTGCAGCCCATAAACATATACGTTTCAATTTTTGAACCCACATCGTTTTGGACCCACAACTGTTTTGGACCCACAACTTTTTTGGACCCACAGCCAGTAACAACTGAAAATGGAAGTAGTACATGCAGCTACAGACTATATATCTACCTGTATACAGACCAAATGTTTGATCTGTCAATTAACACTTAAAAGAGATGTTCGACAACAACTGATAAAAAATTCTACACTCATACACAATCTGGTTGGTTCATAAAATAAGATTGTAGATTTCAGATGTGTTGAGTGTAAAATCTGTTTCTCGTGATTTGAACATCACAACAAAAATTGTCACTTTTACACTCTAAAAGAAAGTTGACTACTAGTATCTACAATATTATAGATGTATCACTTTTTTGCTGTATTGCTTATTCTTGAATGTTTTCTCATTGAAATTACAAAATGAGCACATTGTTTCTCTAGATATTGTAAATGGTGAGATTTATTTGCAGTTTGTATCATATTGTACCATATTCTCTCTACTAAATGCACGTACACATTCTCCAAACATAGAACTTTTGGATCAACCCTCGTATTAATGTAAAATAAATATTCAAGTTATGTGTCACTTCTAATGACATCAATGTTACAAATGGAATATATTTTGTTAAAATACTGTAACGAATATGAATATTGAAGTATAGAAAAAGAGGTCCATACTAAAAACTACCAGATTTTTTCCACAAAGAACCACAAGATATAATAGAAATACATGTAGCTCTCTAGTCATCAATTTAGCCATTTTCACGTGTACTTTTTATTATGCATTTACTTCAGAAAATATGGTTCATACAAATGTTTAAATGTACGTACAGGTATATCAGTGTACATATTCCTAAAATATATGATTTCTCTGGATCAAACTATCTTATCTTATCTTACAATTTATACAATAATCAAATCTTATATTTACACTTATTATGCCTTAATTCACTGATTGCGTCAAACTATATACACTACCTTTATCATTATTATCTATATACATGTACATAGCTGCATACTGTAAATCTAGAATTATTTTAAGTTTTATATTTCTCGAATGTTTTTTTAATTTGAAGTTTCCAGTCCATGTTTCTGCATTTAGAATTACTCGAAAGAAACCAACCATTTCAACATTTACAGTATACATACTTGTATTTCTAAATAAATGTGGACCTTTTCTCAAAGATTTTATCATCACAAACTGTTCAATGTTCTTCACTATAGATGTCACTGCAACAGCTTGAACTATTTTTCAAATTATCTTAAAAATATACATGTTTCTTTAATAGCAGTGATCTCCCAAGCATTGAAACAAATGGGTGATTCATCATTTGAAAAAAAAAATCCTTTTGAGATTTTAACATGCAAAATGTCACCAGCTGCCAGTTGATACAGACGCCGACCACCAAACACCAACTGTCGAACACCACCCACAAAAACGTTGGAGACTATAAGAATGTCACCAGTTGTGGTGGTGACATAAAAATAGGCATATTTTGACTTAGGTTTTGATTGCGAAAATAAGAATTTTGCACCCACTTGAGAAAAAATCCTGAGGAGATCACTGAATAGGCTTAATCTGGACATCCCAAAACTGCACTATGATTATGCATTCTGATGTGTACATGTATAACACATATGCTCATATAGAAATTGTAACGTCTGGAATGTAATTTGGCCTTTATATAAAGTTTGGTATACAAAATATCCACACCAGACTGTACGAGAGAAAAGCACACATCCCAATATCACATGTATAGCTTGGCAGGCAAATTACGCTGTGCTACGTCACTGTTGTATTCTTATTAAAACTGATATGCACTCTTTGAGCATCAGCGTCTTCCTGTTGTGTCACTTCGAGAGTGGCATATTCATTTTCCGCTGGTTTCATGCTGGCCTGGTCTAGCCCTGTGTAGTGGTTATAGAGTGGGTTTTCTATAGCATTTCTGTCCCCTGGAATAGGCTGTTCATCAGGGTTAACGTGAATGTTATTGTTTGGCTGGTGATTGGGGTCCTCATAAACAGCACTTGATGAAGGCAGTCCAGATTCCTGTAAACATAAATAGAAGTACATGTATTAACTAAACAGGAAACAAGATATAGTACATGACATGTACATACATTGTATATGGATAAAATAAAATTGAAGGAACGGATTTCTTGGAATACCGATGACAAGATTTATCGCAAAAAGTTCCAAAATGTCCACGAGAATCCAAGATGGCAATCCAAAAGTTAATCAACTCTATAATTTAGTATCCTTTTATCCTCTATCATGTGAACTAATTTGAAGAAAATCAAAAGAGCAGATTTCCTGGAATTGTGATGACAAGATTTATCGAAAAAATTCCAAAATGGCAACCCGAGCTTACCTGACCAGCACTAGGAGGGTTCTTGTGTTTCTTGTAGCCTGGGTTGTCAAATGACACAGATTCCTCAAATTTAAGTCCCTTTTTACGCATTCTACAAATGAATGAAAATCAAAATTTTATAATGCCTTCAGGTGATTGGAATCATGTATTTGCTTATAAGTTTGAATAAATAAATTCTCATAAAAAAATGAAAATCATAATGACCAATTTTTAAAATACAACTGATGATTAAAATACCAGTACAGCTATAACATTTACATATATATTTAGATATATATTTTGTTTTGTTAATCTAAAGAAGTCATAACATAATATCTATTGTATTAGCCTTGACTACACACCCCCCCTCCGATTTACCCGCTCTACCACAGCGTCGTTTAGTAACAATGACCTAGATATATGTGCCCGGGATGTTTGTCGCTATTTAGGTGACTAACCCTGTATTCTCGAATGCAACTAATGCATGCCGGCTATATATATAAGCATCATACATCTTTTGGTATCACTTTATAACATAAAGCTAAATTACTCCCAACAACTAAATAAAATAACACTCGAATTCCTTTTCATCATGTCTACATATTCTATCTGAATTTGTTCACTAAGATAAGAGTTGATGAGATAATGCAACTGTGGATAATCTTTCTAATGATATATTACACTAGGCACCATCTATTAAGGTTTTAACTGGAGCTGGGGGACAGGACTTACTTGAGACCCTCTATGTTTTGTATTGCTACATGCTAGAATCTCTGTATCGTAAAAACCTAAATTGGAATAAACTATATTTGAAAAAAAAGAATCAAATTGACAAGGATTTTAGAAATAAAATGTTGCTATTACCTGAACCAGTAGAAAGCAAATGCAGCCCCTCCAAGTAGGATGAGAAGTGGTATGGTGACCCCTACTCCTATTGCAACTCGTTTCCCATGTTCTGGAACGAACGCAGCAGAAATGGTTAATCACTATATTATTACTGTATACATATCTCATTTTTCATATCTGGTAGGGTTTTCTGGTAGGTTCCTTGCAGATTTACGGCGTTTAGGTGCAAAGTATCACTTTTATCAAAACAAGTGATAATAACAATGTATAAAAAACATGCAAAATGTCACCACCTTCCATTTGTTACAGACACTGTACGCCGAACACCAAGCATGAAACACCATCTTTTGGTATAATACACATGGTTTATCCTTGCGATCCTAAATACTTTTAAGAATGATACAAAGTGTCCCATTTTTATTTGTCCAGCCTGTATAGTACAAAGTGTCCCATTTTCATTTGCCCACCCTGTATAGTACAAAGTGTCCCATTTTTATTTGCCCACCCTGTATTGTACATACCAGCTTGAATCCTGGATAAAGTGTCCCATTTTTATTTGTCCAGCATGTATAGTACAAAGTGTCCCATTTTTATTTGCCCACCTTGATTGTACATACCAGCTTGAATCCTGAATAAAGTGTCCCATTTTTATTTGTCCAGCATGTATAGTACAAAGTGTCCCATTTTTATTTGCCCACCCTGGATAGTACAAAGTGTCCAATTTTTATTTGCCCACTCTGTATAGTACAAAGTGTCCCATTTTTATTTGCCTACCCTGTACAGTACAAAGTGTCCAATTTTTATTTGCCCACTCTGTAAAGTACAAAGTGTCCCATTTTTATTTGCCCACCCTGTATTGTACATACCAGCTTGAATCCTGAATAAAGTGTCCCATTTTTATTTGTCCAGCATGTATAGTACAGTGTCCCATTTTTATTTGCCCACCCTGTATAGTACAAAGTGTCCAATTTTTATTTGCCCACTCTGTAAAGTACAAAGTGTGCCATTTTTATTTGCCCACCCTGTATTGTACATACCAGCTTGAATCCTAGCCATATCAGCTGCAGTGAGGCCTGTCATGACAGTCACTTGGAATGAGCTTGATCCCTGTACTGTAGAACTCCATGCAGCCACATAGAATGTATAAAGTTCCATCTCCATCAGACTTCCAACAGTAGCTTGTCTTTGAGAACTGGCAGTGTTCACCTGTCAAATCAATACAAGTAAAGTAAAATTTGTCTTAGTGAACACCTCTCTATAGGGAACACCTGTGTCTAGTAAACACATGTGTCTAGTGAACACCTCTCTCTGGTGAACACCTCTCTCTATTGAACATCTCCAGTGAACACCTCTCTCTAGTGAACACCTCTCTCTAGTGAACACCTCCTTTCGGAACATACTCATCTGACTTCTGTATAAAATAGCATCTCTGTAGTGAATACCTAGCAAAACTTACTATTCTGAGAAAACCATAGTATACTTTTTGAGTAACGATGACTTGCGACCAAATCACAATTTACGATGGTTCCAAAAATGGACCCCAGAGTAGCAAATAACTCATTTTTTGAGTGGCAATTTTGTACGTTGGATCAATTAAATTCAGTTACTGTACTCTAAGCAATCTTAATTTTAACTTGCAAAATCGTAGAAAATAGATCAAGTAAATACTGGTTCGGCAAAATAGACGAAACAAATTCCAACACAGGGTTTACTCACCAATTTGTATTTTTGGTTTAATGAGCTCTTGTAATAGAGTGAATAGTGTGTGATTGCCTTGTAGTTGTGGCGTGGTCTCTCCCACATGCACTTCACAGCTGTAGCATTCACCAAAGCACACTGCAGGTTTTTGGGATAGCTGGGGACCAGCTCTACAAAAGAGATGCACTATATAAATAAATAAAATGAAACAACAGGCAAAATTAATGGAAATCATAAAATTAACATGGAAAAGTTGAAAAGTCCCTGAAAACAACAGGCGATTTTTTTAAAACAACCGATGAAAATCGCCTGTTGCTTAATGCTAACGAAACTCTGCTAATGAAACCACGGCTAACTGTATATACATGTACTTAAAAAGGATAGAGGAGAGTTGAGGGTTTCAAATTAAAAATTTGCCACAATTCTGCAGTTTATTTTCCTTGTCATGCCTATTTTCTAAAAAAAAGTTGAACAGTTTATTCTTCATATCTGGATAATTCTTTGATTTTCAAGGTATCTACATGTATCTGTCTGATATTTCCATACAATATTGGATTTTATATAATGTGCTAAAATAGTTTTCTACGGTACGCACATTAGATACAAACTTGCGCATTTTCAATAGACCTTTTGATTTCAGTACTAAAAAAATATAAAAAAAGAACTTGAAGTAACTGTAATTATAATTGTTATTATTATTAATTAATATTATTACCACCTTGCCGGGCCAGTTCTAGGGGTTTTAGTGCTAGTTTAGAAGGCATTCATTTTACTATATCGACCTGAGAAATGTGTGACGTCATAGTGGTGGTCCATTCTGGACCGGCAATTTTCCCTGGGAAATTAGATATCGTTCAATGCGTAAGATTTTCTTGCTGTTTCAGTCCTGGTCGTTAACGGTGGTAATAATACTAATAACGTCATTTCTGCGAGCAATATAGTGAAATATTGGACCGAAGGCCCTCGGTCCAATATTTCACTATATTGATTGTACTATTAATTATTAATGGCATTATTCATACCATTGACTGCAATCTTGACTTGGTTAGAGGAATGACTGGAACCATGGTGATTGGTTGCCAACACAAACACTGTGTACAACTTGTTATGCTCCAGTAACTTAGCCTCATATGAGAACTCATTACCATCCTAAAATAAGAACACAATACCCCATGAATTTGTAATCAACATAATCTCCCCAGCATTAAAGCAAGTGAGCGCAGCACCCACCTGAGATTTTTAAAATAGACTAGCACCCAACTGAAAATCCATTTGCACCAACTTGAGAATGAGAAAAATCATGAAATTGGCACTTTGACCAATTTTGAAAATGAGATTGTGAAAATGAGAATATAATACTATATTTGGAAAAAAGCAACAACACTACATAGATTAGCAAATCCCAATATTTTCTTTCTTTCTTATTTCCTTCATACTATGGGACATGGAAATAAACAGGCAGTTGCAGTGTCTCCTTTTGGAAAAAACAATGTTGTAACATAAAACTCTATTTTGAATAAACAAAAAGAAAATGGGGACCATTTTTAAAACTCAAAACAAATGTTTTATATACTTACTACTTCATGTTCTATGGTGCTGCCACCTTGAGGGTGATACGAGACTAAATATTTTTCCACCTTGTCAGGGTTCTTACTCGGAGGACCCCACCTTATAACCATAGAGCCATCATTTTCCTCATTTAGGCGAGCTGTCACAAAGCGAGGAGGTGAAGGTATGTTGTCTGCAAGAAAAATGTTTGTTTTTTTGTATTACTATTTATTTTCCAAACATATTTTACATCACAAATCGAATACTTACAAGAAAAACTTGCAAGAAAAATGTAATAAAGGAGATCTGCTTCATAAACAATTCTCAACAAAAACCTCAGTAATTTTTCAAATTTCTAGTAATTTGATGTAAATTGTGTACTCAAGGCAATTTTGGAAGAATTCTTACTGAAATCTAAATAAGATTTTTCACAATTACAGTAGATGTTTCTTCCAGATTTATTATTAACCAAATATAAACTAAATACACATCCTTTGGGACACTTTCAAACCCATCGTTGCAACAGTTTTGGTATAATGGCCAAAATGTGATATGGAAAGCATTGAAACATTCAAATGAAGTAGAGAAACAACATGTGCCTTGATTACACTGGACTATGGGTGGGGAATACATGTACAGGCCTGTTGCCAGGATTTGCCAAAGGGTTCACTTTTTGAAAAATTCCACTTTTGACAAATTTGGCCCAAGTATGGGCAAAAAGGTGAAACTGCAGGATTTTGAAAGAATTTTTGGCTAGGTGGCTGGGTCACTCGAAGCCCCACGATCCCCCCCCCCCTGGCTACATGTATCATGTATGTCCCAGGTCAAATAACTATAAAACAACTAAGAAAAAATTAGCTTTGATATCTTACCATGTCCTTCCTCCATGCAGTCGATGATATCAGTGGCGCTGAAGAGGCACAAAGACATAGAGAGACCTTCACCAGGAGGTATCTGACCCATACAGGCTGGATGACAGGTTTTGTCAACCTTTTTCTCAACACAGCATTTGGTATGGTTCCTTCCGTCTACATAACAAAATATAAATAAGAACTACATGTACGATGCCCGATCAGAAAGTAAGCAATGAACTGCCTCATTTTCATATGGGGGTAGGCAGAGCACCCTTTTGTTAATCAATATAGCAATAATAAATCAACATTTTAAGAAATTTCATGATTTGAGGTACATCTGTTCTCTGAATGTCAGAGCCTCTTCACTAGGCTCTAAGGAGGATTGGCTCTCAGAGTGCAACATCAACATCTGCAATATTCTGTCCCATATATGAACATGTCATGATTAAAAATTTTATTTCAAAAAGTCGCCATTTTTTTCACTTCGACATTTGAATTGTGAATTTTGGTCTTATTTCCTGATTGGGTAACTGGGTTTTTCCCTGCCTATTCTGATTGGTTAATGCTAGATCAAAGGATAATCTGTAACTCAGAGTGTAGATGAAGCGCTCTTTTAAAGCAGCAAAAACAAATGTTTTAAAAATAGATTGTAGACATTTACATGAATTAGCATAGTGTTGAGTAAATTGCTCACCTGCCGCACATTGGATCATTTTGGTTAAGTCATTTATGCATGTGACCTGATCTGGTATGCTTGTGAGTACATCAAGGTCAATGTCAAAGCTACATGCTGGCATACAGTGGGCTTGCACTCCCTTGCTCTCGCAGCAGGCTGTCACATTGGCCACTGCAGGAGCAATACTCCATTCTGTTACATTGTCATGGTCAAATAATGGGGCTGAAATCAGAGAAGATACCACATTGTCATGATCAAATAATGGGGCTGAAATCAGAGACGAAATCAGATTGTCATGGTCAAATAATGGGGCTGAAATCAGAGAAGATATCACATTGTCATGGTAAAATAATTGGGCTGAAATCAGAGAAGATATCACATTGTCATGATCAAATAATGGGGCTGAAATCAGAGAAGATATCACATTGTCATGGTCAAATAATGGGGCTGAAATCAGAGAAGATATCACTTTGTCATGGTCAAATAATGGGGCTGAAATCAGAGAAGATATCACATTGTCATGGTCAAATAATGCGGCTGAAATCAGAGAAGATATCACATTGTCATGGTCAAATAATGGGCGCTAACTTACGACCACCTTTAAAAAAAGATAATCAGCAGCGTAACCTGAGGACCTAATGATAGGTGAAGCCAAAATTAATTGAAGAGGCAAATTTAGGCTAAATGAGATAGATTATCTGTTTGGATATTTCATATGAACAGTTTTAATTAAAAAAATGTCTGAAAATCTCTAAAACTTGGTGAGCCAATTTCATTGCCTCGCTTGCCTCATGTCTGGCTAAACCTATGATAATGAACTCACGATTGAGTGTCAGGGAGACGTTAGAGCTTCCATAGCTGTTATTAGCCTGGCACATGTAGATGCCATAGTCCCACTTCATCACATTCATGATTTCTAAGAAGAATGAGGTATGACCAATAGTGGCATTCTCAATTCTGTAGTCACGGTTACGCAGTTTGGTTGCCTGGTCCAGATAGGGGGCATCATCCCGTAACCAGCGAAGAGATGTGGGGTACCCTTCTATATCACAGCGTAAGAGGATGTCTATGCCTTTGTCAGCCTCTACATATTGGTTTGGTGTAGTAATATGAATTGCAGGCTTGACTGCAACACAAAAAATATACACAATCCTAAGTCAAAATTAAAAATTATCAAACATAATTACTGTTCAATTTTTATTGTGCCAGGTACGCTTTTCGCTTCCATTTCCACAATGAACTTTGACGATAATTGACAATGAGTTTTCACATACTGTACATTTTACAATGAGATTTCACTTAGATTTGACAATAAGATTTCACTTACATTTCACAATGAGAATCACAAACAGTTGATCATCAGATTTTAAATAAATTTGACAATGATATTTCATTAGTCACTTGACAATGAAATATCATTTACATCTGACAATGAAATATCACTTACATTCGATTATGAGATTAATATGGCCAGTGTTGTTTCCGATGGAATTATTCACAAAGCATTCGTACTGTCCAGCCTCGTCCTTGCCGACATTTTGGAGTAACAGAGACGATTCATTGGTAAGGAACTTATCAAACCTCGTCCACTGTACATCAGGCATGGGCTCCCCACTCCCGATACACTCCAGGGTGACATTCTCCCCCTGTCTAACTCTACCCCCGGGATTCTGGCTCACAGACACCATTGGGACATCTGAAATGTATGCTTTGATGGCTGAATAGATGGTCAACTAGGGACATCCAAGTTAATGTAAATGTGAGCAAATTTTGAATTGGGCTTAATATTGTTTTACGTGAGGCTCAATGCAACATATACAAAATTTACGTAAATAGTACTGTTTAGCCTGCCATGTGTGTTTGGAGTACTGTTTTTTTTGTTTTTATTTATTTCATTAAAACATTATAACATTTGTACATATTCGTGGTCGTGACACCTACATAGGTATATAATTGACCACATCTAAAATTTTCAAGCATACCTATGTATGTATAGTGCTAATCAGTTTACTTGTGTATAAATATAGTGCTGTTTAGCCTTCCTGTAAATACAGTACTGTTTAGCCTACCTGTAAATACTAGGGGTGAGACGAGTCGAAAAAATCTGATTCGAGTCGAATCCGATTCGAGTCAGAAAATGACGATTCGAGTTTCGAATCCGTTTCGAGTCGCGAAAGTGCGAACAACATCGCTTTTGACCGTTCGTATTTTTAATGCGTCAATGGTGGAAAGCCGGAAATATAAACAAACACAATTCTGATTTTACTACATATATTGTTTCATTTATGAGTACATACAATATAATAATTTACTACAAGCATATCCAAGTCATTGAAACTTATATATTCAACGCAATATCGAGTAAAAACATGCATATTGACAGTATTTTTCTGAATTTTTTTATTTTTTCGAATTTTTTTCTCAACTCGAAAATGATTCGATTCATCAACTTCGACTCGATTCGACTCGACTCGAAGCCCCAAACCCGCGAGTCCTCGACTCATCGGGTTGTCGTCTCACCCCTAGTAAATACAGTACTGTTTAGCCTACCTGATGCATATGTATGTATGAAGAAGCTTGGTGAGGGCATACTGGATCCATGAGTGTTAACTGCTACTACCCACACTTCATACAGGGTACTTGGAATTAGCTCAGGTATGGTATAGGGACTGAAGACATTCTGAAATAAATAGCCTTGTGTAAGTTAATGTCTTCAAAAACAAAGCTACGAATGACAAGTCCATGTATTTTTGATTGTTTGAATCAAAAAGCTATATGTATTTAGTCAATTTCTTTTTACTATAAAAATGTTTAATATACACAGCTATATATAATTATAACTACATGTCATTATCAATTAATGTTAATGTCATTAAGACGCAATTTGAACAAAGAAAACAAGCCAGAAAATATTTACTTTTAGTTACTTTGAATAAGGATTTAAACAAAGTTTCAATAATAAAATTTCTAAAGCAGATTTATATTCATACCGCTTTAACCATTCGAGGAATGGTATCAGCCTTCCTGTAATAGACGTCATACACAACCATGTCTCCGTTGCTCACTGGCTCGTCCCACTTGAATGTGGCAAAGTCAATACCAACCTCAGTCACCCTAAATTTCATTGGAGGACTGGGCAGCTTTCCTAAAATTTACAAAGGGCAACATTGGAGGGGATTTCAAAATTGTACATAGTACAATTGTAGATATTACAATTGTGTTGATTGAATACTATAGTGATATATGATATCTCTCCAGTTGGTTAAACCTTGTTTTTATGAAAAAATTGTAAAAACCATGAATTAAGGTACAGATCAAGACTACTTTAATTGTACAGTACATGGTGGGCCAAAAAATTCATACAATTGATTGCTACATCCTCTGTGAAAATGTTATTGAAATTCCAGCATTATAAAAAGTTAAAGCAAAATAAAGACTTTTTTGACCCACCCTATATAATATATCGATAATATAAAACTTACCAATGCCCTCAACATAGCAACTAAAATATTCAGTAGCATATTGAATACAGCCAATTTTTGACTTGTCTGGTTTTCCCCGACAGAAATCAAGGCAATCACTGGATACACTACGTCTCCTGCAGCATTCGCTGTGGTCACGATTGTCTACAATCATAAAAAGCACTTGTTAAAATATTGGCATGAGAGTTAAAGGCAGATCATGAAACATGTGAAAATATGTTTCCAATTATATCAATTTCTATTCAATTTATTTTATAATAATTCTTATATTATATACCTGTGTATATTGAGCATTTTTTGCTGATAAAAATGTTCAGTGCTGGTAGGCGAGAAAAAATGTTGTTTTAGGAGGTGTTTACTACAGAAAGGGTTATTTATATAGTAGTCAATAGAGTATGCGCTGACGAAGGGTGTCTACTAGAGACAGGTGTTCACTAGAAAGAGGTGTTCTCTAGAGAGAGGTGTTCTCAAGAGAGGTGTTCTCAAGAGAGGTGTTCTCTAAGACATATTTTATAGTACACTATAAAATCTAGCTAATATAATAAAATCATGTTGGGGAGATCACTGGGCACTTAGAATAGTGGATTAATCCGGTAGCCGCTATTTGAATTCACGAATACAAGCTAAGTGACTACATGTACATACCTGCCCTGCACATGAACACCTTATCTAGGTCAGTTATACAAGTCACAGGATCTGCACTACTAGAGGCTCCCGTGCACATAGGCATACAAGCTACACATACAAGCTTCATATAAGTGACTACATTTACATACCTGCCCTGCACATAAACACCTTATCTAGGTCAGCTATACAAGTCACAGGATCTGCACTACTAGAGGCTCCCGTGCACATAGGCATACAAGCTACATATAAGTGACTACATTTACATACCTGCCCTGCACAAGAACACCTTATCTAGGTCAGTTATACAAGTCACAGGATCTGCACTACTAGAGGCTCCCGTGCACATAGGCATACAAGCTACACATACAAGCTTCATATAAGTGACTACATGTACATACCTGCCCTGCACATGAACACCTTATCTAGGTCAGTTATACAAGTCACAGGATCTGCACTACTAGAGGCTCCCGTGCACATAGGCATACAAGCTACACATACAAGCTACATATAAGTGACTACATTTACATACCTGCCCTGCACATGAACACCTTATCTAGGTCAGCTATACAAGTCACAGGATCTGCACTACTAGAGGCTCCCGTGCACATAGGCATACACTCTCTGCTAACATTCTGTTCAGTGCAACATTCTACAACATAACATATAACAAACTTCTTTAATAATTCTTTTTAATTGCTTTTAGCCAAAACAAACGGACTATTTGCGTCATACGACAAACTGTGCACATTTGCATTAATATTAACTTTTTTAATAATGAATATGATTATACGTATTAGAAGTGCAGAAAGAAACAAATAAAAACAAGGCATTAATATGCAAAATGTCACCACATGCCATTTGTTACAGATGCTGAATTGAATGCTGACTGCCGGATGCCAATCGTCTTCAAAAAAAGTTGGAGACCATAACAAAATGTCACCGACTATTCTGGGTCGCTCTATCAGTACAAAACTGGTCTTCTTAGAGGCCCGGTGATAATTTACAATATGTACAATTAATAAAAACACATACAAATATATGTATTAACAAGAATTCAAATGTATTTAAGGAAGCTCTAATTACAAGGATTATATTAGCAAATTTCAAAATGTAAGTAATATAAAAATCAACTTTCTCAAAGCATTATATATATTACTTCTCTTTAAAAGGAAACACTTTTAATACAACATTGCTTATATTAGTTAATAACATTTGCATAATATAACTACAAAAGGAAAATATTTTCATGTAATACGTATGAAGACAATGAAACCGTGCTCTTATTCTTTAAATAAAACAGGCTTATACTAAACTTATTCTAAGTCCTTGATTACTTTAACTACCACTTTACCAAAATTGTTCAAAATGATATAAGCTGTTTCCAGCTGATTTATGAAGTCATCTGCCATGGCAATGTCTTCTGGGCTGAGATCTGGCAAATTTAAGACCATAAATGCTATAACAAGATGACTGAAAAATATAGTACTTTTAATTGGAGCAATAAAAACACAGTGATCAAGTGGTTTACTGAACACCAGAGGAAATTTCAGATCGCAGTCATTGGAGCTACGTATACATGTCTTCTGGGTTGAGATACGACAAATTTAAGACCATATATGCTATAACTAAGGTGACTACAAAATGCAATAAAAACACAGTGATCAAGTGGTTTACTTGACACCAGAGGAAATTTCAGATTGCAGTCATTGGAACAATTGAACATATGTATACTTAACTTCATCTCATACACAAAAGAAATCGAGACTATTTCATCATAAATTAAAGTTACTTCGAAATTAGAGGACTTAGTCAGCATTAATTGTGCAACCCCAATAACAAGGCACTAACATGCAAAATGTCACAACCTGTTATTTGTTACAGATGCTGACCATCGAATACCAAATGCCAACCACAAAACACCATCCACAAAAAAGTTGGAGATTATTACAATATGTCACCACTTCTGGTGGTGACATAAAACACCACTGGTGTTTGAGGGAAAAGTTTCATGCATGATGTTGACATACAAATTATTCAATTGAAGTAAATAAACACCATGCGAAAGCAATTAATTATTATCTTATATTACAGGGGCCAGGGTACAGGGATAGCTTATAACATTACCTTCAACATTTACATTCACTGGAACAAAACGGCTTATACTTATATACTGAAAGTCTAGAGTAGGAAATCTCAATAAATTGTGGAAAATTATTAAAATTGACTCAATTTTAAATTTGGACACTAACATAGAGAAAATGTTTTGGAGATAATCAATTGTTTTCATACACATAGTAAAAATTTTAGTTAAAATAGAATACATACACCTGTCAGTCAATAATGTTGATTAATATAAATATCAAAATTTGTGAAACTTCAATTTTTTAGCTTTTAAAGTAAATCTGAAATCTGAGGTCGGATATGAACTCCTGAAAACTTGTTTTATAACTGCTTATTTAACATAACTTGTATTAATTTAAACCAATATTGAACAGTTTGTGACATACCCCAAAACTGGGGCAAAATTTGTCCAGTTGAAACACTTCAGAGTGAGTGAACAGTTACACATTCATAAGTACCTGTGCTATTGGCTGGTAGTTCTCCAGGGTAGATAGAGCCATTTACTACAGGGGCCAAAGTAGGGTCAACTGTACTAGCTGAAAAGACACAACGCATTGTTATATCATATGCTCTATCCATATGTTAAGACATTAAAACGTGATATGAATGAAATGCATCGTTTGGACATGAAAACTTTAAACTCTTAATTTGTACATAAAACACAAAATGTGGCAAATGATTATTCATCAACAGAATATGAAGACCACCTTTATTTTACATTATTTAAAAGTTCTTGAACTTTTGTTTGCTGGGGATGTATCTGGGTTTAATTCTTTGACTGATTAATTACACAAAAAAAAACTTCATATTTTGGCCCATCCCCACTTACATAGAGGTTTTGTGATCTGCTTTATGGTTGGTGTGGCTTGACTGAGTCCCCCTGTCTGTGAAACAGCAACCACAAACATCTTGTAGTACGTACTAGGCTCCAAGTTCTGCACAATTATTCTAGTATCTGTGGTCACTTTCTGTAAGAGGTTTGTAACTAATTTGTATATCAATTTATTTAAAAATCAAGCATGGTCCATAGATCAGACAAGTAAGACAAAACTAGAAAATGGTAATAGAGAAACCTGATTTTAATGTTACATGTATGTGCTTTTTGTGTGCAAATGAGTAAACGAGGAATTAACATGCAAAATGTCCCCCACCTGCCATTTGTTACAGATGCCAAACACCATCCACAAAAAGTTGGAGACTATAACAATTGTGGTGTTGACAAAAAATTGTTAAACTGTAACAAGATGGTCATTTTAATAAAACTATCATACTATTCCAATTAAAAACAAAACACATTCCATCAAAAGGTGTACTGTTAATAGACATTATGTTTGTTTTTGTTTTATATTTGTATGTCATTCCAAATTCATTTGATACAGCAAACTTATCGATCATGATTGCTAATCTGACATAAACTTGGGAAGAAAAAAAATCAAAAATTCAATCTAAGCAGCTAAATGCATGTTTCCCATGTTCTAACCATACCTTTTCCATACTGTCAATGTCAAGGTCAGTTTGGCCATAGTAGAACCAGTACTCCTGCATTATGTCAGCATTCCTTCCCGGCTCCACCCAAGATAGGCTGATAGTATGCGAGGTGGCGCTCTCAATGTGGAAGTCGCGGGGCATACCGGGAAGTCGATCTATAAATCAACAGGGTATTCAATTTAATCTATTTAAGAATAACACTTATCCTTTTATATTTTAATACTGCTACTAATGGGTGTCTAGAGAATCCAAAGTGGCATAAATCAAATCTTATTGTGAAATACATGTAGGTCGCAAAAACATATATGTTTTGTATGTTTCTTTAAGTTTGGCAACTGGAGGATTTCATTGGATAAAGCCTTTCAATATTAAATCTAAACCTTGTCCCTTACAATGGTGAACTTATTTAAATTGACAAAAACAAACAGGCTTTGATCCAAAGGAACTTCCAGTTGCCAAACTTATGAAGGGGAGTGTATCTCACTATCTGGTGTAACTATCACATAGAAAGGGGACTTATATGCCTTTAGAGTGACACATCAACTTACTTATTCCCTCGAAGAAGCAGCTCTTCACATTGTCAATAACATCATCACGTAAGCAATCTGCATGTTCACTTGTCACCTCTATTGGGGCATCATATCTCACATTACAGAACTGAACACATTTGTCGGGAATTTGTCTTGCCATGCAGCAGGACCTGTGATCCCTGCCATCTAAAACACAATAATTATAATTGTATGTAGCTAAAATACAATAATTATTGTATTCATCTAATACAATAATCATAACCCAGTGCTTAAGGCACCTAAGTGCATCTACAGTAAGCCCCTAAGTTCTCAATAATACAACATTTTGCAATAACTTTGATTTGGATACAAGAAAGATATACTTTGTAGATACATGTATCTCAAAATTAACAAGATTACAAGGTGGACATCATGATTTTCTTAATGCAACCAATTTATCATTGTTGATGATCCTACGAAATATGAAAGGGATTGAAATATTTAGTATTTGAATTACCCAGAAAGACGAATGGGTTGATAAAGGGAGGGCTTTACTATATCCCTAACACAGTGAAATTACCATATATGATTGCACATGTAAATATGAAGACAATTGGTTTGCTAACATTTCTTTTCCAGAGAGACAGACTGAATGATCGAGAAATGGAGGGCTTCACTAGCCTATATCCCTAACACAGTGAATTCCCCATGATTGTGCATGTTCCGGGTTTTACTATATCCCTACTAGTGAAGATGGCTATAAAATAGACAACTGTACCTGCACCACAGGCAAGGAGCTTGGAGATACTGGCAGCACAAGCAATCTGTGTAATTCTATCTGCCCGTTCATATGTACACAGTGACTGGCAGCTCTCTGAAATACCATTCTTAACACAACAATCTGAAACATGAAAGAAAAGTATGTTTGAAAAGCAAGTGGCTTTGAAATTATGTTCACTGCTCATCTCAAACAGAACTGGACAGCGCTGTTTTCTAAAATGCTGTACAGCACTGTACAGTGCAGCATTCAGACTGCACTGTTCAGAACTGTTTACAGCTCTGAACAGTCCTGCAAGATGATGTTGCAGAAATCAGGTGTAACCCTCTGTACATAAAACAACAAGGTCCATCGTTTAGTTATAGATTGCAAATATAGAGTGCAATAGTCACTTTTTTATGTTTCAACAATTGTACAGCCTAAAATTGTAGTCTAAAATAAACCCCTTAAACTCCATGTTAGATATAACACTTCATACACCCTCTTTAAGAGGTTCCATTGGGGTAGAAGTTGTAGAAGTCAGTGATTTAAAAATGAAGACACTCAGGTCCAAAGCAAAGAAGGGGGAGGGTTGGGGGTTCGGTTTAGGGCTAAAGTTGTCAAATGTGAACGTCCTTTTGACGGGCCTGACACTGTAGGGTGCACTGAATCCATTGTAAAAGTGGTAGCTGCATATGCACTGACTCACCTTTATAATCATGAGGTGCTAGAGTGGGGTGTGGGGTCTCAGTGCCAGGGACGGAGATCTCTGGGACATACGTGCTAAAGTTGATGCGGCTTGAGGGGATGCTAGAGCCTCGACTATTGGCAGCCTGGACCTGCACCTCATACAGCGTGCCTGGCTTTAGTTTCAGCAGTTGCACATCTAATCTACCACTCACTATCACCTAGAAAAATGCAAAACCATTCTTGTATTATGATTTACAATCAAAAAGCATAATTCACATGTGTCACATGATATATTATTATGTGTTTTATTTCAATTGAACAGCCTTTCATCCATAATGTTGAGTAAATATACCAATTCTTGTAGTCTCTGGAAGAACAATGTTTATGTGATGCCTGATTGCCTGACCACTCACCAACATACCCACTTTTTATTGCACACTGAAAAAGTGTGATAAAAACCAACAGATCTAATCTTTGGATCATTCTTAACAGATCATTTGCATTTAAAATGTATACCTGTACATTTCCAGCATTGTCTGCTTTCTCTTTGAACTGCACTAGATACCATTTCACCTTGGTTGGGTTGTCTGCAGGGGGAGACCAGGACAATTCAGCAGTTGTTGTCGATACATCAACCAGCTTAACAGATTGAGGCACTCCTGGTATTTCAGCTGAAAAACACATCTTAACACTGCATTTCTCATGCAATCCTTTATCCCTGATGTCATTTTTAAAATTGTTTTTAAAATTTCATAAAATGGCTTATTTTATGACATCAACGAAACAAATGAAACATGCTTCCATCAAAAGAAAATCAGATTTCTCCAAAATAAGGAAGATGAAACCCATAAAATGGATATGACCATATATGGTTTGAACGATCGGTAGTTTATAGTTGTCAGAAAAATGCTAACAAATAGAAGGAAATAGAGGCGGATTTACGAATGAAGGAGAATGTCATTTCATGTCATGATTTCAATTCTACTTGTATGTTAAATGTGAAATTGTCTAAATATAGTCTCAATATTTACATGGCATTTGATAAGAAATGCGTCATTTGCACTTTTTGTATATGCAGTTTTTTGACTTTGAACAAAAGCTCTCAGATTCTGATTCCCTTTTAAGGATAAGTTGTGTTGATCAGCGAGTACAATACAATACTTCTCGTCGGTATACTGTACACCCCCAAAATGCAATCAGATTTTCGACGCTTTTTTTTTTTTTTTTTCGGTGCCAAATTTTGTTGTGTCGTTTCGATACCAAATGGACTGACTAGTCCCGTGGCAAATTTTGGTGTCAAAAGGTTTCGGTGCTGGAACGGTGTCAAAACGGTGCCGGAACGGTGTCGAAACGGTGCCGGAACAGCGCCAAATTTTTTCGATGCCGAAACGGCGCCGAATTATATTGGCTGTGTAGTTCTATGACAGCAAACAAACTTACCCAGGCCAACTGTGAAACACTCAGCCATAATATCCATGCTCATTAGACACTTCAAATTGGTGAAATCAATAGGTGCTGGTCGTCCAGAGCACAACTGTGTACATGTATCATCTAGTCCATAATTCTTACAGCATACAGAGTGATTCTTGCTTCCTACATTGATATTAAATAGGAAATATGATAAACTTGTGGTATATGTTATGGGTGTAGCGCCCAGTACGCGGGTACGCACAGGCACAGGCGTACCAGATGGTTGCAAATTTGCTCCAAATACAACCAAATTTCAAAATTTTCCCCTTGAATGCTCATTTTTTGCTAAGCTCAACTCTTCCCTTGGTGGCGTACTACTTAGAAAAATGGCACTACGCTCATGTATGTATAGAATAGAGTAGAGTTGGGGCAGGTTGGGGTCGGGTCTCTGGTTTGGCCTCTCAGGTCAGGTCAGGTCACGAGTCATATACTAATGATGGTGGCTCTCATAAATTGACATCAATATAGCAAATCTGACCCGTTCATGAATCGAGTCAGGGTGATATGACGGGTCGACCCAACCCGTGTGGCAAATAACTGCGGTTAACCGACCTGGCCCAAACCCGACCCTTCTCTGCTAAAGAGACTGTTGATACTCCAATACAATATTTTAAACACTTTCAAATATCAGAACTATAATCATAAAAGTTTTCTCCACTTTTTACAGTGACCTTCTTCCTATGTACATTTTAGAAAATCAATACAGTTATTGGGGTGATGTTTTGAAATCGTTAACTTTTGTGGATCAAGTCAAGGCATAAGGCTATCAATATGTTACCTACCTGAGAAACACCCTATAGCAATATGAGCTTCCTTCAGACAGGCACCTATGCGTAATGGCTCAGCTAGCGAACTGTCTCCACTACACAACACACGCTGACACGTCACAGACACGCCACTCCTTGCACAACATTCTGAAATAATAAACAGTAAACACTTCGATGGAACAGAAGGTGGCTTCCCTATAAATATCCTTGAGAAATCAGCATACCTGGCCCACTCTATACATATTCAAAAGCCGGCCCACTCTGTACATATCCAAAAGAAGTAGGTCTTCCTGGCCCACTCTGTACATATCCAAAAGAAGTAGGCCTACCTGGCCCACTCTGTACATATCCAAAAGAAGTAGGCCTACCTGACCCACTCTGTACATATCCAAAAGAAGTAGGCCTACCTGGCCCACTCTGTACATATCCAAAAAAAGTAGGCCTACCTGGCCCACTCTGTACATATCCAAAAGAAGTAGGCCTACCTGGCCCACTCTGTACATATCCAAAAGAAGTAGGCCTACCTGGCCCACTCTATACATATCCAAAAGAAGTAGCCCTACGTGACCCACTGGCACTCTGTACATATTCAAAGGATGTAGGCTTACATGGCCCACTCTGTGTATATCCTAGAGAAGCAGGCATGTTTTCAACTTGTCATGAACCCTGTTTAAGGCTATTATTATAATTGTCAACTAAAGAGGGTCTAATGATGGGGAAAAAACGGCTTATAGTCTTGTACTCACTCTGTATATCAACTCCAGCTGAGGGACCACCATCAGACATAGTGGTGGCCGAAACACTGTATGAAGGCTGGCTAGATCCACGCTCATTAAGTGCTGTAACATACAAACTGTACTCTGTGGAAGGGTTCAAGCCTGAGATGGCCCTTGATGTGACAGTGGATTCCAATTGCTGACTCTTGTACCCCTGATTCCTCTTATTACTCTCTTGGTAGAATATCCTGTAGCCGGTTAGAGGAGACAGCAGCTTGTCATTGTTCTCTGGGGCTGACCATTGGAGTGATATCTTGTTATATGCCATACTGTTTGCAGCCACCGCAGTAGGTGGTCTGGGTAGAGTTACTGGAAAATAATTGGAGTTTTTTTCACATCAAAGAAACTCAGATCTATGGATAAATCATTATTTGAATAGTGCATCTGACATCTGAGATATCTTATTTTTTTTAGTTTATGTTTAATTCATTTCATAACACTATTCATCAAATAAATACAGGGATATGGGTCTGAGATATCATTTTGTCACATTTTCAAATACAATTACTTATAGCATGCATGTTCATAGTTCACTGTACAGGGTGGTCAAAAAATGAGGGTCTAACTTTAGATATCCCTCTAGCATGTGAAAATATTAGCAGGCCCGCAGTCAGGGGGGGTTTCAAAATCATGCAGTTTTTCACCATTTTGAGCACTTCTCAGGTGATTTTAGCCATATTTGGGCCAAAATTGTCAAATGTGAAATGCCCTGGAAATGCGCCTGCCCTGGAAATTTTTGAAAAATGAACCCCCCTTGGCAAATCCTGGCTCAAGCCTGATTAGCCCATTAATGCAGGTAATTACTGACATATAGCTTGCTGCAAGGGTCCCTTTTTGGACCACCCTGTATAATGTAATAAAAACGAATCCTTACATTGGCCCTCCTCAAAGCAGGAAACAACTTTCGTGGTTGAAGTCAGACATATATCAAAGTCTGCAGTCAGTGGAATAGCTTCGCCATAGCACAAATCGATACATTTTGCTGGAATTCCTCTATTGGCACAGCATCTTGCGTGGTTTCTCCCATCTTTAAATAAAAACATATTCTTTCTATGTAAAGACAAAGTACTGTACTCAATGTTTTTTTCTGTAACAAAACCTGGTTGCAGGAAATAATACTTATCTTAAATCTACCTAAGAGGGAGAATAACATATCTTTATGCAAAAAAGAACCTCTAAGTATATCTTTACATGAAGATCAATTCATATCTGAATTTGGGGTAATTCCCCCTCTTGGTACAAGTTACACTAAAATACTTACTCTGATAAGTGACATATTCATGTCATTTATTATGCTTATGTGTATTTTCATGAAAAATAATCATTTTACTAAAAAGTGGATTTTCTTGGATTGAAGATTTTTATTACATATTGAGGATTAAATGTACATGTTCGTGTTTCCTCTCACCTGCACCACATTTCAGCAATTTATCCAAGTCTGTTTTACAGTTATCAGGATTAAATGTATCTAAATTCACTGTACTGGGAGCACATATAGGTAGACATTGTGCAGAAACTTCAGCATCCTTACAGCATTCTGGAATAGAGTTAACGGGTAGTTATAGCTACGGTTTTAAGATAACCTGTACATGGGCATGCAGGCCGTCAATAAAATTTCCCAAGACGGGGAGACTCTTGCGTATAGATGGGTTGTGCCGCCGACACATTGCAAAGAGTCGCCAGCAAGGAGCATATTCTGAGCATATCTCAGAGCTATGGAAACCACTCTCTAATCAATTTTTTCTGAAAAAAGGGGGTCACCCCCAAAGCGCCCCACCCTGTTAAGATGAGCCATGCATGTATTAATAATGACACCAATGACTGTTCCCCTCTTAATTGGTGATATTGACGCCTGATGAGAAAAAAATATATATCATTCAAAATATTGACATAAGGTAGAGATCTTCAATAGGGGGGCATTTCCAAAAGGAGCAGGTCTGCCACAGAGTGCAGTACCTGCTTACTTGTAATGCTGGGGATATCACTGCTAGCAACTTCCTGCAATGTTGCCTTTAGATCACCCCTAATCTAATTTCTACAGTATATGACATCATACAGGGAAAACTAAATCGCTTACCCAAAGTATCTACAAACAATAATTGAAATGGTCATTTCTTATTTCTTATATGACAGGTTTTCAACAAGATTTTCAACATCAATTAAAGGCCACATGTTACGAAAACAATAACTGCCTGATTTGCGTCAACTTACTTGTGAAGTTAGCTGGAGGGAAAATTATTGGTTCACTTGTGGGCGGAACTGCCCCCTTCACTGTGAGTGTATTAATCTGTTTGATGGTGCTGCCCCCTCCTGTCACCTTGCATACATAAACACCATGATCGGTGACATCTATATCTGAGATCTGAAGGTTGAAGTGAACTGCGCCATCTGAATCTAAAGTAAAAGCATTCATCTTTTTGACATTAAGACATATTACTTCCTTCCTATAATTATACATGGGTGAACTTGAACATACTCGTTTCCCAGTTTGATTTTCAATCACACTGGTATCAGTGGACAACTTTTCTATTAGAAAAACAAACGAACCATCTGATTGGTGCACATTAAAACCAGTGCACAATCAGATGATTTGTTTGTTTTACTCTAGGATCTCATTGGTCAGACTCCTTTTAAGCCATATTTAATGGCCCTTAATTATTTACGAATGAGATTGACTGATCAGCTTCTATCTACTTTATACATAAGAATTAGCATAACGTAGGCTGGATAAGATGATATCTCATTCATCAGATTCCTCAATCTATGACAAATTAATAGGGTTTTGGGCAGAAATATCAGCCTGATATTCCAAGGTATGAACACATCATACCTTGGAAATCCAAGATGGAACTTGAATGGGACCAGGTGAATCATACAGCGTACATAGACACAGTTCTAATGTATATACCACCTAGATAAAATCTATTGAAACCCCTAAAATTGGCAGTCCCCTTATCTACCATGTGGCTTTACTGTATCAAAGACTGGTAGAGCCTGATCGACGCTAGTGGGAGAAACTCCCCGTCACACGAGTTTAATTTGAATAATGAGACTGCTGAAGAAGCAAACCAGGAATTAAATGTAAGAATAAGTCTTAAAACTTTCATATCACCCACCAATGAGTGGAGTATTTGATATTATTATATCATTGCTAGAATTTGTGTCCTTTGATTGGCTGATTCAGTACCATGTGATCAAAAATACCAAAGTGTATTTCACGGCTCCCTTAATTTTTGAATTATAAAAGACGTATTGCCTGGCGTATTGCCCGCCCAGGAATTCTGAATCGTCCCGTTTCGTCCAGTACAGTTGTGACATGCATTAAAATGGCAGACGGAAAAAGATTTAAAAGTCTGAATTTCGATGAAAAGAACGACATTTTAAGGGATGTGCATTCTAAAACACCATTAAATCAACGGAAAAGTCTTGGAACATTTTCAAGTGTTATGTGGACGAAAAAGATATCGGAATAGACGTTAAATCTATCAATAAAATCGTTCTGGATGGAATTTTAGAGGATTTTTTTCTTGAACTGCGAACGAAGGATGGGGAATATTACAAGAGTGCCAGTCTGCAAAGAAAGCGAATGTCTAGCAATGATATAATAAAACAAATATTTCATTCTATGTTCAGGCAATACCTGTTGCACTTTCAATGATATTTGCAGCATGTATTTCCAAAGCTTATTGCTTATATTTGCTCTGTCTCTCAGATAGCAGGCCCTTAGCCAGGGTGTGCAAATGAACCTCACTAGGCCAAAAGTTCTTTCAAAATTATGCAGTTTTTCACCATTCTTAGCACTTTTCAAGAGATTTTGGGGTCAAAGTTGTCAAAAGTGAGCCCTCCTGGAAATTTTGGAAATGAGAACCCCCTTTGACAAAAGCTGGCTATGGGCCTGGATTAAGTCATGGTTGTTTTACCTGTCATGGGACGAACAATCTGATATTTTCTCACTGTTTCAGCAAGTATGGTTGTGCCTATGGAGATCTGGAGATTATGGTCACTGTACACCCACTTCACCTACAAGTAAATGTTACCATATCAGAATCAGAAAACACCTGTTGAGAATTGGGAATTGAAATGTTACAATGTTACCATGTCAGCATCAGGAAACACCTATTGAGAATTGGGAATTTAAATGTTACAATACATATGATAACCAAGATAAAGGGTGTGCCCAATCTCATTTTTCAAAGCAGAAAACATTTTCATTTTTCATTGCTTTGCTTCATATGGGATTATGAGAATTTATTCCATAGTTAGCATGATATTCATAGGATAACATGTCAAAATAAAAACTGTATTTTTGTAATCAGTGGTAAAATCTGATATCTTTGACAAATTTTCACTTAACCATAGCATACGGTGTTTAAGCCATGACATACAACGCCGTATGCTATGAATTACGGATTTTTGCTACTTCAGACTCAAAACGAGGCTAAGTGTCAACATCGCCGGATCGTTTGGAAAATTCGAATTTAATTTCCGACGATTCTGATGATGACTTTAACTAGCTCGCTCATGCAGATATCATATCCATTCATGGATAAAAATCATCACTCATAAATCATAGGATATCCTCTATTTATTCCATAATACTACTGTTTTCCTTGTAGAATAAAATGGTATTACATTTTTGCACGTTTCTTTCTTATGTTTTGTTATAACCATGAAAGAAGTGCATAAAATATATTAAAACTTATAATTGGATATAATTCGTTGTGTCTACCATAATCATGCTTTTTTGTTAATCAAAAAAATTATTTATTCAAATTATGACATGACAATTTATATAGTTTATACAGGGGGAGGCCAAGAAATATTTTTTGGGCCCTAAAATTTTGTAAGGCCACAATTAGTGAACCTTATTGGGCATAACTTGGCCTTTTTTAATTCAAGGTCGAAAGTATCAAAAAATGGGTTTCAAATTTTCAAAAATTAGGCCTAATTTTTGGTTTAAGGATCCCAAAAATTGTTCTGACTTGTTAGTTTCTTGATCCGCCAGTGCTTATGAAATCAATCTGCATCGTCATTGCATAAAAGGCCACATTTCTGGTGAAACAGGAAACAGAGAAAAATGGAATGATTGTTTCTAGTACTGTTACACTGACATTTATTGATATCGCTATTTATGAGGCTTTGTGAAGCATAATTATTCAATTCATCCTCTACAAGGGAAATCAATATTATGTAATAAGAGATACTGCTTTTATTAAGCATCACTATTTATCATAAGAAAGTAGGATGTATTAAAATTGCAAAAAAAAAGTATATACAAACAGTACAGAAAAACCTGTATAAGCAATCATGTCTCTAATCTGAACATTTTTTGGTCCCTTTTAATCTACCATTGACTTTCATGTTAAAAACTAAAACTGTGAATACAGTAAAACCTGTCTTACTGAACACCTCTCTCTAGTGAACACCTCTCCCTAATGGACACCCTTCCTCTGCACATACTCTACTGACTTCTGCATTAATTACCATCTCTGCAGTGAACATCTACCAAAACTGAATGTTTTTTTTCTCAGCAAAAAATGCCTATCTAAATTCCTTTGACTGATCTCAGTAACGTTCAGGTAGACATTGCTTGACTGTACATTTATAAGGTAGCACCAGTCTTACAGGTTCACATAGACAATAATAGTTCTCCTAATGCCTGCATGTGAAGATGCATAGTGAAATCTGTAAAGTGGAACATCTCTAGAAGTGAAACACCTATGTTGGTAGAACAGTTTTCAGAGTCCCAAGATCAACTCACTTAATATTAAATGGGCCTTTTTAAATGGAACACCTCCCAAATTGAACACCTTTTAGAAGTACCAATGCAACAGGTATTCCACTTGGACAGGTTTTACTGTGATTATGAAGTTACTCATAAAATATCAGGGTACCTGTTGAAATGTAGCAATTATCTATTATTGGATATAAAGGCACACTGCCAATAACACATTGTTTGTGAATTATTGGGACTTAAAAAGTTCAACCACTTCTCAGCTGTTTTATCATTGATACATCTAATGGACTTTCAGATAATTTCAATTCTCTAATTTTTCAAATGGATTTTTTTGCCTTAAAATCAAAGCTCATTGTATTTCTGTACATAGTTTGGCAATTTAGCATATGAAGTAATCATCTTTATATATTACAATTAAGTCAGCGAGAAAATCAAGACAAAATGTTTTTTAAACCTAAAAATAAGCAATCAAAGGACCAAGGTGCAATAGTATAAAAAAGAATACATTCATATTTTGAATACAAAACAATTACTCATTTTGGATTGCTTGCAGTATGGCTAGCACATGTGAGGCCTCTTATTTTGATGCTTCTATGTAAAAAAAACCTTATGATTAAGCCCCCCCTTATAACACAAGGCTACAGATTTACTGGAACTACAAAATGGATAAATGGCATTCTCCAAATGCAGTGCTCCAGACATCATCCACAATGTTCCTTCCTTCTTTCAGAGGAAGGAGGTACAAGTTCTGGAGGCCTGGGTTCAGAGGATGATGGGAGGAGACATCCTCTAAATCCCCAAACTTCATTTGATGATGTAATTATATACCATAGTCCACTGAAAGAACTATTCCTTCATAGGCATCAGATATCATTAAGGCTAACTTAGTTGACCTCTTTATGTAGTCTTGGTTCAAGATCCTGGACCCCCCCCCTTGTCTTCTTTACAACAGTCGTTAAAGTAGATAAGGGGGGGGGGCAGGGTCTTGAAGCAAGACTACGATTTATGAATATGAGGTGTAATCCAAGAGTAACTTATTTACAATCATTATACTGAACCTTGAAGTTATAGGTGACCTTACATTTCAACATGACTCGGTAGTTTTACTTCCTCTATACAGGCCTTCAAGTGACACTTGCAAAACAATATTGTGAAAAACCTATATATTGACCTATAATGTGGCCATTGCCAAGTTCAGTAACCCTAGGTTAAACAGTCTAGGAAATGATACTTTGACACAACATTAGATGTTAAGGGGGGCCAGCAACTGTCAAGAGGGGTGCGATTTTTGTGTTTGTATCACTGTGAGTGAAGGGGGTGTGGGGTTCACCCCTGGAAATTTCTAAAAATCTATATTGTATATGATGCATTCTAAGCATTTCATAATAATTTGTTAATGTTTTTTCAACAAATTCCACAAAAATACTTTTTTTCTTTTTTTTTTTGGGGGGGGGTGGTCGCACCCATCGTAACCCCCTTGGCCACACCAATGAAAGATGCCCTTTTAACATGTTGTTCATAGACACTCACCTCCCATTAATCATACTGAAGACTGACAAGCGAAGATACCCCAATTAACACATTATAATGTATGGTATATTATATTTATTTATTGGCTGTATTTTTAACCAATTCATTATCTCAGAGAGAGTGTTGTAGTCGCGTCTGAAGGTTGTTAATGAGCGTATATCACAATGAATAATTTAGAGGTCTGCAGACAATGTCACGCACCATCAAGCTTGGAATATATTTGCCAGGTATCATCATGTGTGATGATTGTTTGAGAGTAAAACAATAGTTACATGGAAAGCGTATAAAATAGATAGTCCCAATACACAAAGAAAAGTTGTTTTTTTATAAATCATTAATTGAGTATTTACTTATTTTTCTCATTCTAAATGTTTAATAAATATTAGAAGCACCAACAAGACACACAAAACACAAGTCACGCTTGTAAACAAAGAATATAACATTCCTCAAAAAATCTTCGAACTGAACTTATGGCATAATATCTACCAATAATAAATGATTGATTTTTCAGAAATAATTGCCTCACTGAGAATCTTAGTAATATCTATAAACAACAATTAAATTATTCACCAATGAATCCAATTCAAAGTCAAATAAATAGCCCAATAAAATAAATCGTTAATATACCAATTTCTAGAAATTGAGTTTGTCTTAGGCATTATGGAAGAATGAAATAAATAGAAAATCTATTTCGATAAAATATTGAATATTGCGCAGCTAACTAGTTACTATGAAGAAGACAGTAGATTCATGCTTGAGCAACTTCTTTCTTGATTAGAAAATTGCTGTATCATAAATTCAGACTGTCAGATCTAAACTTGTGTTGCCCTGGGATCAATATGACTATACCCCATCAACCACATTGAAGCCAGTGCTTTCAATAATGTCACTTCATTTATCATGACGACCAACCAACTTTGCGGCTGCTCAAAATACAGGGTGACCGGAAAAAAAGGAGACCATTGAAATAGGCAATATCTCCTAAAATAGACTAGTGACATCAATGAAATTTTGCATACATCAGGACAGTTCTATGGAAATTTGTTCCTGAAAGTGTCAATACAAGCAGTCAACTGGTTCAGGAGCTATGATCATTTACATAACATGCTCCAAATAGGCGCAATTGAGACCAACGCAGAGCTGGATACATTTGGCAAATACCCTTACATATTCCGACCTTGTTATGGCATTACATTTAGCATTTATTGCCACCTTTAGGTCAGCAATTGTCTCAGGATTGTTTTGGTACACATTGTCTTTAAAATTGCCCCACAAAAAGAAATCAGGTGGATTCAAATTTGAGGTGTATGGAGACGAAGCTTATCTGACCTATAGCTTCTGACTCAGTGGTCCCACTCAGTTACAGTATCATCCTAAGGAGGTTTTGGGCAGCCCTTGGTTTCCATATGGGATTTAATTGTGCCATATAGTGGTTTTAGTAACATGGCACTATGCCCAATACCTAAAGTGACTCTTAAGATTGGGTAAATCAGCACTTTGGCAACAGGATGATGAACCACATGTCAGATAACCCTTCATTGCCATTACAGCCTAGACTTGAATCCTGCTGATTTCTTTTTGTATGGATATTTGAAAGACAATCTATACCAAAACAATCCTCAGACTATTGTTGACCTAAAGAAGGCAATCACTGCTATATGTAATGCCATAATAATGCCATAGAGGGCAGAACATGTAAGGGTAGTTTGCCATATGAATCCAACTCTGCGTTGGTCTCAATTGTGCCTATTTGGAGCATGTTATGTAAATGATCATAGCTCCTGAACCAGTTGAATGCTTGTATTGAAACCTTCAGTAACAAATTTCCATATAACTGTTCCAGTGTATGCAAAATTTCATTGATGGCACTTGTCTAGTTTAGGAGAAATTGATTACTTCAATGGTCTCCTTTTTTTCCGGTCACCCTGTAATTCTTAAGGACAATCTGATCTTTCTACAACATTGATGACCATGTGCTTTTTCAGATGAACATTACTCATTCCAAACACAGTCATAATCTTTTTTTTCATAAAAGCTGCTTTAGTGTACCCAGATTATTAATTGAGTGTTAATTTTTCTTTAGAATGTATAGGTATTAAATAACGAGCAGTCTTATTTTCACAATTGCAAAAAAATGCAGATTAGCCTTAATAACAATAGAACCTACTAAGTGGAACATCTCTATAAGTGGAACAGCTCAAGTGGAACACATTTTCAAAGTCCCATTTAAAAACTCATTGACTTTATGTAAATTGAACCTTTGAAAATGGAACACCTCCAAACTTGAACATTGAACATGTCATAATGAAAAGTTAACCTGTGAAAGTGGAACATTGAATTTTCAAAAATGTACATTTATAGTATATGATACTAGTATAAGATCAACATAGAGGATGTGATATAGCCATACTGCTACTACTGCCTAAAAACCTACTTAGAAAATATTTTTGAAGTTATATATAATAGTCCCTGATCTGGTCCCTCAGAAAAAGATTCGTTGTCCGGTACTTTCCCACAAAAATGATTTCGTTTTAATCCCAATGACCTAATTTCGTTTTGGATGTGTTCATAATTGATAAAAGTAACTATTTCCATGCTATATTCAATGAAACCTTTGAGGGCATCTTTAGGTACATGGGGTAACGGATCCTTTCAAAAATGTATATGTATAGTACATAATATTAGTATAAGATCAACATAGAGGATGTGATATAGCCATACTGCTACTACTGCCTAAAAAACCTAAGTTAGAAAGTATTTTTGAAATTATGTATTGTTTTCTTTACAATGTTTTTTCAATAAAGTGTTTTCAGAGTTCTAATTTAATCATCTAATAATTGACTACCCAGTTTTCCGTAAGTTTAAACAATGATTCCTGCAAATGATATGAGAGAATTTTGCAGGTCAAATGATAATTCTGATCTGCTGGACTTCCTTCCGAAAAATTAGGATATGAAAGCATTCAAAAAAATATTATAATGGTACTTCATGCAGTTCCCTTTCATTTGTGTAAACATCAATAATGATGCATCGCTACACTCCTTGAGTCAAAAGTGGTGCATATTGGGAAGGGACATTGACTTTGGACTGATGGATGGGCTTGGTAGTTGGTGCTCTTGCATCGTCAGCAGGTAGCGTGTTCATTACATTGCTTGCATAATTCATTAGTTTCTATTCTACAGTTTATGTAAATGCAATGCCACACAGTGCCTATCAATAGCCACATTAAACAGTAAAGAGCATAACAGCCAATCACCCAGGCCCATAGCCAGTTTTTGCCAATGGGGGCTCAATTTTCAAAAAATTCCAGGGGGTTTACATTTGACTACATGGGCCAAAAATCACTTGAAAAGTGCTCAAAATGGTGAAAAACTGCTTAAACCCCCCTAGCCCCCCTGGCTATAGGCCTGCACTAATATGAAATGTTAAGGAAATACGTATGGAGAAAAACCAGGAGAGATGGTAGTTCAGCATATCTGAAGTATTTTTCTGCCTGACCATATATGGTCATGAAGGGGCATATAACAGTGAAGCACATCATCCGATCCCCATACCTACATTCACCATATATAAACAAGCAAACGTACATACATATGATAACTTCACTTTCATTTCCTTGAATTGACTTCAACTAAGAACTCTTATTGATAAGATATGCATTGTATTATTTACCTGTGTTGTAATGTCCCAGCCATTGATAGCGCAGTCAAACGAAATGGAATCTCCCACAGCGGCAGTCTCAATCCTTCCGGTGCTGCTGAATGAGGGGATCCCTATAAGTGACACCATATACATAGATTAGAATCATTCAATAACAAGCCTGTAGCCAGCTTTTGCCGAGGGGATTCAGTCTTAAAAGACTCCAAGAGGTTAAAGTTGACAATTTTGGCAAAGTTATTTTGGGCCAAAATTTTGTAAATTGTGAAATACAGCTTGATATTGAACAAATATTTGGCTATGGGGCGTTTACCCCTCTGGCTACGGGCCCGAATAATTCATATATTGTCTCTGTATTCTTGAATGATGGTTATATCATATGTTATGTACCACCATTTAAAGTTATTTAGGACGTCTACCCCAATGTGGGATGAGTGGGATTTTAATTCAACGTAACATTTGATTAAAAAATCTTTTAGAGTTTGAGTTTTGATATTTGAATAGCCCACCCCAAGCAAGAGAATGGAGAATGAGTTACATGTTTAGTCATCGAGTTTTGGTCTTTTGAGTATTTCACTGCCTGATTGAGTATTATGATATAAGGAAAATAGTTGGTAGGTCTTTTTGGAAATGGGTTCAGTAAATCATGTTTGATTTCAATGCATCAAACTCCTACTTTGGACTGATTTCAAAAACGGAGGCAAAATTTCACATGTGCATGTATATGAAACTGAAGAAACTGATGAAATAAAATGGTAGATGTTATAAACTAAAACTAAACAATCTTTTTAAAAGTCACAAATGATCTAACTGAAGAAACATGTTTTTAAAGTAAAACCACTTGAATAAAGTTGAACAATCAAAGATATGCCACCAATATAATGCAGTGGTCACTCCAGGTGGGTGCAAAATTCTAATTTTCACAATTCAGACTAAAATTGGTCAAAATATGCCAATTTTTCATGATTTTTCTCATTTTCAAAAAGATTTTCAGGTGGGTGCTAGCGGCCTTTTTTCAAAATCTTAGGTGGTTGTTGCGCCTGCTTGCTTTAATGCTGGGGAGATCACCGTAATAGAATAAAATAAACAGCGAGATGGAAGGACAGAGACAGATATAGTAAATGACATCAATGAATCACCCATGTGAGCTAATAAGAAATGAGGTGTATTTCCAATAGGCTCACAGCATTGATCTAAGTAAATGAAACCTATGTAAACATTCCTATATAGTTTAAAAAAATCCTGAATCGATTACCATTTTCATCTCTATGTACCTTGTATAGTAATCAATAGCCTCCCCCAGTGATAAAGGAGGGGAAGGAAAGTCAAAGGATGCAAGGTCTTTGTTCTCAATCTCCCTTGCAGTGTTCTCAATTATGAAGTTCAATTATAAAGATGAGAATATGCGAGGTTGATGAATTGATGTGGAGAAATGAAAGAAGGGCCTGAACTTAAGCAGAGAAAGTCTTGGCATGAACAAGAGCTTTAAAAGAGAGTTCTACATAATGCCTCCTTGTAATGTTTATTGTAATCTATGTCATTGGATAAGACCTATTATACAGCCACATCGGCCTGAACTGAAAAGTACATACTTTCACATGTCTTGGCCTGAAAGGAAGAGTATCTGCAATGAATTGAACAGAAAAGTACATGCAAGGGTGTTGTCCTTGAAAAGATGACCAATGATGAATGACCAATAGATGAACAGGCTAGTTGGAGGGTCAGTGGTTTCATTAGCAGCAGGCAACAGGCAATTTTCACCAGTTGTTTTCACAGAATCACCTGTTGTTTTTAATGACTTTTCAACTTTTCCATTTTAAATTTATGATTTCCCTTAATTTTGCCTGTTGTTTTCATTTACTAGCCTGTTGTGAGAAATTCTTGTGAAATCCCTCAGAGTTGACCTAAAATAAACTTTTATCCCAAAATCATTACAATTTTTCCAATATTACAAATGAATATATGGTCATATTCCATTGTGAGAAGAACTAATGAAGAAATAATGGTGGAGCAAGAATTGAATCTCACGTAAACTGGCACTACAGTGATCTCCCCAGCATTAAAGCAAGTAGGCACAGCACCCACCTGAAAATCCATTTGCACCCACTTGAAAATGAGAAAAATCATGAAAAATGGCGAGATTTTGACCAATTTTGGTCTGAATTGTGAAAATGAGAATTTTGTACCAACTTGAGAAAAAAACCTTTGGAGATCACTGCACTCAATAAAAAATGTAAATCTTACCTGTTACTATTGGAAGCATTACCATGACGACAAATAGCATAGAGACTGCAGCCATTGGACCTTGCTGGTGCTGTTTATAGCGAACCATAGTCTGAAAGCAGGGTATATTGATGTTAATATTTTCATAAAATTTAAACATGTTTAAAACAAGGCATTAACAATCTGCTATTTGTGACAGGTACCAACCACCGACAACAAAATTAATTGTTATTAATTATAACACTGTCACAAAGTGCTTAAATTCGCGAATGCAAGTTTTCCAAGTTTGTACCGTACAGAAACTAAAAAACATAAGACATTTAATTGGCCAATTTTGATCCAGAAACCATTGTGAAATACAGCCTACTTTCAGTATGTTTATCTTTTTTAGCAAAGGAAATATGGTCAAAGTTAATATGACCAAAAACAAAATGTATGACATCTTCATTCATGTACTGCATCTACTTTGGTAGTCTCTGTGACCCCCACTATCTTGCCTACACCTTCTCACACCAGTGGGGTATAGTGGGGGGGGGGGGCTTAGAAGAGCTTGCAGCTGGACTACAAATTAAATCAGTAAATCAATTACATCACAGTAAAAACAACTCTAAAGTTATCAGTATGTGGTCTAATTTGTTCAACAATTGCTATTTGACACCTAAGTTATTGCATCAAAATGCCAATAATATGTTGTATTGATCGATTAATGCTTTTACGAGAGTTCTACATAATGCCTGCTTGTAATGCTTATTGTAATCTACGTGATTTGATGAGACCTGTTACACAGCCACGTTAAAAAGTTTCATCACAAACCATTTAGACAGAGCCTTTTCACGAACCATTTTGCGCCTCTTTGTTAGAAATACTGTGTTGATCTTACTGCTTTGTGGCAGTATTACACAAATGCCTCATAACCCATCCCCCTGGCCAATAGTTCTTTCAAAATCATGCAGTTTTTCACTATTCTGAGTACGGTCTAAGTGATTTTGCCCCGCTGGAATTTTAAAAAAAGAGCCCCCCCCCCTTGGCATATCCTGGTTACGAGCCTGAATGTTTTGGTTGTTACAAAATTGCACAGTACTAGTTATGCACTCGGATATCATGACGAGACAAAAACATGAGATGGCAGAACATGTGTATGTCTTAATCCCAGATTTTACATATACTTCTTTGGAATTTATTTCTGACTAAAAAATTTGATTTATATATTTTGTATATTTCGTTTTATGTTTATCTATTTTCATCAGTTAACAGTTAACCTAATATGGGTATGTACTAGTGGTGCAACTCGAATGCCAGTACTCGCCACTCACTCGTTGAACCTGTCCAAGATAGTTACTCGAGTACGTTTTTTCAAACTCGAGTAGGCATTGAATTCCCAAACAACGATCTCAAACCCCGGGAATGATCATTTTTGGATGCACTGAACGAAACATTGATTCCGGAAACAAAATGAAAATATTTAAAAACAAACAAAAAAACACAATTATGGCATGAATAACTACATTTATTCTCACTAAATTGATACAAACTATATATAACATCAATAACATATAGAAGAAACAAAGAAATTGTATCTATTTGGTCTTCAAACAGTCGACTAGGAGAGTTTTTTATTTTTTTAAATTTTTCCCTCATTTTTGCGAGTGGTACTCGATTACAGTGGCATTTTTGATTATGGGAAAAAATGAGTGAAAAATATATAATGGATTTATCTTCAACAAGTTCTAATAATTCATGGGTATATATTCTTTTGTTGGAAGGTGTTGGAGTTGTGGTACCATAAAAATGTTTAGCTGCGAGAGCTTGTCCTGGTCTGGAAAGCAATTTCGCTATTATTAACTTGTGTGCAGTAAAAAGACATTTTAGTTTGTATTTTATATGACCAATCTGTTTGAAAACACAGCTCAAATACAGCTGGAGAAATGTTTGATTAAAGAAATTTCATTATTTGTATATTTGAAATCTTGCTCATTCCATTCTAACTGAGCATTAACATGCAAAATGCACCACCTGCCATTTGTTACAGCTTCCAACAACCTACTGTGAAACACCAACCACCGAACAGTATCCACGAAAAAGTTGGAGACTTCAACAATATATCACCACTTCTGGTAGTGACATGATAACATTTTGATGTGAGTTGCACACTGATTTTTAGATGGAGTTAAAAGTACTGGAAAGGCGACTTTCAATTTGTGAATATCAGAAAGTGATGTCATTCTTACCCAGGATTTTGGGATTTTGTTTGTATTTTGATATTCAATTTGTATCAGCTTATTCTAGCGCTGTAGCGATGCTGCCTGTATTTTTCATGAAGGATATTCTTTAGGAGTTAAGGTCTTTTCAAATTTCCCCCTCATTAAATAAAATTTTGGTACCTAATTGAACAATTGGTGATACCTGTATTAGTAAGTTAAAAAATATATTGATATTTCAATCACAACATCGCCAAAGACAGTTGCACTCTTGAAACCACTTTCTTATTTTCATGAAATCGATATGTTCAATATTGATATTATTTCCTGTCTACAATCTTGATCTGTCAAGATATTTCGCAACTGAAAGAACATATTTGTTTAACAGTATGACTAATTCAAGATATTTATATTTCTTAACCTTTTCAATTTATTTTTACCTTTACATTAGTGGTATACCATAGTCACAGTGCATTACAAGCATAACACGACACACTGCTAAATACATGTAAAACACGCAAGGACAAATATTTTCTTTGACATTCTTTGGCTTACATGCCCCATTTTACTCCATCATTTAAAGTCTGTTGGAAAAATGGCACAACCAGTACATCAGGTTCCAGTTGAAAATTTCGATTTGTGTGATACAAATAAAAAAGATTTCTTATGAATAGTCTTTGATTCCAAACACTCAAACAGAGCATGTGTTTTTCAGATCATATGACTTCACTTATTTGAGGAAATGCACATCGTCTGTTCCCACGTTCAATCACTACGTCCTATTGTATGACAGGTTCGAAGCTTGATGAAGCAGGATGGGAAATGCAATCATGTTGATACTTTTAAAAAAGCCCAGACAAAAAGTTTGATAGACACAGATCTAATTTTTGTATCTGATATTTATGTCAATATAAGTACATGTACACTAAAATGTGAGTGTCACTTGAAATTAACTTAAACAGAATTAGAGTGGATTTAACACTTAAGGCATGTACATTCAACATAACTTTGCATATGTTCCTTCATTTAACTGTAAACAAAAAACAAAACAATTAAGGCATTAACAGGCGTTACCACCTGCCATTTGTTACAGACACTGAACAACAACCACCAAACGTCAACTTCATTTTTTATAACCAAAAAACTAAATTATGAGCAAAATAAAGATATCTTAAGAGACAAATCCAATGTTTTTCAGGGAAATGTACTAACCCTAAGCATTCTAATGACTTAGTTTTACTATATTTCCATGTGTTATTTTTAAACTTTTTTGTTCATTTTCATATTAGCAGGCTTTAAATGTACTTATATAAAGCCACTCGTGTAAAATTGTATAACAATTATTTTTGCAATCAAGCAAGGCCAATGTACAAATACTGTACTTTAAATAAAATACTCAAACACACTTTATAATCAGTTTTGTTTTCTCGTTATAGTTGGATTACATCATCAGAATAATTGGATTCTATGCTTTCAAGAAATTCATTTTCCTTAAGCATTTGTCAGTAAAGCCAAACTGTTTCATCTCTAATAACTAATAATAGCTGCGCAATAGTTTTTTTCTAATTGTTTCATAGCAATTTCTAATCCATAATATCATGAGCTTTCAATTCTAATTGAAAGCCGATGATAATATCATTATCAATTTATGAGAAATATTAGGAAAATAAATCAATATAAAGTACTACTTTTTATTACATTTTAGTGTAGTATAAGATATGTTGTTCCTACATGTTAGAATATACCTGAAAACTAATAACCCCTAGCCCAAGTTATCAGTATTCATGTACAGTGTACATCACCCTAATATGAGGGTCTTTATTGATGTATATCCAGTATATTGAACAACAAATAAGACATACCTTAGTGACCTAAAATATTTCTTTAAATGTATTGTAGTTTTATACGTTAATAAGCATATATATTAACATGTAAATGCTGAAGCCATTGCCAAAATTTAAGACAAACTTTTCATGAACTTGATCAGATAAGATGTTATCATCAAAAGAATCATGGTCCATGATACAATATAACATGGTCCTTGAATACAGTGATTGGTCCCTGAGAACCAGTGATGTAAGTACTACTTACAAATTTATTGTTATATCCTCTGCGCTTTGGTAATCCTAAAGCCAATCATTTCATGAACTTGATCAGATAAAAGGGCCATAAGATGTTATCATCAATACAATATACAGTGTACTTGTGTTGGCCACTAAGAACCGTGACCACCTCATATAAGTATTTCCCCACGATTATTTCACTTACCTAAGATATTGTTATCCCTTTGTAACTGTTTTGGTAATCCTTATATAACACTACTTCTGCCTATATCCCAATGGACACTTTTATGAAAAATTAAAGCCAGTTAAACTCTCAGTAATATCTATGTACCACCACTATACACATTGTTCATATTGATTCATGATCTCTCCAGTACATAAATGCATGTAAATCAAGTACTACGAAGTACCAATCCTTAACATTGACACATATTTGCACTCCAAATATTGGATTTCTTTTTATATGTGCTATTCTAGTGCACTGTATGCTTCTCTCTGGATCTATAAAATAGTTTTGCCTGTACAAAAACTTTATTGATTTGAATTGGGCTTAACTCATGCTGCTCGGCCACCTATTGGGCAGGTAACATACTAATTACCAAAATAACTACTTCACAGTGGTAATTGTTGTGAATTAGGCAGATATAGTCATCTTTCACATTGTTATAATAATATGTGTAGTACACAGTGTAGTAATATACTCAATATTTGTAGTCAGTTAAATTTGTTATTGGGGTAAGCAGCTTGTGAACTTTGACCTTTTGCAATGGTTACTTGATCCTAATGAAAAGTACATATATTGCAGCTAAATGATGAAATAGCAGCATAACTGTTTGACTGAATTAGAAGAGAGAACGTTTGACAAACTGAGCATCATCTAGGAGCAGACTAATGCAATTCCTGCTAGTATATGGTAAGTTATAGAGCAGTAAAATCTATAAAAGTTGAGTCAGTGTAAATCAATAGTTAATTCAAACCTAAAAATTAGTTCAAGATCACAGGAAGTTGTATTAAGTCCTTTTTGGGCCCCAGTGGAGCCTTTTGCCCTTCCCCAATCTCAGAACAGATGAATTCATCTGTTCTGAGAGGTGGGGGGGGGGGGCAAAAGCCCATAAAGGCCCAAAAAAGGTCTTGATACAACTTCTTGTGTTTAGCCGAATATGAAATGTTTGTATATTTTATACGAAGTGTCTGGAGTACCTTAAAATTTAAGGCTCTTTAGCCAAAAATGCTAAAGAGCCTTAAAATTTAAGGCTATTTAGCTGTGAACATAGTGAGCCTTTGTGTTTATAATCCGTGTTTATATTGTTTTTTATTGAAGGTTTCGTCATCTAAACAATAAAACGACACTCTCGAAAGTTTTTCAACCCAGAATGCCATTTAAAAATTTCACACATGTATATCAGTGAAAAGTTGCAAAATATTCGGTCAATGGTAAAAGACTGGTATAGTGGTTAAGGTGCTCGCTTTCCACTTCTGCGGCATGGGCTCGATTCCCCGACGGAGCACTTTTTATTTTGAATAACAAGTCAGAAGTTTGTTCTCTGAGGTCCGGAAATTATGTACACAATTTTTTCTAGAATTCTTGGGCTTGCTCCATCGCTCAATCATCAATGTTTAATGAAATTAATCACTTGTATTGGCTTTGCTATAGTCACGAGAACTATACAGGGAATCCCATTTTAAGATGGCAAAAAGTATGATGAAGACTTGGGGATGAAAAAGGATCTTGTTTCTTCTAGATCAGCACATCTTGACGAAGTTTATCGTGAATGCAGGGACATCAGCCCAGGGACATCACAGAATACACTTCCAAATCTATTGCACATTAGATTTCAATGCTGATTTTAGAATTTTTCACGTGACGAGATATTTTTGCATAATATTTTCCTCCTAAGTGAGAATTTAAGCACATGAGAGAGCACAAAGAAAATTTACAGTACAAGAGATGAGCTGTCGAGGAAACAGCGGCTTATGCAACACAACAACATTTTTTATCCTAGCCTCCAATCCATCAATAAATGTCTATACATCAAAATTTTTACTAAACGGACGTTGCGATTTATAGTGGATAAAATGGTTAAAATAACATTTTTCTGGCTATACGTGATTGCCTGGTCTTACACCTTCTCTGGTGAACCAGAGACATATATTTTCGATATATGCATTAACATCAAATAAACGAACATTTACTTTTCAAAATTGATGTTTGAACCTTTTAAAAGCCAAATTTAGACTGAAGATTGAAAACATTCTTTTATTTGTCTCGGTAGACCGGAAGTAAATTTATGAGTCGAGCAAAAAGTGATAATGTTTTTTTATGAAGTGGGGAAGTCAAAACAGTACTAATAGAAGTCATAGTAAGCATTAGAAGATCATTTAAAACCATATAAATCAAATCGACGGCAAAGTTAGTTGAAATGACTGAAATCTTTAAATGTTATCTTCTTCATCTTCGCGGACCTCAGAGAAGACACTTCCGGTTTAATAATCAGTGATTTTATCGATCAAAAAAATTTTCTTTTTGAATTTGTCTGATATCTGCTAATATGGTATGTATATTTGTGCTGATTGTTAAATTACAAAATAGGTTGGGTATAGAATATGTCAAAGTCGTTTGATCTTGTCCCAGAAGCAATATTTCGTCATTTCTGTCGCCTGGAATTCCTTTAAGGTTATCAAAATTTAAGGCTCTTTAGCCGAAATGCTAAAGAACCTTAAAATTTAAGGCTATTTAGCATTTTGGTAACCCATTTGGCTAGAGGGCCTTAAATTTTAAGGCTCTCCAGGCGCGGCCTATTTTATATTGGATGTATGGCTTCTTGTATTTGATATGCTACTGACATGTTACAACTCTGAAATGACACCAGGGGCTGTGAATTGGTACATGGGCTTTGAAGGGTTTGTGTAAAAAACCAGGTGACCGGATAGCCGGGTGACTGGGTAACCAGAGGTTTCATTAACGGCGTCCTTCAATGGAGAGGACGTAAATCAAGATTGGGTGGACGTAAATTAAAAAAATAATTACGTTTTTGGGCACAATTTGAATTTCGTAAATCACTTCGTGAATCCACTTACCTTCAGTCTCTTTATTTCGTCAGAATCCACTAAATAATTGAAGGAAATTCTATTTCTAAAAGAAATAAAATTTTCTTCCGAAGTTTCCTTCCCGGAAGTTGATTCATGATAGAAATAGTACGAGGCATGTGATAGGTCAAATAGTTATCCAATACTCTATATCCGATCAGTAATCAGTACGAGTCTTACGATTACGAGTCTTACGAGACTGAAGGTAAGTGGATTCACGAAGTGATTTTTGAAATTCAAATTGTGTCCCAAAAACATAATTATTTTTTTAAATTTATGTCCACCCAATCTTGATTTACGTCCTCTCCATTGAAGGACGCCATTAATGAAACCTCTGTGTTTTGAAACAAAAATGACGTAATTTATATTATGGAGGCTGGTTGACAGACATCATAATAAAGGAGTGGTATCGATATGGAAAACTTTTTGAACACACATTTCTCTTAAACAAGTCATAAAAAAAATCTAAAAATTTAACACATCGTCTTTTGAATGGTAATAATTTAATTTGAAAATATATATATATATATATGAGTTAGTTATTTTCAAAAGGTGGAGTGAACTATAGTACCTAGTTTAGTCAATAGAGGGAATAGTTATCTGTTCCCGGGAAAGTTTCCCCGGGAATTGTTACTCCAACTGAGTAATTCAGTCAGTAAATTGGCTAACACTACGATACAATTTCGATCCCAGCATTTTTTTGCATTATGCATGCGTTCTATGTGTAGGATTGGATAGTTTTTAACAACACGTGTCACTAGTCGGGAGAGGTGTACTGTGATAAGTTGCACATTCAATATCGCAATTATTTGGCCTTTTTGAATTTAACAACTTTGACAACACTGGCGGATCCAGATGAAAATTTAAACCCCATTTTCGGAAAATTTGGCCTAAAATGCCAAATCATGCCCAAATAGAATCATTTTTGAGCCATACTTAACTTTCGAGCAAAACGATTTTTGGGCTCCTACAAAAAAGGGGGCGGGGGCGCAAGATGGATCTGGATCCGCCAGTGGGATGATAACAAAAATAGGCGTATAGCTAAATACGGTGAACAATCGTAGAACTCCTGATATGCCCGTTAATTTCATGATTTACGTATACAGTATATAAGTACAATTAGTACGCTATGAACGCATTCGTTTATTTGACTTGGAGCAGAGTTCAAGCACATATATAGGTTAATGCAGAATACGGCAGTATGCTCTTCCATTGTGTGTTTCATCTGGAAGAACCCCCGTCTTCAACATAATATAATATGAAGTATTGCTGCCCTTGTTCGAACCCCAATACTCGAAAACCCATTATTACACCGAAATCAAATAATATGGAATCCAATACTCTAGAAAGATAAATCAATTAAACTTCATGAGAATGACGTATACAGTTTGTTTAGCGTCCCGGAGGTGGAGATGGAGAAGGCGTGGCTTCCCACGGCAGGGAAGGACAATTTTACAAAAAAAGTTCAAAACACAGCGCGTATTTAATTAATTTTGTTACCGTATATATTTTCATTAAGTTAAAAATATTCAAAAACAGTTAAAAGATCCACGGTGAAAGATCAGTAAAACATGCAATGAAAATACATTTAGGAAATATACATTTACACGGATCTTCAATCTCCTTTATGGCATAGTTGAATGATACATTTAGAAACTAAAAAACTAAGTGTAACGTATATGGAACTCTAAAGGACAATGACGAAATGTTTTCCTCAGACTAACAACATACAGTTTGGACGATATGAAATATATACAGCAACTTACAGCGCATCATTGGAAAACGTACCGTCCTCTTTAATCTTGTTCATACCAGATTTGAATCAGTCGTTTGGGAAGTGATATATGCGATATATGAATACTAAGGACGCTTTCATGATTTTAAATAGCTACGCATTCAGCAAGCATTTTGTTCATTACAAAAAGTGACATTAAATAATAACCTGCCAAGATTTATTAAAAGTTCCAATATAGCAAATATCTGCGTTCATCAAAACTGATCGTTCTTAGTTCTACATCTAAGTAACCTGGTAATAACCGCGTTATTTAAAACGCCGCCGAATCATAACGAATCCATTAACACAGCCTAGGGGTTAGAGGAGTTTCTAAATAGCTTCGAAATCTATGTCATTTAAAGGACATGCGTTCATAAAAATAGTCTTTCTTAGTTCTTCTGAGTAACCTGGTAATAGCCGCGATATTTAAATCGCCACCGACTCTTAAGGAGTCCCGGCATATGAACGAGAATCATAGATATAATGGAGAGGTTTCGCACAACTGGTAAGCTAAAGAGGGGGATATTGGAGTGAAACCCCCGGGGATAATCCCAGAGTTCAGAGATGACATACGCTTATCATGTAAATTCGTTTCTGATGGTCAAAATCCACAAAAAATGGCGGCCTCAGA